TTATGCTGCTGCTGCATGGAATATTTTATTATAATATGTTATACAGTATCACCGACGATTACATTGCTCAGAGAAACATTCGCATAATAATACTTCACTTTTTCTCAAAAGCTTCACTCAGTTGATTGGTAATCATGGCCATGGTTTGTTCATACGCCGGTGTATCAACAGGAACAGTAGCATATCCATGAACTGTTTTTAAGCACATACAAGAAGGAACCATGAGTAATCACAATCCACCACTGTAGTAGTAAGGTAACAAAGAGAAGAAGCATGCTTCAACATAGAGTATAATACGTACTTGCGCCAATGACCCGAACAGTGGCATTAGGTACTCCAGCATTGGTCAATCGACGAGCATAGTCTTCACCTTCATCACGCAAAATGTCTGCTTCTGCGGTGAAAATTAGAGCTGGTGGGAGTCCTTGAAGCTCCTCGGTGGTCGCCAACATTGGGAATCCGATCTTTGTCTTCTCACAGTCATTCCAATACGCCTTATCAAAGAATATAGCGTCTTCGTTTTTCAAATAGTAGTCGCCGCCGCCAAAAAGCTTTGCAGATTCGTACTTGTCGCGCGAAGCTGCTGTCGCGGGATAAAGTAATATCTGAGCTTTGATAGCGCTTGGTAGACCACGTTCTTTGGCCGCCATCACTAAGAACGGTAAAAGTGTCCTTCTTTAGCTTTGCATTTTGTCACTTTTGTCTTTTCAATCTTTCGTATCCTTAATATACATAGTAATGCATACATGGAATGACTGCAGATAGATTGCCTCCTGCTGAGTCGTCGCAGACAGCAAGACGGCTTACGTCAACATTTATGGAGTCGCCATTTTCAACAACCCAAGAGAGCGCTGCAAATGCGTTTTCATGAGCTGCGGGATACTTGGACTCTGGAGCGAGTGGGTAGTCAACGAATACAACCGCTACATTGTTCCTCACACAAATCTGGTTGTAGGAGCCAGCCATTAGTATTCCTCTTGTGATATCCAATAGAAGCGGTGTGTAATCATACATGTGAATTTTCCATTTCTTAAAGTACGAACTTACATCTTTAACTAGTTTGCCATGAGTATATTTGCTACCGAAAACCCAACCGCCGCCGTGACTTTTGAATTGATGTCAAAAAGAAACAGGTTTAGTATTGTTAAACCTCCCAGAGAAGAGGATATTGAAGGTCAATAAGAATGTATGAACTCACTAGAATACGACAGCAGGGAGAATAACTACATACCGTCATCCTATCTAATTTGCACGCTAAGATTTCAAAAGTGCTGTCGGGTCTGACTGGGGATCTAACATTGGCAACTGGATGGCTAGAAACTGCTCGGACCGCTGCAAGGAATTCCATAGCGTTATGCCGCTTTGTTTACCACCCTCACCAACAAACACGCTATCGCTTTTATGGACGCACCCGCTTCACGTAATTAAGTATTATGCAAGCATAATATTGGGCATCGAAGCCGTATATGGCAATGGGTTTGAAGCCGAAGAACTGGCATTTGCCGGTGTGCAAAGCGATCCTGAATCAGGTTACCGTGCTATCCATGGCACCCGTCCTTATTCATTAGCGTATGGCCTAGCTGATAGCCCTGTAGGTCTCTTGGGTATGTTAAAATCTGTATTATACTACCGCTGTTGGTTATTGTTGTAAAACTGCATATTCTAACTTGTCACCCCCAAACTCATTTTGCTAACATAGCATGAATGCTTGAAAAGTTCCATAATTGGACTGATCATGGCGGTATACATGACACCGAGTCGTTACCAGATACCATTTCTGTTGATGAATTCTTGACGATGGTGACCATTTATTGGCTGACAAATTCCATGTCTTCATCCATACGTGTATACTATGAGGCCTTCCACGAGGATGAGACCATGTCAACTTGCATGGGTCGCGTCAATATCCCTACTGCGATCATTCAATTTCCTGCTGAGCTTGCAAAGGTACATATAGCTATTAGTATTAAATCATTCCCAAATGCACCACGATCTTTGTGCTAATGGGTCAATTCTTTTCATGTGCTAAAACACAGTTTCCCAGAGACTAGGTGGAAACGAGTGTAAACTTGCAACAGTATAATGAACCTGATGTGGTAACAACTTGTGCTTTTTCTTATACTTCATTCATTATACATATATGGAATCCTGACGACTGGATCGTGTGTTTTCTGTAGGGAGGCCACTTTCCGGCCTTGGAGACAGATCAATTACTATTGGATGATCTTCAGCGCTTTGGGAAACTGTTAAGAACCAAAAAGTGGATCAACTGATATGCATGGTGAACTATCATATTACTCGCTTGTATACCTGCTCAATGGGCACGCATCGACCAAATTATATCATATCATTGTACGCAATGAGCTTAACTATTGCCAATATATCTTCAAAAAATCGTGATTTGTTATTTCGCTCAATTATAATGTGTAGGAACGAAGGGATTGAATAGAGCTCCTTATCCAAACTCACATTGTTATTTCTATTACCCACTACCACCGAACCGGTTATTCATATCATAATACAACCTTTAATCCACAACAATGCGAGCTTCCAATTCAGCAAATTCCTCAAAGAAGACCTGGATGGAATATTATCGACGAATTAGCTCTTGAATCCGAGATCTTTAAATCTATTTGATAACATCGAGCAAAACAAAAAGAAGGCAATACCTGCAACAGATCGATTCCGTGCTTGACATCGTCGGTACCACCGACTTCACGGATCGAATGCATGCTGAGTTGAGGGTTACCCACATCTATCGAACCGCGACAACCAGCAAAAGCATAGTCAATATCAAGATACGTATATCCAACCCATTGATTGTCTGACTTACCAACTGTGCGAAGTCCAAGCTTTGCACTAAGCATTGGGCCGATTGTCGAGCCACAAGGGCTATCATTACGAACAACAAATTCCTTTTAAACCAATATATTTATCAGCTCCTGGTATCACTTTGGCCACAGTAGCCAACGCAAAGACAAAAACCTACCTGAATTGGGATCACATGCTTCTTTGCCAGCTCTTTCGAAACCAAACTGGTGACTGCAGTCGTAGCATATCTCTATTGTATTGCTGACATCTCTTGTGCGAGCCATTTTCACAGTTCTATGAGCATAGTTACCTGGTTTGCGTTGATCTTAATAACAGTACCCTTGTGCATGTGTGGTCGGTGGTTTTCTTCGTGTTTTTCGGGGTAGTTGGGATGAATGGCATGTACCATATCTGCACTGATGAGGATACTCTTGTGCATGGCCTCTTCAAAGGCAGTGGGCGATACTTTTGCGCCAGATAACAGTTCAGTGTTGGCCAAGCGCTGCAAGGTGGTTGGCAAAGGATTCGAGTCAGCACCGTGGGCGGTGGTGCTGCCAATCTTGTCATTGTCAAAGCAAACGGTCACACGGACGTTGGTATCGTTCTCAATGTTCTAAGATTGCAGCAATGCTCGGATAGCGCAGTAGCTCATTTTTTGGTTGTCAAGACGAGGTGAGAAAATGAACTCGTTGCATACGCCACCAATTGTTGAAACCTGTATATTTATATCCAAAGTTATCAGCAAAACATCAATTACTGTTCTCTCTCGCTCTACTGTCTAGCTGTTTTTTTTACCTGAGTATCATACAGAACCAATTCGAAATCGCGAATTTGGCTTGCTATTAGAGTTAGCATATGTCAGTAAGAGGACATATAGGTCAACCATAACACAGTTATTCTAACCACAATATAAAGATAATACTACTAACGTTTGACGCCCATTTCGTCGGCAAGTACACGAATCAACAAGGGGTGGTGGCCTTCTTCTGCTTCAATATGAGTATTGGCCAAGGAGACGCAATCGTCATAGATATCTTCCCATTTCCAAATGAGCTCTTTGTACTCATACATAGAGTGAATTCGCGTCGTGATCGTCAATCGATAATCCCTGATAAGCGTGCCCCAAAACCTCAAGAAATTCATACGTCTGTTACATATCATGTCATATATAGAAGGAAAGAGGGAACAATTTGGAATAGTGAGTTTAAGAACGGTTGCACGAAACAATAAAATGTATATTTCTCTAAAAGTTGGGGCTACTTACCTTCGGACAATTCTTGGATCTCGGTTCTGTCCTCCTGATCCTGTTCGTAGAAACTTATTAATGGTATCGATTGCTATCTCCAACTCCTGCTCCATACGGTTCTGGTATAAAACGACGGCGGCTTTTCTGGCCAGCTGCGTAGGCTCATTCAAAAACTTGGACATTTCTTTGATATTTAAAGATAATGAGCACGGAATAGTAGCCAACAACAAGTGAGCTTTTATACACTCACCCTGAAATTAGAAAACTTACCGTTTCCCTTAGATTCTGCATGAATTGTGCAACTTGAACTAATTAAAAAAAGCTTCTTGACAGTTTCATGCAGCACCGTGATCAACTAAGAAAAAAGTACAGATACTTAACAAATGATGGCCTCTGCTTTGGCACAAAAAAAATAGATCAAATGTTTTTTGGATTTTTAAGTCTTGAAAGGAATTTTTGATAAACGAATACCAGTCTGCACAAACGCTACCGAATATGTTTTTTTTCCGCTATACAATCCATTATGTAGAATGGATATTATCATTATAATAAATAGGTATCAATTTACAGATCGGCAACCTTGACAACTTGCTTGCCAAAGTTGTCACCACGCAGCACATCAACCAAAGCCTGAGGGGTCTGTTCAATGCCGTTTGCGACGGTCTCACGATACTTGATCTTGCCTTCCAACAGCCACTTGGTCATATCCTTGCGGAAAGGCTCCTTCATCTCCACGGAGTCACCGACAATGAATCCTTCGATACGCAAACGCTTGGCAACAACCTGCATCAAGTTATGAATACCTTCGGGCTTTTCACGGTTGTATTGCGAGATCATACCACATCCAACAATTCTATACAATGACACGCGTTTAATCATGACTTCGTTCCGATTTTACTCGCTGCCAAAATAAGTTAACCACAAAAAAATGTTATCCTACCTACCAAACTGGTTGCAGTTGGTGATGACAGCTTCAAGCATCTGACCACCAACAAATTCAAAGTAGATGTCAATTCCGTTAGGGCAGACTTCGCGCAGCTTCTCGGTCAAGTTATCAACCTTCTTGTAATTGAATGCGGCATCGAAACCGATCTCCTTGAGGTAAGCGACCTTGTCATCAAAACCTGCAGAGCCAAAAACGTGCAGACCCAAGGTCTTACCAATCTGGCCGACCAATTGACCAACGGCACCGGAAGCAGCAGAGACGTGAAGTTTCTCCCCCTTCTTGGGAGCACCGAACTTGAGAGAAGGCTACACGAAATTAGAGTTGAACCACGGGTATAAGAAAATTTTCAAAATTTTACAAGCTTAGCTCTTGCACTAACAGCATTAGAAAATCGTAAGACTCACCCAACGTAAGCGGTCATACCAGGCATGGCAAGGACGCCAACATAGTTGGTAATGGGTATACCGGTTTTCTTTGGCTCGTTGCGGACAGCAAAGATACCACAGCCAGTCTTGCTGTAGACGAGATCGCCTTCCTTAAAGTTGGCGTTGTTAGACTTGACAACAACGTTCACGGTGTCGCCAGTCATAGGCTTGCCAGGAGGGAAAGCAGGCGAGTACGACTTGATGGAGGCGTCTCTCATACGGCCACGCATGTAAGGATCGACGGAGAGCGAGAGAAGCTTGAGAATGAACTGGCCTTCCTCCAAAGGAGCATCGAGGTCGATGGTGGAGTCTTGCACGGTGATGTGTTCACCTGGGACGGGGTAGGTGGTAGGGATCTTGGAGAAAATAGCTTGTTTGTTGGAGGGTAGCAGGCATGGTGTATTGTCGTGTGTGTGTGTACGTGAGTGATGCAACTGGGAAGAGAGCTGTTGGGAGAAGCGGAAGGTCAATTAGCGCACTTTCCCACCAAAGGGGCGCAGGCCCTAATTGACTCTGTCAAGGAGGGTGAGTGGTCGTCGGTTCGACTCCGGCTGTCTGTCTCCCCTCGCTGTGGTCCTGGTGTGTATCATCACTTCGCGGAAATAATGCTATGACAAAAATTTTGCATGGCCCTCCCTGGTGCTATTGATTGGCCCATAGTTGGAACACACCGGTGTGTCGCTAGTCCTTTCATAATGTACACTAATGTCACTTTGCTGTATACACATCAAGAAACATTTTATTATATAAATATGGATATTAATGTGACTCCCAGAAATTGCGATGGTCCTCCATCACTTCTTCATATAGCTCTGGGAAAGGGCCGATGACATTGACCTTCCTTGAGCCACGAGCAAAGACCTCTCGACAAGGTAAGGATAACGTAGGGTTTTCTTTGCTGCCGGCGGCGGTGGTCACTTCAGCCAGTTTTGCTTCAGGCATTGCGTAGACAACGGTACCAATACTAGCCCAGTAACAAGCACCGGCACACATCGCACAAGGCTCGACGCTAGTGTAAAGGGTGCACTTTGACAAAGTCTCGGGAGAAAAGTTGAAAGCTGTAAAGCGTGTATTAATTTCTTTCTTGTAACGTGGTGCATGAAAAAATAATCCTGTGTTTTCCATGCTAAAACATTGTATACGTACCAGCAATTCTAGCTAACTCGCTTTCTGCATGATTTACTGGACCAAAGTTTCCGTGTTGCAGTAGTACGGTACCGTTTTCATCCACCAAGATACTGCCGAATGGATGATGGTTGAGAGAGCATGCTCGCTTGGCGATTTGAATAGTGTCCCGGAGGTACTTTACCATCTGTTCGTGACTGGCAGGCGCAGACATTTTTCGTTTGTTACTTTGAGCGGGGTTGCAACGGTGAAGAAGAAAAAGAAGAACAGGAGCTTCGAAAGGTCTTGGATGTTTAAATAGACTTTGCCCAAAATATAATGGCCGCAGTGACTACACACTTCACACGCTAGCTCGCAGCGAAAACTACAGTGTAACAGAAAACCAAGATAGCAAGGGTATAATTTGACGCCAGATAATGGAGTCGAGTAGAAGTCCGCATGCCAATGCTTATCTGTACCAAAGTGGCAGATTCATTACGTTAACGCATCTATAATAAGGATAACGACCAGGTTGTACAATCAGCTGTTACAGGGTAGATAAAGTATCAAACTTCTATTGCACCACCCCTCTTCCTGGGACGACCGTCTCCGCCGCCCTTTATCACAGCTGTCGCACCCAGAGCCCTAAGACACCGTCAATCTACGACAGAGGCAGTGCTCCGACAATGCCCAGCATCAACTCTTTTTGGGTTGTCATGGCAATCAGGTTTCTCGCTTCGCTACACAAAGATACACCACACTGACTATATAAAGGCGTTCTCTGCATCAATTTTAGAAAAAAATGACCCAAAGCCTTTCACCTGCATCAGACGTATGATTTCAAAGGCAGCAGTAGTATATGCTTTATCCGGCACAAAAGTTGGCGAAGCAAAAAATGAAAATGTACTGATTTGAGCCTGCCATGAAAATGAACGAACAAAAGCGCCAGGTACAGACAATCAACAAAGGAGTAGAGGCCATACACGCTTTGTAAAACTGAGTTATGATGATATCATGGCCATCATGAGCATCAATCCTTCGACAAAACAACCATAGCCAAGCCCCTAATACTCTTGATGGTACTGTTACCCCGAGAACCACCCATAACAAATAAACCAAACATACAAAAGAACCACACACCAAGCGGCAATTAGAATACAATACATAACTACCGCAGCAACTCTACAACTCTCTTGCACCCCCAAATTATCAAAAGGAATAACTATAATTAGAACGAACCCTTTACCTTGTAAAGGTTCGATGAACAGCTTGTTGAATAAGAGCATTACCGCAGCATCCGCAGTAACAGCAAGTTACCGCAGCATTGGCGTTGCGCAGCAACCGCAGCATGAATTATCTTGGACATTATTTAATAACCAGAAAGATATCATTTTTACTTGAATAAAGACATTGAATTTCTACCTCCCACTTTTGACTTAACTTTTCAAGTGTTGTTTTCAGTCACTCAAGACCTAAACACGGCTTGTTTTATCTTACATATTGTTTATTGCTCATAACTGAAGCTAAACAAACTCTTTTATTAAGACCAGACGTAACATTCCTGCTCTTATTTCTCATTTACTTGGACAGACGTAACATCCCTGATCCTTATTTCTACACACTGAGCTTAATCAAGACCTCAGCTCACTACTATTTACAAATTGGACATAACCCATACACATTTTCACCTTACTCTACACTCATATCACTTCACAACCCGTCTGTAATAAACGATATTATTACTGGTGCTCACTACAAAACATACACATAAACCGTTACGCAACTACCTTGAATACCCCAAATTCACCGTAACAGTACTATCTAGTCCTCTTCCTAATTCTCCTCCGAGAGCCCTTCGGCCAGAGTATCTACAATTATTCTGTTACTGAGAGCATGTATCGGACAGAGCGCGATAAAGAAAACAGCCGAGATGAAAAAGAAAGTGATCGCCAATTAGGCAAAGTATGATTACTCGCTCTCTTAAGGCGTACACTCACACTTTCCAGCTCACTGTTCCAATGTCCAATCCTTCTTGACTGAGTTCTTGTAGAGCCAGCTTGCATAATGTGGGGCGAGCCCTTAATGGTATAGCATCGGTTAAGGAGGGCTCCTTTGTGCGAGACAAAGGGTGAATGCAGAAGTGTAGGATATGGTGCGTTCGCCTTATAACCCGTCAATTTTTTTACTCTGTTATAACGTCCCCAAAAAGCAACTATACAGTCCAACGTGTTTCAAAATACCTATTTTAACAATTCAGCTGGGCCGGCAGAAATTTGAAACAACTCACGTACGTGAAACAAGAATGAGTAAACAACTCCTGTACGTATATATACTCGTCTATCGCCTACGTCCTACACATCTTTTCTTTTTACCAATCATTTAAAAAGATGCCGTCATTAAGACGAAAGCAGAAGGCCACCCGAAAAAGGACGCGTGCGCCTGACAGAAGAAACACTGCCCAGTTTCATGGTATACGCCGTTTTTTCTATTGCTATTCCTATACATTTATATGTTTCACCATATTATATACGTATCATGTATTTCATTTTTCATTAGTATTAAACGTGATGCAAACGCAGTCGTGTCGTCTTTTGCAACAATTGCTTCTATTATATACGCGTTAAAAATCCTCATCAGCAACTATGGAAGAGGGAACTTTAACAGGTGCAATCCGTGATATTGTACATATTGCGTTAGTTTCAGCTTCGAAATTGTATCTACCTTTTTTACTAAACAAAACTTATGACTGTAATTTTTATTGATTGGCGAGAAGCATCAAAAGAATATATATGTGTATTTATGTAAACCGGTGAAGTATGCCGAAATTTTTAAAAAAAACAGAAGGGCCTGTTTCTACATGATAAAACTATTGTTACAAAATGAAAAATCATTGCATTAAAAAACTTTGTCTATAAAATTAAATTTGGCTCGTGTTATTGCGATGGACACGTTATGGATGATGCTGTTGCTGCATTGTTGGCGAGGTATAATAATTGTTGTTGTTTTCTCCTTCAGTAGTGGCGACAGGGTTATCGTCACTGGACATGGCAGCATGGTCCTCCAAAGTCCAAGCATCTTCTTGAATAGGTGGTAAGCTTCACTTATAAAAATCATCACGATCCCCACGTTTCATAAAAGAGATTGTCAAACCGTTATAAATTGCGCTGATGAAATTGGCAGCGGCCGTTTCTTGATCGTCAGCTAAGAAAAGAAGGTCATATCGAGTATCAATAGTATTGCTGGGTACGCTTCACATATAAAAAATCATCATGATCCCCAGGTTTCATACTCTTTTTATATCGCCGGTTCTTTGTTCCATTAAAGCGCACAGACCCGTCGCCGACAATTGTTGGATCAGAGCGGAGCACGGCAAGCGGAGCCGCATAGTGAAACAAACATATACGCACCATAAGAAAAAGACACTAGCATGACAGTCGTCAGACTACAACGATAATTATGATCAAGGCACTTCTTCACATTGCTGCAGTTCACTGGCTCCTTAGGGCAGTAGTGACAACAAAATTTCTAAGCTCCGTCATTTTGTTTATCGGGCTCATGAAAAAAAAGAATCGACTGCGCGTTTTGCCCTTTATTCTTTTCTTTAGTCTTCATATTCATCTTTGTATATTTGCAGTGTTTCTTTCATTATCACTTTTTACCTTTCTTTTATTTTTCATCCCGCTCGAGTGTCCCTGTGGGTGTGCATAGTTGAAGGGAGCTAGTCGTGCACGACTGGCTCTTGCTCATCTTTTGTACATTTGCAAAGTTCTTTGTTTCATCTTGGTTTTTTATCTTCCTCAAAAACTGAAAGCGAGAGTGTGTGCAAAGAGGTACGTATATGTTCGCCGCTGACAGACCTTTGTGCTATCATATTTCTTTTATTTGTAGGAACTGTGGAGGAGTAGGTTCTGTCGGGAACTGAGGCTTGTGGACAAGAAAGGGAGAGGTGTAGGTTCCGACGGGAACTGAGGCTTGCGGAAAACAAGGGAGGGCAACCTCCCTTGTGGAGGTACGTATATGTTCGCCGCTGACAGACCTTTGTGCTATCATATTTCTTTTATTTGTAGGAACTGTGGAGGAGTAGGTTCTGTCGGGAACTGAGGCTTGCGGACAAGAAAGGGAGGAGTAGGTTCCGACGGGAACTGAGGCTTGCGGAAAACAAGGGAGGGCAACCTCCCTTGTGGAGGTACGTATATGTTCGCCGCTGACAGACCTTTGTGCTATCATATTTCTTTTATTTGTAGGAACTGTGGAGGAGTAGGTTCTGTCGGGAACTGAGGCTTGCGGACAAGAAAGGGAGGAGTAGGTTCTGCCGGGAACTGAGGCTTGCGGGGAACAAGGGAGGGCAACCTCCCTTGAGGAACGAAGGATTCATAAAAGTCGGTCGACTTGTCAGGCAACATCAAATAAACTTGGTTTCTTATTGTACTTTCTTAAATAATGTAATTGTAACTATTGGGCAGATCGAGTGACGATTGTAATAAACGCGATCTTTATTTTTACATCTTCCTACTGCCATTGCGCTTGGTACTTGTTGGTGCTTTCTCTGGAGCAGTTATGTAGTTGCAAATGAGCCTTTTTGTGCTTGAGTCGTCGAGAAAACCGTAGGCTGTGCATTCGCATGTGTGCTCTCAAAAACAATACAGCTGGTTTACCTTCACGACTATACCAGCAATGATTGCAAATTGCTGGTGGCAAAATAAAAAACCGTATCGCAAAGCAAACAGACCATCCCCATATTCACATATACACGAACCAGATCGCCAACCCAAACTAAATGATGTTTGCCTTGATTTCTTTGCAGTATAAAAGGCCCAGTACATAAGCTCATTAGGGAAGTTACATCATCCAACTTGTTGGGTCTTGCCACCAATCTCTCATGCTACTGTCTCTCAACATTACTGCTTACTGATACACGTATACTAGTAATACTCATAGAGAGATTGAATATGAAATGTACCATCACTGCTTATGGTTATACCAAGCTATCCCAACACGTTAATAATACCTCTTATCTCCAATAGCTTTCACCGGCGTCAAAGTTGCCAAATTTGTCAAGTTTGTATTAAGCCGAGTTGTTTTGTGCTAATGATGTGTCAAAATTTGATGTGCTTAACTTTTATTTATTAGTTTTGAAGTAAAAGCCAATTCAATTTAATCCCTTCCCTTGTCTTGCCATGATCGCTGACGGTACTGCTTTATTTCAAACTATGTACAGTACACCACAACCGCATCGGACAATCCGGTTTTCAAAAGACATTCAGAAATGTGGTGAGGTCCGTACAATTTTCTGTGAGATGTTGAAGCCTTGAAATTACATGGAGCTATACTACTGAGATTCTTCATGCAATCTAGTGAAGTTACTTTGGATTTGATTTGCTCGACGCTAATTCGATATCAATATTCTGGAGAAAGTATCAAAGGTAGGGAATGATGATAAGGAAGCCCCGATCGAATCTATGCGTTTACAGTAGTTTCATGTAAAGATGATAGTAGTGTGGATATACTCGGTCGATTTCCAGGTCTCTCACAAGCTCGGTGCAATGGCGTTGGGTCGCAAGTCAGTGCAGGCACTCGAAGCAGCTGCAAAGACGGAGGGACGAGACGGCAATTATGTTGGAGTGTCACGCTTTGGAAAAAAAAACACGTCGATATTATGATTTCACTAGGCTATGTATTACAAGATCCCACTTATCATGTACTAATCCTATATGGGTCCAGTATGCTGCAGATCTCACATCGAAACAAATGAGTTTTGGATATCGAAGCTTCTATAAAGTAGCATTTTATTGTCATGCTGTTTATTGTATTATCCTCGACAGTAACAAATAGAGCAGATGAGAAAAAGTTCCATATATCATCATGTGAGCTCTACTGTACTTGCATTTACAAGCAACATTCAAACGGCTACGTAACGTCACTGTTGACTTATTTGGGGGGGGCAGTTCGTAGTCATGTTATCCTCCTCCTGGAAACATTTAGCCTTCAACTTGCACAAGCCATATCAAGATCCAAGTTGAAGGGGGCCGGACTTTCCAGCTCAATCCTTGAGTCAGTTATGTGGCAGGCTCTGGTAAACTCTGTCTAAATAATTGCTTGCAAGATAACGATGCGTCACTGGCAATTAAGTCATGATGTCTGGTCTATGATATTACAAGTTTCTGATCTGGGCATTCGCAACACTGCCGACTCAGCTATCATTGCCATGACCGCAAGTTGCTTGTGCCAAACATATTTCTCCTCCCAAACATTCACTACTATTCCAAACGTACTGTACTGCACGCTGCCTTACGCGGCGACATTGCTTATTGAGCATCTTGTGATTCCATCAAAGCCACTCTATTCGATCGATTGTTTGGAAAACCTCAACACGAATTGCCTATTGGACTGACTGTCGCTTTCTCGATCGCGCGGACGGTGATGCTTTCGCTTATCTGAGAACGAGCCAAACCCTTTTTGTGATTGCGTCTATGGCACAGCATATGAATGAGCATGATGGTAAAAGCGGACAAATGACTTGCGTCTGGTTTTGCAGCATGCCCAATTCTACTACTACCTGCACGGTACCTTGGTATTTGAGAACCTTTGAAAGATATAGTTTAGAGCAAGCTGAAATGTTGTTGAGGACAATGTAGAAGTATTCGATACCAGCTTATATTACAGTTATCATTGTTTACATCACTAATATACTAGTAAGCGATGTAGAAGATCAATCAATATTGTTATTGCTGCTCCGTATGTGGGACAACCGAGGAACAACGGAATGAGCCGATCGCTGGGTTGGATCGTGCGCAGTGCAATGCACCTGGGAATCGACGGGAGAAAACGACCCATTTTATTGGACGTGTAGTAAATGAGTCAAAGTTCCGATAATCGAGCAAAAAAAAAAAAAAAAAAAGAAATAGAATGCAGAAGAAACATACGTCTTCTTGTCCATTAAAAATAAAAGATCATAACTTCTCATGAGAGGGGGTAGGAGAAAGTTTTCCTCTTATTTGGGTGCCATCGACCCTTGTTATGAGAAATTGCTGCTTAATACCAATATTTTTACGCATTTGCCGATAATTGCATGATACAGCTGTAAAAAGTGCTTGACCTCAAAAACGTCTAGCAGTAGAAGCCAGCCATAGTCCGGCCACAGGAAATCATTATGTATCTGCTACATCTTCCAAATATCGTAACCGTGATTATGCTGTGATACCATTCGAGGCATGTTGACCTTCTAAATACTGTATAGACTTTGCGCGGGAAGAGTGGGGGAAACCAGTCGCAACAGGTACAGGCCACGCCCTCCCCCCTTAATCTTCCCGCGACCCCTTTCTTATTATCCACTTGATAAAAAGTCAGCATCTCCAACAACAAGATGGTTTAATTATGAACTAGCACATGTTCAAGGACAATACACTATAAAGAACAACACGTACACACATAAAAAGCAGTAAGAAACGATATATACATCATTGGTTGTTTATCACTACTACACGTGGTGAAAACTTTAAAGATGCTTCTCTCTCTAAATGTGCATATGGCGAAAAGAGTTATCCTTGTGACCTTTGCGTAATCATGATAAGCCTGATGGAGTCGTTGTTGTTGTAGTTGTGGTTCTTTGACGCTTTGAGGGGTCGCTCTCCACCAAATACGACGAAGATGAACATGCTCGTTTGGCGGCTTCTCGTTGTGCTTCTCGTTGTGCGGCTGCCAAGCGAAATGGGTCCTCATTAAAAGTCGTTTTTACACGAGGTTGACAAAAGAGCACCGAGCTACCAAAAACGTCGAGCTCTCTCGAAAAGGAAGAAGAGGAATAGCAGGAGGGAGTGGTGGCGGTGGGGGTAGGTTTTGTATCATAGTGGCGGTCATGGTGGTTTGAATTTGTGTTGCTTAAAGATTTCTCGTTGGAGTGATGGTGGTATATTAGTCCGTGATCAAACAAGGCGTACTGTGGGGCGCAATTGTTGGCATTGTTGTTTGGTAACAGAATGCCAGTTGTTCCTTGAGCAGAGGTGTGCCATGCAGGGTTATGTACATCGAACAGATAGTGTTCTCTTCTCCATAATGATTGCGTTTCCATGGTGTAAAAAGTTATGTAGTAGTGCTATGCAAGTGTGTATATATAAATATGTGTGTGTGTATGTGTGTATGAATTGAAGAAAAAAAATATGCAATTAAGAAAAATGAATGAAAAGAAGGGAAGAAAGGCGGTTGGATGTGGTGCACGCGGGAGGGCTCGGACAAAGTTTTCGCCCTGCTTTTTATTTTTTTTTTATTTATTGAATCACGATGATAGCTGGTGGAGGTTATCGCAAGGCACCCATACAACGAGTGGTGTACTTCCTTCTATGTAACGGGTTGCACGATGATAAAACAAAAGTCCATCCAGCTTGAAATCATAGCCTTGTTCACCCATGTACTTTGGCGGGTCAGCAGCGATGGTGTTGAGCTCTGTCATCGGCATCGGCCGTAAAGCCTTAAACTTGTAAAACATGTTGTCGGTGGTTCGGGCATCCATTTCATTCTCCACTTTTGTTTGTAACCAAAAATGCCTATTTCGGGTGAATTTAAATAAACGGGGCAAATGGTCTGAAGAGGGAAGGGAGTGGCGTACCTGAAATCCGTGTCGCAGTCATACACCGAATACCCTTTCCAGCACATTACGTCAAGCACGTAGAATGTCCAATGCACTGGGTCATACACGCAGTCGAGTATGCATTGATTCGATGTTTTCCAGTCGTGCTTGCCCTTTGATCCATTGGGTAGCATTGACTGAAACCGTTTATAGACGGAGCCTAGTGCAAAAAAAAAAAAAAAGAAATGTGTTTGAAATATTGAGCGATAGCATGTATCCGCCTTCTTCTTGGTCCACGTCCGTCGAAGCAAATTACCGTTTTTTCGACGGGCAACCGTTTCTCCTACAAAACACAAACAGGGCCACCGCATTGTGTGTCTTAGAAAATTACATCGAGTACTTTTTAGATACACCGTTTCCACATGTCCATATGGCCCTCTTACCTCTTCCTGTAGTCAGTGTGCACCGTTTGCCTACGGGATAGGGCATGACCACCCAATTCTCGTGCAAATCATGGGGAACCTCATCCATAGACTCGCCATACATGACGGCATTCCTACAAAAGGTGTGTGATCCATGGTTGACGCATATCAGTAATCACTGCGTGTCATGTTCATGTAGTACACAATTACCCTTGATGCTCTAATTTTCGTTTGTTCTTCTTTCTTTTGCCTTTCTTCTTCGTTGTTCGAACAGGTGGAGTTCCAAGTCTTTTTTGAATCTTTGGCTCTTCTTCCATACGCTCCGCTTCATCGTCCGAGCCACGTCCTCGCTTCATGCTCTGATGCTGTTCTTGCCCTTGTGAATGCGCGTCCATTGCACCAACGTTCTCTTCGTCAGCTTCCTCATCACTACTATTACTACTACTACTACTAGTACCATCATCGCCTTCCTGCTCATCATCATCTTTTTCTGAATAGCGTCGTCTTCTGGTGTTCAATGTATTCTGGCGACTCTATATTTTTAAACACGTCTATTAAATTCACACAACTGCATAAAAATTCGGAGAAGAAACCCGTTTTACCATTTTCTGCAACTCCAAAGCGCGTCGACGTCGTTCTTCTTGGGATCCACGGCTATCGGTAAGCGGCGCCTTGAACGACTGAAATGCCTGCTGTCGACGCGTCTGCTGCTGTTCCGCAGGTGTCATGCTGACGTTTTGCTCGAACTGTGACGCAAGGTCATCCCAGTCCACGTTGAGTTTGCCTACACCCGAGGAATCTATAAATGTGTCTTGCTGGTTGGAATCGATACTGGGCTGGTCCGAATTCGTGTCTGGTTCTTGTTGGCTCGTGACTTTATCGAAATTAGGTTTCCATTGGTGATCTGGATGTTGGAAGACGAAATTATGGGTTGTGTTCACTTCAGAACTGCTTTTCGTAGAATCGCTCATGGTTTGAGAGCTGGTAGAAAAAAAAGAGCACAAGAGGAAAAGAGCGGCCGTCTTTTTTTGTTTTATTTCTTCTTTTGCTGCGCTTGTTTTTTTTTGCTTCTGCGAGAACCAAGTGACGAACGTCAAAAGAGCAACCTGGGAAAAGAAAAATAGTTTGAAGCTCCTTTCGCAATCTACTTTTTTTTCTTCCGATCTATGCTGTGGCAGGTGCAGCAGCCGTCCAATCTCATTTGCCTTTTGGCCATCATCCAGATTGTTGGCTTGGCACTCTTTGCGCGTGGCTTTTTCCCGTATAAAGTGTACCTCTCTGGATTTGCCAATGTCACTTCTTCAGCACCCCCATGGCCTGATGCAAACAGTGAAACACAGCCTGCACTTTTAGAACCGGAATTTGACCGACTCGTATTCATTGTTGTCGATGCACTTCGCAAGTATGTTGTGTAATATTATTAGAAAAAAAAAACCAGCTGCTATCCCGATACTAGCTGCAAGCAGTTTCTATTGTTTGCTCAGGCCGTGTGCAAGCGCATGTAAACGGTATTCTTATCTTGATACGCTGTTTCTATAGTGACTTTGTACTTGGACCTGATTCTCGCTTTGATTTTGTCAAGAGGTAAAGAAAAGAGTTCTTTTTGTGCGTTGAATGAAGCCACTGATGGTATTTGGTGATACAATGGCACAGCCAAATCGAATTGGGACAGGCGTTCCCGTATACGGCGCGAGCAACGGCTCCAACGGTTACTATGCCTCGAATCAAAGCATTGACAACAGGTAACGCAGAAAGAAAGAAGGGGGAGAGATAGTTCCACAACATATGCTTAAATTGTGCTTCAACTAACAATGCATGATTTACTACTGGCCCCCCCCCCCCCTTTGTCCCACATCTCCAACCCCAATGCTCCCAGGAACGGTGCCTAGTTTTTTAGATGCTATCCTTAATATCGCAGAGTCCGATACGAGTTCGTCCTTGCAACACCACGACAACTGGGTCCAGCAGTTTCAACAAACAAGTAATCGGACCATCCATTTTTTTGGAGACGACACGTGGATCCGGCTGTTCCCCAACACGTTTGCCAAACAAGACGGGACGACGTCCTTTTATGTGTCGGACACGGTCGAGGTCGACTTGAACGTAACACGGCACATTGGACCGACCTTTACAGAGCAGGATTGGGACGCCATTATTTTGCATTATCTCGGCCTGGATCACGTTGGTCATCTTGGTGGGCCCTATAGTCCATTGATGCAGCCCAAGCAACGAGAAATGGATCAAGCAGTTGAACAGATCTATGGGATAGTGGCACAGCAAGATGCAGAACGCGTGAAGCAGGATGCTGATGCAAAGGGTACATTAATTATTCTTTGTGGTGATCATGGGATGAATGAGGTAAGGGGGAAATGATTTAATAAACTTTTCCTGTCTGTGCAAGTGCTTTGTTTACCAACCCATGAATTGATAGGCAGGGAATCACGGTGGATCATCTGTCGGCGAAACGTCTGCAGTGAGTTAGACTCGTCTATTTACGGTGGAGACGGAGGTCAATCCGTATAAACAAAAAGATACTTAAATTTGAACTGTTTTAGGCTTTAGTGTTCATGAGCCCTCGATTCGAGTCACGTCCCAGCATGAGACACACAAAGGTCCTACTGAGCGAGGAGCACACTGCCCGGGCGTTCGGCTTTCCAGTGATTGACCAGATAGACGTGGTACCTACCCTTGCAGCCCTGTTTTCCTTTCCCATTCCCAAGAACAGTCTTGGAAAGATCATCCCAGAGTTGCTCCAGAGAAAGTCCGGTCCTCCTGTGCAGTTACTGAGGGCATTGCAATTGAATGCTTTTCAGTTGGGCCAACTGCTCGAGCGCATGGTGCCAGACTTGACACACTCCTTGCACAGTCCAGCTCAACCTCCATCGGACACTACCAACCCCATTGGACACGTTTACAGCCGTGCTGTCGATCAGCACCGCAGGTTCTTGTCTTCGCTGGACATAGCCGTCGCCAAAGCTGCTGCTGAAGCTTATTCAGAGGTAACAAAAAAAAAAAAAAAAAGAGACGACACGGATCGGGATGCACTGCTCTGGGGCATAGCTAATGTTCATTTGTTAGTTTATCATCGAGGCACAATCGCAGCTTGCAAGTACAGCAAGTGACTATAAGCTAGCAGATATGGCTATAGGAACTTGCTTGATGTTTATCAGCGCCGCAGTGTTTGCATATCGTGCCATTATCTTGACCGAACGAATGTCTTTGCTATGGTCACAAACCAAGGTCTTTGCATCTGGAATGCTGATTGCTTACGGTATTAGCATGTTTGCGAGTAGTTTCATCGAAGAAGAACATTCGGTATGGTACTACTTCACATCCTCGCTATTCTTGCTACTGGCTTTGCAATGGTAATGTCCCCGCCTTGATTTTGCAGTTGTCATGGTTTTGGCTCTTTTTTTTTTTTTTTCCCCAACTATTTCTGATCCCCTGTCGCTCGTGGTTCCTTTAGCTTTACGATACCAAACAAGAACGTGGTGCAACAAACGTGGTTGTCCGTTGTATGCATAACACAGCTTATCTTGGTCCGTATCACTATGGATTGGAACGATACTATCAGATCATTGATGTCCGAAAACATGAAATGGCATATGCTTGCATTGTCTCTTGCCGTTCCATGGATCTGGCTCGTATACGCAGTGTGGCGAAGCAAAGACCGGCCGCTCGAAGTAGCACCCTCGTCCTCGGGCGCAAGCTACATTATAGCTTTTTGCAAGATCGTGCTGGTCATGATCTTGGCACTGACATGCGCATTGATATTCTTATACAAGGTCCGATCAGAGCCTTCTCAAAGTCAAGACGACGGTGCTGGCCTTCACGCAATGTACAAAGGATTGCTTGTCAAGCTCGAATTTACCAACCACTTGGACCAAGTAGCACTCGGCAAACTGATATACAATTACTGCAGCTCTGGCTTGTTCGTGCTGACAGCACTTGTGTATGTGATTAAACGAGCCAGCGTTTTGGATATTCAAGGCAAGTACAAAAAACAAAAGTGACGCTTGTGTGCAGGTCAGAAAAAAATTGACAAGTGAACTTTACCAAAAAGATCACGAGCACGGGGAGCAGCAACCACGGCACGCAAAGCATTTTTTGGATGTTTTATTATGCATGATCACTCCAATGCTGATTCTTTTTTCACGTACCCACAATGCTCCTTTGTTTATCATCTACGCGGTGCAGCTGTATCTCCTGCGCATTTGGCACGACGCACTGCCTTTGCAATCGGAAATTGAATACCGCGGAGGAACACGCATCGTGGCAGTGATCATGCTGTGCTTGACGCAGGCCGCGTTCTTTATGAGTGGACGCTCAAACTCAATAGCGGCTGTTGATCTGAGCAATGCCTACATTGGGGTCACTGGCTATGACACTGTGTTGATCGGTGCGCTGACGTTCTGCTCCAACTGGGCAACGAGTATCTGGTGGTGCATGGCTGGATGGATCCTTGTCGCTGAAGGACACGATGGATGGTGGGAATATGTTACGACACAATCCGCAATGTTTGGCGCTTTTCTGGCAATTCTGTCGGTGGCTGTCACGCTACTTCGGGAGCATTTGTTTATCTGGACAGTATTTTCACCCAAATACCTGTATCAAATGGCATGGACCTGCCTTTTTCATTGGTGCATCCAAGTATTGACCGGGACCCTGTGCATGCGGATCTATAAAATTTCAAGGAGACAGCAGCAGCAGCAGCAGCCTTTGGCTGAGCAACAACAGCCAGAGTGATTTGTGGATGATTTAGGAAGAATATACAATTATAGTAATATACATTTCCCTACATTTCGTTTCCTCATTTATCTTTTGGAGAACGAAGCAGAAGCAATCTGTATCAAGGAGAGCACAGGAAAGGGGGCAAGATGGCGGCGCATTAGTAAAATGTATATATACACAAATGCATAATTGTACAACACGGTCAAATTAAGGAGGTAATAGTAGTGAAAAGAGGGTTGGATGCGCGTAAACGCGCTTAACTCCGACTTACTGGGTAATCTTTTTTTATTATTGTTTATCTTTTAACCGCATATCCGTGACAAACAATCGTCGACAGAATTAATTGTCGGGTGCAGCATTGTGTAGAAGAATTCATAAAAAACGAGAGAAACAGATGCTGTGGGTACACAACACACACGTTTTGCAAAAAGCTAAAGTGCTACACCGCATTTGAATGGCGTCAGCACTAGAACACTCGGTACACAAATTCGAAAGCATTCTCAGATCAAGCGCTGTGAACGTGCTGTGTTGAGTAAACCCAGGAGCCACATGGCCCTGTTTTATTGAGGATACTATCTCGTTACTGGACATGTTATGCAAGGCAATCATCATTCAACAGACAAAAAGAGATCAGGCTTTCTGGAGGCGAGGGGGGGGGTGGGGCGGGAGTTGTAGTGAATGCACCGTACAGTATGGCTTTTTACCCTTTTTGTCGGGAAAATGATAATCAATACACCTGTGTGTACAATGCGAATTTGAGAAGCATGCGAAGAACATACATTCATTAGGTGAGGTGTGCTTCACATTCTGCATATGACTCGGGCTGATTCGATATCATTCAGCATACACTACACACTACACACTACACTATCATACACCTTTGACTTGCTGCTGCACACTGCTGATCCCCTCCTCCCCCTCCTCCTCCTCTTATCGTCTGTTAGGCATAGACTCCCTCTCTCCTTCCATCTACTTATTCTCCCTGTCGCGCGCTTCCGTTTTCTTTTTTTTTTTTTTTCTCACTCTCCAAGTAATCTTTCGCGCGCGCGCGCACGGGCCTCCTTGCTGTGCTACCTCGGAAACGGCTGCAACAGCAGGCTGAGCGCCTCCCAATTTTTGGGCGTGCTTGCGTGTGTGTGTGTGTGTTAAGGAGCAACGCACGCAAACATGTGGAGAAGAAGACGCAACAAGCGTTCAATTGCCATAGTTACCGTCGCCATGACAGTGTTTTATTTGAATCTTCTTTTTCGCTCAGGTGATGACTGAGGTACACATACACACGCGCACACATAACATGCAAAATATGTCTGGCAAGCCTAAAATAGGCAAGCGAATCGAGCAACAGGGATGGTTCGTATCGAGCGGCGAGCTGGCATTCACTTTTTTTGGAACAAAGCAAAACGTCAAAGCCTCAATTTTCATTACCGCAACAACACTACTGCAGAGCGCTCAGTTTCCCCCCCCCCTCCCCTTCACTTCACGCCAACCTCAGCGTCCCCTTTTCTCTTCCTCCTCCCCCCCCGCCCTTTTTCCAACGCACAAGAAGGGGTTGTACACAAAACAGCTGGTGACAGTGAGCTTACCCTTTGTTCGCTGCTCTTTGTATTCTCTTTTTTCTATACTCCTGAAATAAGCATTTAATGTTTGTCCGAACAAGTATTCGGCTCTAAACGGAGTATTCCGATCAAGTGTTTCATGAGGGAGCGGGGAGGGGGTGCAAAGAAAGGAACGCGCTTGGCTGTATAAAATTTTTACAATGGAATCCAAACAAGGCAACCATCTACGCTACTACTCGTGATCCTAGCTTGCTGTGCAACAAAGCATCAGGGCGCGTCAAAAAGAACAAGGGGTGTGGAAGAAGTACAAGTAGAAGCGGAGTCTCACTTACTAGAATGACTAACTGCTGTATGTCTTTTTTTTTTTTTCTTTTTTTCGTGCCTGTCAGCTGTGTTTTTTGACCGATGGAAGAAGGAAGAAAGAAACATTCCGGACGCGTGGTTTTGTGTGTGTGTGTGTATGCTGACGGTAGTACATGCCAACAACAAAGATGCGACCGTTTCGTCACAGTTTTTGTCCAGTATGATGTAGATGCTCTTTTGTCGTCTTGTTAAGAAACTGTGAGGAATTTTGCACCGAAGCCAGTGGTTCCCCAAATCGAGAAACTCTTCTGCAGATGTGGCGTACTCTGACTCTCTCTCTCTCTCTCTCTCTCTCTCTCTCTTCCTGCCCACGACTTGTAAGGTCCGAATGTTCGGTTGATTGCCTTGCAGCCCTCCCACGCGAAGCCCGTTGCTGTGCTGTATGTCGCAGATCCATCTTTTTCTGTTTCTGAGAAAAAAAAAAAAAGGGTGTGTATCGCGATGCGGGAAGGGAGCCTGTTTGAGCAGGGGAGAGTGTGGATACAGAGAGGTTCAGCAGCATGTGACGACGATGACAGCAGGATGCAGCTCAAGAGCCAATTCTTCCCTCTTTCTTTGAAAACCGTGGGGGCCGACTATGATAGGCGAGAAAGAGCAGAAAGACAGAGAGACAGAGAGAGAGAGAGAGAGAATGTGTACATGTATAAGGGCTTGTCATACCCACACTGCTTTTTTGTTTGACAGTTTAGAGCGTATATTGATTGAGCTGGTGAGACAAACACCAGCTATTGTCATAACGCTTCTAGAAGAACGACGGAACTCTGTTTCCCAACGTCCCCATCACAGAAAGGCGCGCACGTGCATGCAGGTTCAAATGTGCTATCGATCTACATACATGATGGCCCCGGTTAACTGGAACAACGCCCGCCCAGCAAACCCTACATATCCTCTCTCTCTCTCTCTCTCTCTCTCCCTTTCCCTGTACTGCTTGTCTGTAGAAAGCATGCACGCACACCCCCCCCCCCCGGGGGGAGGGATTTCCCATCAGCAAGTAAAATAGGAATGAGAATGAACTTATATTAAAATTGAGGTCATATACAGCTGCCATAGTGAAATTAGCATATCTTGAAAAGGGGGCAAATCGGGATTACCGAGAATAAAGAAACTTGCATGGTGAACAAAATGAAAGAGAGAGAGAGAGAGAGGGCGTAGTGCGATTAATTAGAAGAAAAATAGATACGGTGGCTTTCCTTTTTTCTTGATTCCTCCGTGGCACACAGCAAATGAGAACGAGAGTGGATGAGAAATCGACGTCGTCGTAAAGTAGTAGTAGTTGTAGTAGTTGTAGTAGTTGTTGTAGTAACAGGTGCGTTATGACATGGCGGAAATGAAGAAGCATGATGGTATGGACGGATGGGGGGGTATTTACGAACGGGGAAAATGAAAAGAAGAACAATGATCAAACGAGAGAATTGGATGCCGGGCTAAATGGTACTCCGGATGCTTTTTCTGATGAACGCCAGCACCTGAGGGCCTGTGTGGCATCTGGGCTCGTTCCGGAAGTGTCGTCCGCGCGCATCGGATCGTGGAAATGCTTTTAGACAGCAAGGACAGACGTAGGGTTTGATGCCAGTATGCACGCGAGTGTGTCGTTCGAGGTCGTGGCGCCGTGCAAAGGTGCGGGTGCAAACCCCACATTGATGCGGTCGTCCACATCCTGTCGTCGTCGTCGTCGAGTGTCGGCGTGGATACGCGCGTCTTTTCGAACAGGTCTTTTTCTTTTCGACAGGTGTTTCAGCGTATCCTTGGGTGGCCTCCTCCTCCTCCTCCTCCTCCTCCTCATAGATGTTGCTGTTGTAATGGACACTGCTGATGCTGCTCGTACTGCTACAAGCGCTACTGCTACAAGCGCTACTGCTACTGCTACTGCTGCTACTGCTACTGCTGCTGCTACTGCTGTCGCGCCGATAGGTGAAATAGTCGGTCATCGGGAACTGTTCTTCGGATGCTGTCGTCAACGATGCATCGCTGTAAGCGCAGTAGCTGCTATCTGCCGTCAGCGGTGGCGGATGCATGTCGACATCCGGATAGCCCAGCTGAGGCGAATCTCCCTGCCAAGAAGAAGGCGAAAACCAAGAAGACTCCTGAACAGCCCAGGGCAGAAGGCTGTACTCTTGCTGTTGTTGCGAGTACTGCTGGAACGGATGTTGATTGTGGAGGTGCTGATCCTCCTGCTGCGCGTCCATCGTCATAGGCTCGTAGCTGCTTCCGTTGACAAAGGATCGTTCAAGATGGAGAGGATGGTGCTCAAGGTCTTGTTCTTGGTAAGGAATGCTTGGTGGGGAGAAAGAAGCAGGAACCATAGTGTGTTTTGTTGTGTGTGTGTGTGTGTGTCAGATAGAGAGAGAGAGTGTGTGTGTGTGTGTCAGGTAGGTTTAAACTTTTTTTTTTTTGTTTTGTTAAAGGACAGGCAAACAAGAAAAGCAGGTTATCAAGTGCAAAAGAATGCAAGATGCGGTTTTATATAAAAATGCCATTATTTTGATAGCGCGCAACTAGAGAGGGGGTTGGGTGGGGAATTGATTTTTTCAGGTTATTCACCGAAAAGGCAATCTCGGTCGTCTCGTATATACAGAGGGGCGAATGCTGCTGTATGGAGGATTGATGTGTGTTGTATAGAGCCATACACTCACTCCAGTACACGTGAGTCGCATATAAACGCTTTGCCCCCTTATTTGGTTTAGGCGCACGGTGAACTGAGGGGGGAGGGGGAGAACACCTGATAAGCCAGGCCAATGCTCGGAAGCTTGCCGCAAAGACTGATACCACCGACCCACAAAGGGCCTTGGTGGACCCCCGCGCAAGTTTCAGTGCGATGATCGATTAAGCCAGTAACTTTTTGTCAGTTAGCAAAAGAACCTTCCGTGCTAGAATACACTATTTATGTGAGGTAGCAATGATGCCACCCACTAACTGTTATTTTTATCGGCAACACCGTTGCTGCTTTCCCTTGGCGCAAGCCACATGGAAAGAAACAACAGCATTGTCCGCAGTTTAGAAACCATAACATGAACCTTACTCTGTTGTCAACGTATTATTACTCGGTAGTAGTTATTGCCCCTTCTATTGCGTCAAGATGATACTTTTTATTTCTGAGCTAGCAATCCAGTGTGTCGCAACAATGCGCTGACATCTACGTTACCCCGGCCTCGAAACAGTTTCCAAACTTCGTTTGGCGGCGTTCCACCCCCAAGTGCCAGGACGGTGTCACGATACAGTGCTCCAATTTCTGAGATGGCCTGTTTGCCCCCACGACGCGCTGCTTCTTCAAAGGCTGCGTACGCATCTGCTGAGTAAGTTTCGGACCATTTGTAACTATAGCAGGGCGGGGGGCCCGTGTGGTGAGTGGTTCATGTTTCGGTACTGTCGTCGCTTTTCATTTGTTGTTGTCATCGTTATAGACCGCGCGACATGTTTATTTCTTCAAGTACCTGTAGTAACCTGCACTGTATCCACCACCAAAGATGTGACTAAAACTACAGAGGAACCGATCCTCTGGCAGCCGCGGAACGAGCGTTGTATCTTTGGCGATCTCTGCGTCCACGTCAAACACGGATCTCTCCGAGGATGATTTGGGTGGTGTGAACGTGGAATGCAGCGCGAGGTCAACCTTGGCGAAATGAAGCTGGATGCGAAAATAATATTTATCAGGGGGAAGATGTATGCGTTCAGTATTACGTTATTTTGCAATGCACATAGAGTGATTTTTTTTTTAATAAAGAAAAAAAGAGGTTGTTGTACCTGTCGTAGCATCGCCATACCGCTCAGGAACTCACGACCCTTGACGAGTGCGTCAACCATGTCGTGAGGCATGGCTTCCCCTGTCTTGTAGTGGCCCGAAAGGCGCTCAAGCCATTCCGGCTCGCTGCAAAAGTTCTCCATGAACTGTGACGCGACCTGGGGCAAAACGACAATAGGGTTCAGAAAAAGAAAGCGCAGGGGCCATCAACATAACAACAACAACAACAATAACAACAACAACAACAGTGGTGGTGGTAATGTTACCTCTACAAAGTCCCATTCAATACCATTGATGCCAGAAGCGTCAGGGTACTCTACACGGGTCATCATCTAGCAATAAGCAAGATAAGAGTTTAGTCAGGCGACATGGACCTCTCTCTTTTCTAATAAGAAAAAACAACACCCACTCTCCAATAAAAACATGCTTTGGCCTGGAACTCACATGTTGCAGGCAGTGACCAAATTCGTGAAACAAGGTCTCGACGTCTCTAAACTTCATCAAGGAGGGTTCATCCTGCGACTGCGGCGACGGTTGGTTGCATATAAGGTATGCTAAAACGACGAGCGATGAAGGAGACAACACATGAAGAGAGCAAAAACTTGAGGGGGACAAATGAATAACAAAAGAAGGACGAAACTTACCAACAGGCAACGTTACTTGACCATCCAGATGCTTCGTGCGCGTCGTTACAGTATCCATCCATGCACCACTCCGCTTCTCCGAGGGTCTTGAATAAAAGTCGCCATAGAAATACGCCTTGATTTGACCTTTCTCGGACACTTCAAAAACCTTGACATCGTCGTGCCACCTTGTAATGTTGCTTGCTTCCAACTCGGCCAAACCCAATTCCCGCACCTGGATCCCCAGCACCTCATTCGCCACGTCAAACAGGCCCTGGAGCACCTTGGGGAACGCAAAGTACTGCGAGATGGTCTCCTCGTCGTACTTGAACAGCTCCTTGCGGTATTGTTCAGAGACGTAGCCCGTGTCCCAGGGCGACAGCGGGGTTGTTGTTGCCATGCCAAGTTTGGTAGCTGCAAACTGCGTTAATTGTTCAACCTCTTTTTGTGCATTTCCGACAGATGCGTCAAACAGCCTGTCAACTAAGGTCTGGGCCGATTCAACTTTCTCGGCCATCTTCACTGAAAGGGACAAATCCGCATGCGACTTGTAACCCAGTAAACTGGCTTTCTCCCGTCGCAGAGACAGGATCTCATTGATGACTGGTTCGTTGTCCATTGCACCTACCGACGCTTTGGTAATGTTTGCTTTGTAGACCTATTACAGAGAAAAAAACATGGGATAGCAAAAAAAACCCCCACCCCTCTCCTTTCGTCAGTGCATACTGCATGGTGCATATTTCCCCCAATATGGGTCTTCTTTTTATTGATTTACCTCCTCGCGTAAAGCACGGTTGCTGCAGTTCATCATAAACGGTCCATAGATAGGGTAGTCGAGCGTAATGCAGTAGCCCTCCGTCTCACCCAGTCGCTCTCCATTCTTCTTTAGCGTTTCCAAGAATGCTTCTGAGCAGCCTTCCAGTTCAGCACGATCCTTTACTACATGCTTATACGCCTTTGTCGCATCCAGCACGTTGTTGTTGAAAGAGAGCGACAGCTGCGAGAGTCGCTCCGAGATCTCGTTAAAGCGCTTCTTTTCGGGCGACTTTTCAGGGAACCCAATACCAGCGTTCTTCATACCACGCAGTGTCTTGTCTACAATGCGTTGCTGTACCTTATCCAACTTGTTCCACTCATCCGACTCCTTCAATGCTTCCAGTGCGTTGTACTTTGGAACGGACTGGTTCATCAGCAAGCCTAATTTGACGAATTCAGGCTTTGAAAGACCGGGGTCGGTTAGTACATTTACATGTCTCGGTCTCCTCCACCCATCCATCCATCCAATCGCCCTTTCCCCCCCCAGTAAACACACCCTCAACGCCTCGCGTCTCCTCTCTGTTCCCACACACACACACACACACACACTCAGCCCTCCACTCTCGTGTACCTGAATCTTCTCGAGCGTTTCACGCAATTCAGGAGAGTTTTTGACACCGTTCAAGTGTGACAGAATGCCATATGCGCGTGATATTTCATCTTCAAGCTCGGATACTGCGAACAAGGGAGCAAAAAATTAATATTCCCTCTGTTATTTCAATCAATCCAATGCTGAACCCTGCTTTTTTTTTTTTTTTTTTTTTTGCTGTTGCTTTATGGCACGACCCAGCCTTCCCCCCCATCGACACACCGCCTTACATTGTCCAATAGTTCCTTCAAACGTGGGCTTAAACTGCTCCTCCAATGTCAAAAACTGATCGCGTGCTGCAGCAATCAATCCTTCAAATACGGGAATCGCCTGTTCTGGTTTGCATTCGCCCAACAATCGCTCAAAGTCGGGAAAGAGTTTCCATTGAACAAAAGGCGATTGTTTGTACGGCGCAGCAGTTTCAGTGGTAACTGTTGCCATGTTACGAAAGGTTGTTGTTATTGTTTTCAACGTGGGACGAGTGGTAAAAACGCGCTGGTAGATCTTTGGGGTTGCTTTGTTGCACCATTGAGTGGCAGCGGCTCTTCTTTCAACAGTCATGGTGCGTCGTGAAAGTGCTCGGGCATTCGTAGGACTTTTATTCTGCAGCAATCGACTGATCGACTGGTTCGTTGTTCGGGCTGTGGCTCTGTACATACTCGGTGGAGCGTTATGTAGGTGTTGTTTTCAGCAGAAAAATCGATATATACTAATCTGCCTCATTGCGTCACGGTTAAGTTTGCGGAGATTTTGAAAAGTGCTTCACGCTTAGACAATGTGTGTGTGTGTGTAACTGTTGTACTTGCCTCTCACCCGTTCTCATTCTGTGCTTGCTAAAGTTAATATACAAATTAAAAAATGTGCCCTTATTTATGTACTACACTAATTCTTTTTTTTTATCAATGATACTTGCAGATATTGATTGACAATGTACTATCAAACAATACGATGATAATTTAGGCACTACAAAAGACAAATGGCCATTTTCTTTACATTGCACTTGTGTAATATTATTAAAAGCTGTATGTAGCAAGTGTCAGTAAGCCGCTTCATAAACTCTTTACATCCCGTCAATAAGTAAGGTCTCTGCAAAAATGAGCACGTCATCCATCGAACGGGAAAGTAGAAAAGAAAGCAACTGCGTGCATAGAACTTGTATTTTATGATAATGTACGCTTGCAATCATCTCTGACAGAAACAGCAGGGTGGTAGCCGTAATAGCAAACCATGAGAACAACGATCGAAGAAAATAGTGGTGACTTGGGAGCCTTATCGTTTTGCTGTCTGCTGGTGTCACACTTGACCTTGTCTTCTTCTTGGCAATTTCCTATCCTTTCGTTGGAACTGATAGCCGTCCTTACACTCCTACCACTCTGTCTCGATCTTGTTCTTGTCATTGGCATTCTGGACACACCGATAATATAGAGTTACATATTAGAGAATCTTTTCAAAAAGCTGATTCACTTGCTTAATATGTACGATGCACACCTGTCCATATCCTTTGCTCTGCAATGATGTAACGTTTGTTGTGGTAAAAACTGCTTGTATCAGAAACAACGTCTGCCATGGTGAGAAGATTGTTCGATGTCCACTGTTGGTATTCCTGCATATGTCATGTTGTAAGAACAAAATAAGAAAGAGAAGAAGGTTGGTCAGGAAAGGAAGAAACCCTGCGTCAATAATACACATCTTTATCTTGGAACTGATGTTGTAGTGGTAGTAGTGTGTATGCAGATATTCGTGAGTGCAGTTTATTACTGTAAATATGCCGTTTCGGAGTGTTTGCATGTGTGAGTGAGTACGATGTTATAGTTTACCAAGGTAAAGTTATAAGAAAAGCTTGTATCATTTATACTACACATCATTGATAAATTCTTTACAAACTGTTGTCATATTGCGTGACGGCCGGTTTATCTAATATAGGGAAGAGAGATATGTTGTCAGTGGCTTCGGAAGAGTTACAGAGCCAGCAGGGAAAGCCGTATGAATAAAAGATAATACAAAATTTAATTACAATGTACTAACATATACAGTAGAGACATCGTAATTACTTTTCTGTTACATATGTTTATAAGCAAAACCGTAAAGTGAGGAGAATATCGATTGCAATCCATATGGTGCACACTGAATTCAAATCATCAAAATAGTCCAATTACATACCGACCCAAAAATAAAAAAAACAAATCGTATCAGAGTTAGCAGATATGCTTTTCACAGAAACTAAACCGTAAACATATGTCTATTAATGTATTCTGAACAGACCCTACGGTTCACTTTGGAAAGAAAAAAGCACCTGTGATACAACTTGAAGTTTTGTCAGAAAATGAAGAGGCCCAAGATTTCGACAAGGGGTATTGTTCGAAAGGTGGAAGTATACTTTTAGCAGTGTGTAACCTGAATGGCTCATGGTTGCACATTGTCAGCTATACAGTGAACCTACCTGGAAGAAAACCGGTTTGAAAGGGACTGATCACCGCCTGGCCACAGGGTAGCAGACGGGAATTGAGTAGGCGAGTGAGAATCTTGGCATCAGTGTGTATGAGAGAGATGGGATGCCAATTCGACGACCGAGACCATTCTTGGGCAGCAGACAGAGACGGGTTTGAGTCCAAGACTCCGGGAATACACCAGCAAAGAGAGCGGCATTATAGACTTAAACAGCGAAATCTCCACAAGAAGGGTGCCTAAAAAAAAGTAGCTTGAGGAGGGGAGTGAAGAGACCATCACAACCTGGGCTACTGTTTTTGGGAGCACGTCTTGCACCTTGGTTCAAAGTGTTGCGGTCGAATTCTTGTAAGAGGACTGAAGAGTTAGGCTCAATAGATGGCAAATGAGATAATAGAGCGGAAACGGCAGCGGTATCAGTGCGATCTCGCGAGTATAACTTTGGCGTAAAAGACTCAGGCAGCATCAGTCATATGTTCCATCTATAGCCACCAAAAATGAAAAAAAAATGATATAGAAGATGTATATATCATAACGTTAAAAAATGTATCAGTCCTATATTCCGATATGACGATGAGAAGCATACATCCTAAGGAGAGAAAATTTCCATTAAAGCGAGAGCTTCTTCATCGGCTGGAGTATCTTACGCATAAGCGTCGAAGCCTTTTGCGATTTGGTTCGCGATTACTTGCTGCCTTCTGTAGCTTAGTTGGTTTCCCATATAAGAAAAAATAGCCAAGTAAGATGATGATGGGCGCTTCTTGCGTCAACTTATAACATGATATGTATACTTGTTTGTTAACATGAGCGGTAATATATTACTCTGATATATCATTTTTCCCTTTTACTTGGTAGAACCAGTCAACTTTGAGCCCTTATAGCTCACATAAAAAACAATTATGGAACAACAATGCACAATACTGATTCGAAATAAGCATAAAAATACATGTTGTGCATCTTAATTATTTTGATATCTTTGATGTAGGGGACGAAATAAGTCTCAAAGTTGATGTAAATTTTTGGCGGTTATAGATGAAATACACCATCGGCTTCTTGCTGATTGTGCTTTCCCGGGATCTGCTGCCGATGTCGCTGCCAAGATTCTCACGTGTTTTAGTAGAAAGTGGCAAGCCAATCTTGCTAGGGTTGGGATGTATACAACAAAGTCTATGAAGCTCGTCGAAAACGTTCTTGATGAGCAATTAGAGTGCGTGGGAGCGGAACTGTCCGTGCATACGCATTTTTCCTCATTAGTTAAATTCCTGCACTCATTCTGATTCGTTTATCGTATACTGACAACAGTAAAGAATGAAACAAGAGTTTAGTAAGAGAACACGTATACTATATGCATGTGATTGGTTATTGCTACTACTGCAGTGTGGCACAAAAGGAAGAGAGGAGCAAGGGTCTAAGGATCCTCACGAAAACCGAGGAACCGAGACAAAAGTCGGGTCACGTTCCGTTCTTGACGGGTCAGTTCCATGGAAGAACCGAAAATAGAACCGTTTCAATTCTCTTTGCTCGGGAACCGAGAACTGAGTACATCATTACAAGGTCCATTGCAAGTGAGAGCAATGACTGTAAAAGAATGATTGTAAACGGAGAAACGAGTTGAATTGCTGTTTTTTTGGCAACGAAAGGGAAGAATAAAGGAGAAAAGAGAAAAAGCAGAAGTTTTATAAGCACCAGGAGCCCAGAAGCATAGTGGTTTCCTGTTTCCTCAGACAAACAATTGTTGCTGAGCATGCACCAGTGAGTGCTGCAAACCAAAGGGAGGCCAAGACGGCGTTACGTAGATGGTCTAGTACCAGCAGCTGGAGTACTTAACAATCAATTACGCACAATCGTACTGTTATCGACAATGAAATAAAGCACGTCTTTCATCCACAATATTTGCTAAATACGACGATAATTACGTCCTCCCTCAATCAGTACTACAACAATGAGTAACCCCATCTCTTTTGATTTGCAACCGAAAAATTTGAATCAGGCCGGTTCTGGCAGAGAACATACTGTACCCATCCCAACCTCTGAGGACCATTACAAGTGCTATGTACTTTAAAACATTTAAATCAACTCTTTCTACCGCTCAATATGACGTGATCTGATATAAAACTCGACGCTCCTTCAGCGCGCATAAAAAAAGGATTTCTTTCGCTTCTCCTTTTTATATACTTTCGAGAGTGTGTTTACATATCATACCCCAACATTAATTTCAAATGACAGCCTATTCTAAAGGTTCGTCTCCCCCAGTGTCACCACCGGGACCGTCGAAATGGCGTATTCGACCAAGTCATCGAGGATTCATGATACCTGCCATCCAGAAGACAGTAAACAAAAATGGCGACAAGGTAAAGCCTACTTTCTACCATTAACCAGAGTATAGGACGGAAAGATAAATGTGAGCGAGAAAATACTGACAAAAGGCTTTTTTTATGAATTGTTTTAATTCTTCAATTCATGTTTTTGTAGAAGGGTAAAGCGCCTCAAAAATCGCAGGACTTGAACGATTGTTTCGAAGAAGCGTTGCAACAAACAAACGCACCTGATAAAGACGACGACCAAGACGGCACTAACAATGACCAACCGACACCTCAGAAAAAACCAAAGCGCAATAGCAACATCAGCAGCAGCAGCAAAAGAAGACGCTTGGAGCCCACAGCTATTGATACCATCAAAGAGGCATCATTAATGAAGCCTGGCAAAGGCAGCTCCTCCGAAAACCCGTCTGAGCGTAGCAGTAACAGCAGCGCTGCTGTGACGCGTAAGCGTCGCAGAACGTCGTCAAAATCCGCAGCTCAAGAAAAAGTAGTAAACGCCACTCAGAAACATGCAAAAGTGGAGGAAAGATTTGAGGTGGAAGCGATTAAGGGACACAAGATATACCGGGTAAGATAGTGTTTTCTCTCGTTATAAACATGGTTTTTTGGGTGGATGACGTGAAAAAAGAGCCATGGCAAGGGGTGATTCTACTCAACTTTACAATTTACTGAAGGATGCAAATCTATGCACTCATATAGAGCAGGGTAGTCAAATACGAAATCAAATGGCTTGGATATTCTGAAAAGCACAACACCTGGGAGCCTGCTACCAGTTTCCATGAGTAAGTAGCGGGTTGGACCACCTGGATTTCTGTTGACGATCCCATAGCGCACCGCCTTTTATAACTCGAGAAGCATGTGCGCTAACTATCAAAAACCTTCCCTTTTGGATGTGCGGTCATGTACGTGTGGTTATTCTTCTTTTTCTATGACTCCGTCGTCGCAGGGACTGCCTCAAGTTATGCGCTTCGTATTGGGCAAAGCATAAGGAACGGCCGAAGAACGCCCCGACTGTTACATCGATAGCCAAAGAGCAGCAACAGAAGGAGCCGGAATCAACCAAACCGGAAGACAAGTATCTCAAGCGGCTCAAAGAAAACAACATCACCAACGACGATCTCCACGAATCCCTACGGAACCAAGGATTCAAGATCGCATACGGCACTGGATTTCCTACAGCAACTACTGACTGGGCCCGCGAAATGCGTCAAATCCATGTATTGCAGCCCGTGGTGGGCACGGATCAAATTTTAGCTTATGTGAGCTGGTAAGGAGCATGTCTTCCCTCCCCTTCTTTCCACATCACACATCTACAACCCCTCCCCCCCGCCGCGGATTTGTCTTATTCGTTCTTTTCTTGTTTTTATGAAGAAAAGAAAAATAACAATGATGCGCTTGCTTTCGTGCTCTCTAACTCTGTTTGTAGGGTTAACAAAAAGAAGACTGTGCACGCTGTACAAGAGCTTCACGAACACTGTCCCGGTGAGGTAAGAAAGATGTCATCTTCAAAAAAGCACCCTATCCAAAAATACAGACGCATTTAAAGCTTACTGGTATGCCTGCACGTCTAACACACCACATCCCCTTTCATTTCTTTCTCTCTCGATATAGCTCATCAGTTTCTATGAAGCCCGCTTACGCTTTGCAGATTAGCTTGTGTGTATACGTGTATGTCTTCCAAAAGCACAAAGCAAAAAAGCAAAAAGAAAAGGCAACTGCGGCGTCGACTCTGCTCTTTCCTCTCTTTCTCTTTTATATTCTTTTTTTTTTTTTACCCTTGCTTATGACCTTTTTACTGTAAACCCTGAAGCTTTATATTGACTTTCTATCTCAATTGTATCTTTGACTCCAATTTGCATCGCGATCATAATAAATATATATATATATATGTATATCCGTATATAATCTGACAGATATGTGGATTGTTACACGGATTGTAACTTTTTCTGTATGCACACACGACCAACTGAAGTGGCATCTGTCATAATTTTTCAAGTCAGATAACTTAATGAGTGTAGAATTAAATAGTTCTAAAATAACCGTCTGTTTACTGTGTAAGTGATGGAAATTGAGACCGTGGCAATAGATAAAAATACCCACCAATGCTACAAATTAACAGTTTACAATACAAGGTAGACAAACGAAATACATACGGAAGAAAGAGAAAAAATTTTCCTCTAGTTAAAGGAGTAGGGAATCTTCACACATAGTCCGCTACTGCACCAGCGAACATATAAAGCTCACTCACACAACAGCATCGCCTTCGAATTACACCACTCTGGTTGTTATTATTTTTTCGTCCAGCACAGTGTTGATTTGTCTGTAAAGGAGCCGCCGTAATACTGAGAAAGAAGCCAAGCAGGAATCAGGTTTCGTTTGTTAAGGGACCATTTTTAGATAGTAGATATCAATTTTCTCTTTGTCATCCACGATGAAAGCATTGAACGCTTGCTTATCAGTTCAAGTCTTGTCAGCTAATAACATTAAAAAGCAAAAGAAAGCAAACTATTTTCGGTTTGTTTATCCTAGTTGAACTCATTGGTTGCTAAGGTTATTAGTCTCGTAGGTCCCTTTATGCATATTAATACTTTCCTCGTAAATGTACACTATAGGCGCTAATAAAGAGGCAATTATGGATGTTTTGAAGGATGACCCCGTTGGTGATAACTATGGTAATGCTGATGAGCCAGGTTATTTGGTCTGCAAGAGAAGTATCGGGATATTGACCTGCTGCATGACCCCCAGCGAAATTGACAGATTATTTGGCCACCTCTTCCACAACTTCTCGATCATTTTCAACTGACCAAAAGCATTCTGCATCTCCTGTACCCACTCGTGTTGGTGACGATGACGACGACAGCTACAGTGACGACTCACAATACAGTTATTCTGATGACTCTCTGGACTACATGAGCTCGAAGAAGAACAACAAGTCGGTCAAAACTCCACCTACCAGCAGCAATGAATCCATCGTCCGAGAATGAAAAAATGGAGAAGAAGCGCAAACACGTATCGATTGAAGACGAGCAATGATACCATTTGTATATATCCTACCACGCACATTTATCAACATTGTCATATTCTTCTCAAGAAACTTGTGTAATACATGAATTTACTGTACTTAACTCTTGTTCATCCAAAAGATCAAATATATCGTTCTCATACATCATGATGAAGCACATGTACAAGAGACTCTCAAAAAATAGCTAGCTAGTTGAACTTTTCTGGTTATTTTGCATGCATCATACAGTATATGAAGGTGATTCGCGCGTATGGCAACAGCACATATCATCATGAACGGGGGTTGCTTCAACATGTTTACTAAAACTGATGATGAAAAGGAGCAGGTGAACAATCAAGCTGCCTGATGTGATGTAAGGAAAGGCTAGTTTCAATGCCACAACATAAGTATTCCCTATGATATATTCTCCATGTATCCCGCTATGTACGCTTGCCTCATTCTGTAACGATCGAAAGTTAGGGCAAATCATATATAGCATAGTAAATAGTTAACCACATTCTGTCACTTTATACTTTGCATTCGACTAACCGCATCAATAGGTCGCATGGGTGCTAGATATGATGATTATAAATGCATCCCTTATGTAGACACCAACCGAATAAACAGTCGTAACAAGCTGATCATCACATTGAGTCTTGCTGACAACACCTTCTTTAAAGAACCTTATTGTGATCTGGGATGATCGCGGAGTATGCGCGCATCATGAAACAAGTTGTACACACTAACAATGCTAAAAAGCAAGAGGCTGTCAAATCATGTGTCTGTTTTCAAAGAACATATTAAACATATGCCACCAGATCAGATTTTCACTAATTATTCCAGTGCTGCATTCTAAAGTACTTTGCACAATTTATCATTAATGAAAACAAGAGAATTATGTATAAATACACTCGTACGCGCATGATCAATGTAACCAGACGGTGGCAGATCCCAAGAACAGAATTGCCATTTTGAATGCTTTTTTCTCACATTTCCGACGAAATATGACAAATATTTACACATTAGTGTATACAAATCTTTGAACCTGTAACCTGAAACATGACGGTCTTCAATGACGCTGACTTGTTCTTTCTTTCACACTTTCTTTCCCTTTCTCTCGACTTCTCTAATCGTAAAACTTCCAAAAACTCCTTGATAACGACTATCCGCTCTATTGATAAATCTATATAGATCTAGTCGCTCTTTATTATCACGATAATATTATATACTGAATATACAACGTAAATCAAAATGTCGTCAAACCCATCCCTATTGCCCTCTAATACTACGTCACCTCCTATATCGCGCACTTCCAACGACAAAACTCCTCTTCTTCACCGATATTCATCTATTGAAGACCAAAATTATTACCACGCAACAATCAGCAATTGTCACTACGCAGGCCATGTAGTGAGAGACGTCGAGGTACAAAAGCAAGAAACTGATATACAGCAGCCGCTCTCAGCACGAGCGATACTTCAAGAGCTCAAGGTGCTTGTACAAATATCCAATCCAGTTGTCCTGACTTATATGCTCCAATACTCGCTCCAAACAGGATCTGTCCTTGTGGTTGGCCGTCTAGGACCGGAAGAGCTGGCTGCGTCAGTGTTCGCGTTCATGTTTGCCACCATCACTGGATGGTTATTAGGCTTAGGAGGATCTACTGCGCTAGGTAAGCATGACAGCACTTATAATCATCATCATCTGCAACCCTTTTTCCTTTTATTATTTTGAGTGCACTTATATGTGGAAAAAGTAATATAACAAAAAAAGAATGTGTTGTGCAGATACACTCGGCTCACAGTTATGGGGTGCTTCGACCGGCAAGATAAATGAAGAGAGACGGCTCATGATGAATATATTGTTTCAACGCGCTTGCATCGTTCTAAACGTATGCTTTATTCCCGTGGCCATCCTTTGGTATTTCGTGGACCCCGTCCTCCGACTATTGGGACAAGATGCCTTGCTATGTCAGATGGTGCAAAGCTTTCTGCGCTATTCAATACCTGGTACATTATCAGCACTCTTTATAACAAAGAGCAACTAGCGTCACTGTTGCTACTACTGGACATCAGCAATTACACGATAATTTGGTTTATTGATGAAGCGTTTGTTTTGTTTATTAGGGACACCAGCATATATTGGATTTGAAATAACCAAAAAGTATCTTCAAACACAAGAGGTCCTACCACACGCAAGCACGTTGACGCTTCTGGTGTGTTCACCTCTCAACATGCTCATTACTTACCTTTTTGTGTACGAATTCGACCTTGGATTTATTGGTGCACCCATCGCAGCGTCTTTGACGCATTGGATTATGCTCTTTGTCCTACTGGGTATCATGTATGTTGTTGGTGACGGCAAAACTAAGCAAACAAAATGGGGGCTTTTGCCAATCCACCGGCGCGCTTTCGAGCAATGGAAACCTTTCCTTGCACTCGCTATACCAGGTGTTCTTTCCCTTGGAAGCGAATATGCAGCCTTTGAAGTGATTACTGTCCTTGTTGGCTTGCTTGATTCTTCTACGACAATGGCTGCTCAAAGCATAATTGTTATCGCAGACGACATATTGTGTACGATTCCTCTCGGCATTTCAGTCGCAACCACGACGCGTGTTGGTTATTGGCTTGGCCGTGGCTTGCCAGGTCACGCAAAAATGGCATCGTTTGTTAGCATTCTTTTTGCATTGTCTGTTGGAGCTGTCGCTGCCATTGTGTTACTCGTCACCAAAGACAGCTTTGGATACCTTTTCTCTAAAGACACCACTGTTGTGGGACTTGTTGGTAAAGTTCTGCCGTATCTTGTGATCTTCCAATTTGTCGATGGTGTTGCAGGCGCTTCCGGTGGCGCACTCCGAGGAGCTGGCTGTCAGCACTGGTCCGCGTCTGCCAATTTAATCGGTTATTACGCGTTCGCTTTACCACTTGGGGCATTTCTCTCGTTTGGATCCGCACATCTTGGGTTACTCGGACTATGGGCTGCGCTCTGCGCTGGATTGTTCGCAATTGCTGCTATACAAACAATCGTTCTTTTACGTATGAACTGGCAGTGCCAGGTTGAATTATGTACTTTACGATTCAAGAAATAAACTTAAAATATGAGTCCTGATAAGTGAGATGAACAAGACTGTTTGGGAAGCATCAACAATAAAGCTGGAAAGCATTACTGTCCTAAAAGACCCAGCTCTAGAACTGCTTAAGACTGAATGCAAATCCAAAAGCATCCGCATACTGCAACAAAAACAACCAATATGAAAGATACAAGACAGAAGAAATATGGCTCGGGAGAAAACCTAGTTTTTTATTGAAACTATCTGTGCTTAACGCAAAGTAGAAACTTATTGAGCAGCGGCAGCAGCGCGTCTGCGGTCACGCTCTTCAGCAATGGTGAGCTTGACACCCTTACCCTTAGGAAGGGAAATCCAGGGCTTGTTACCTACACAGCACAATCATACATGATGAGAAAACTGCAATCAAGAACCAATATAGAGCGAAACAATAAACATTAAAAAATATAATGATAATTACCTTCACCAATTGCGAAGACGTTGGAGATACGGGTGGCGAAAACGCGGTCCAAAGAATCCTTGACGTGGACGATTTCGAAACCACCAACGTGACGCTCACGGTGGGTGATGATACCAACACGACCAATGTTACGACCACCAGTGATCATGCAGACGTTACCGGTGTCGAACTTGACAAAGTCGGTGATCTTGTTGTTCTCCAAGTCGAGACGGAGGGTGTCGTTGACCTTGATCAAAGGATCGGGGTAACGGAGAGTGCGACCATCGTGGGTGACGACGTAGGGAACGGCGCCCTTGCCAACCATGACCTTCTTGACACGGCACAACTTGTACTTGGCCTCCTCATCGGTGATGCGGTGGATGGCGAAGCGACCCTTAATGTCATAGACGAGACGGAAGTTCTCACCAGTCTTCTCAATGGAGATGACATCTGATTGTCAAAACCAAATGAAAAAAGAACAAGTAAAGAAAAAGCATCCGAGATTCGTCAAAGCTCTCGCCATCAATCACCATGTTTCTTACAAAAATATGCATTCCCATACACAGCCCTTCCCAAAATGAAATTTTTTTCTTCACTTACCCATGAAACCAGCGGGGAAGGTGGTGTCAGTGCGGACCTTGTGGTCGACCTTGACCAAGCGCTGCATGAGAATGGACTGAACTTCACGACCGTTCAAAGCGTACTTGAGGCGGTTACGCAAGAAAATGATGAGGGGCATGCACTCACGGGTCTTGTGGGGACCGGCACTGGGCTTGGGGGCATACGAGCCTATATATCGTCCAATTCAAGTCGACAATTATTAGTTTCAGGTGATTGCAAAATTCAATTGAGATCAGTATTGGTTTGATTCAGATCCAAAAAGTTCGTCATGGTTTGTCTGACTGTTGAGCTTGACTAAAAGTTTTTGGTAAATCATCATAACCATGTACACTCTCTATGAGTGTACGCCAATACTGAAGGTTGGGTTCTGTGTTTGATAGATTTATACATACCCAAAAGCTTGTCAAGCATCCAGTGCTTGGGAGCTGCCAAACGCTTCATGTGTTTCTTGGGACCACGAGCCTATTTAATTAAAACATCATATACGTTAATCATCCATCAATCCATCCATCCATCCATCCATCCATCCATCCATCCGTTAAGAAACCAATGCATCCTTTACACTGGTATCATGGATGGACATGGTTCATGATCATTACTTACCATTGTTGATAGATGAAACTATTCAAAAAAGAGGAGGATGTGTCATTTGGGCCGCTCGAGCTCTTTTAAATTAGAGCTGAGTTCAGAATATAACAAAGAAGTCGGCGTGGCCAGGCACGTTGGCTTGTCAAAAAAAAAAAAAAATGTTTTCCGATCCAGCTTCAGCGGCTCTGTTAGTCACGAAAAACAACATTGATTTCACAGCAGGACGATGAATATCACATTTTGTTGATTAAGCATAGCTAGTTTTATTGTGTGCTGCTTCCACCCTAATATCACGGCATTTTCTAGCTTGGAAGCAGCAGTTTTACTTTCTTCGGTGTATATCTTTGAAGTTGCTTATATCCAGAATAGAGCAAGTGATAAATGAATAGTTTTTCAAAGAAATGCATTCACGGTTACGACAACAAGGTTAACAATGATAATACTGCTGGTGCAGAGCTGTCGAGTATGAGAAAAGAAGAAGTGAGGGTGGAACATAATGTACCAGTCAAGACATGTTACAGCTCCAATATGTCGTAACATATTATTAAGTGATGTGCCAAATTAATGCTGTCATGGAGAGAAGCAAACAGGTTTTGTAAAACTGAGAGCTATTTCTGGATCTATGAACAATTTCTTGAAATCTAATTGGATGTTCGCGCACCGCGTAGTTGCGCCGTGTCTTTCTCGCGTAGCTCTCCCTGCTTTATTCTTCGTGAACAACTAAAACGTAAAAATGCCCGCGTCATCCTCAAGTCCCGTTATTGACGACACCGTACCTGGTGCAAATATTCCAACAATCGAAGAGGAGCTAAAGAAGTTTCGATTGTCGACCTACAATGCCGAAAAATTCGACAATTATATCCAAGAACTCAATAGTGCTTTGAATCCTATCGAACTTGCTTTTGGTCAATCACTCGATGCTGCCGTTGAACTGGAACGATACAACAAAACAGACGAGGTTTGCAAAGAGACTGATGCTATTTAAATAGAATACTGCAATAATTTGCTCATGTGAATAAGCGAATTGCAGGTAAAATCGCTTCAAACAACTATTCCAACGATTGTTGAACTTCAACATCAGATCAATACGCAAAAAAAGATTCTTGAAGAACTGAAGCAGCGCCTTAGACGTGAGCCAATGGTATATACACCAACTTATTTTTCGTTTTTCAATCAAGTAGACATAAGGAAGTGCGTACATATATTGACGGAGCATATGTATATGTTTATATAGAGTGATGTTCTAGACGCATATCAAAAGCAATGGACCCGTGAAAATGCAAAATACCAAATCCTCTCTGCAAAGAAAAAATACAAGACACACGACTATTACCAAACGTTTCGGCAAGAAGTTTGGGAAGTTAACCATAGGGATGAACAAATTCCGGACAGCGATGACGGTGAGGATGATGACGATGATGACGATATTGCCGTTAATGCTGTCAAACAAGCAGTAAAGTGTCCTATTACACAAACCTATCTGGAGAACCCAGTGACCAGGTAACAATCCCTTTTTCTATGGATAACTGCCGATTAAATGGCTCACCAGATACTTTTGCGTTTTCCACCACCTCCCGCAAAACTTTTTCTGTCTAGCCGTGTGTGCAAGCATACCTACTCAAAACATGCCATTATGGAGCTGATAAGAAAGCACCGAGGTCGTGTTGCTTGTCCGATTCCTGGTTGTCGAACGATGTTGAATCATCAGAATCTTCAAGACGATACTTTAGCCGAACGACGTGTAGCAAGAGTTCGGGCCACAGAAATGTCTCAACGACAAACAGAATCCGTAAGTATGCCTTTCAATGGGGATTTTTTTTATACATGAAAACTAAAAGACAAATTACACTGTTTTTAACGCTGGAATTTTTTATATGTATAGTTCTATGACGTCGAGTAAAAAAAATGGTGGGGGAGGATTGTGTGGATTTATTATTTGTTTTCCGTTAGTAGAAGCGTGCTTTGGATGTGCATGACATGAGGCCTACGTATAGAGAAAAAGTCAACATATCGCGTAATTTACTACGTATTATCCTATCAACTTACCCATAGCTCTAGCACGCTTGATAGCCTTGGCGAGTTTACGTTGATTTTTGGCGCTTACACCTAAAACACACACATATCATCATATGTAAATATACATAGCACTAATTCCATGCAGAGGAAAATAACGAAAATTAAAAACGGATATCTAGTATGAGTGTGTACCTGTCTGTTCTCGTGGGAGGATCTTGCCCATGTCTGATACAAAGTATGACAGCAATCGGACGTTCTTGTACTCGTGCAAAGGATCCAGATCCAGCACTTCAAATGGGTCTTGGGTAGGAGTGTTGGGTCGACCACGTCGTTGGCGAAGACGTTCCTGATAGCGTGCGTCGTTTAAGTCTTCTGGATGATAAAGGTCACCGACTTTGTGGATTTTCTGGAACGAACGTGTTGCGTCTGAAGCGGCCTTTGCTCTATCCTCTATAATATTAAGATACTCGTCAATACCACAAACAACCCTTTTTGACAATACTCTATGCCTCTCCATTAAGCTTTAAAAACGCATACTTGAGGCATGTTCTTCCAACAATCGTAATGTGGCAGTTTGAACTATGAAATGGTGTTTGAATGGTAACCGAATGTTGTTAGAAAGAGGTTTGGTACTCAATAATGGTTGCGACTTTTAGCATCTAATGAAACATACTCTCTTCGCCGGGAGACTTGGCAGGAGCAACCGACACCATTGACCGCTTTGCTGTAGAAAATACGGTGGTTGTGGCGTTTAATCGTGGGAGTCGACAAAACGTTTGGGCGAGCATTGCGGAATTCGTGGTGTGTACGGGAGTGGATAAATGTCAATTTCAAAGTGTATGTTGCAGGCCCCACTTTCACCCAGCGACCAATCAAATTTGCTAAGCCACTCTATGCCAACGGGCAGACAGGTTGTCACGACGATCCGAACTCATATACACAGCAACTCTGATTGCATTAGTTTGGCACTTACACAAGAAAACACTATGACAGACGTGCTTTTTATTATAGTAATGCTCTAGTTTGCAAATTTTTTGTCTTTTTCTCTTTCGTGCTCCTCCTCCTCCTCTTCTTCTTCTTCATCTTCTTCTGGTGATATCCCTTTTGCTTTCAGTTCTGCCATCTCTTTACTTTCTTCAATCGCTTCCTGAGCCTCTTCCTTTGCAATTGCCTTATTTGTCATGAGTCTAGCTGCGTTCAGATTGTAGATACGCTGGATCATGAATACTTCATTGGTGTCTTCACTCGATACGAGGAGACGCCCATATCCATCCACTGCAAGGCCCACGGGAGTAAGACAACCGTCACCCTGGCAAGGCTGCTTAGCTTGGAAAATAACATTTTCTTCTCTGTCCCATCGAGGTTTATGACCAAGATCATCGAATGGCAAGTGACTGACACGGTGTCCGTCGGCTTGGCCTGCGCTTCCACGGTAAGCAACGATAGGAGTGTCGGTCCAGTTGCAAGGCATGCCAACAGATGTACCCAAAGTCTTATCGTCGCCCACAGAGCAGAATTGTCCCATATAGAAATGGACAGCAGAAGCACTGTTCATGGGAGCTAGTGGCACAGCGGGCCGTCGGTTGTTTTCACTCTCTTGACAGAATGCATCGAGATCGACGGTATCGTTCATAAAGCTAGGATGACCCCATTGTCCTCCCTTCCCTTTGGCCTGGCTTGTGTAAGACTTGAGATCGTACTCGGTAAAGCAGTAAGGATACCCGTAGTTCAAATACGGGAATTCATAAACGTTCATTTCTTCTGCCAAACCGTTCGGTGAAATTTCTGATACGTTTAAAGAATAAACGTCAATTGTTTCTTGATTTTCACGTTTCTAAACCTCTAATACAAGATGCCCGATCAAATGACCCTACCTCCACCCAAGTCACTGCGATGGAAAGATTGATAGGGAGCGTCAATACCCCAAAGGCGTCCCTGTGCATCAAAATCCATGCCACCATGAACGTTTGTGCCGGATGCGAAAACCTTTTTTAAAAGAGGCATTAGTTAAGTTTTAGAAACCAAGTTTTAGTTTGGTTACCTCTCCATCTGTCTCAAAATCGTACGCATCGCTTGGAACTGCATGGACATTGAAACGCTTGATAAGTGCACTCTTCTCAGCAAAAGTGTTTTCTTCATTGGCAGCGCGTGGAACATAAGCATGTCCGAAAGGATCAATAGCTACATCAAAGTCGCTCTGGGTATTGATATTGATGAGGACTTGCTCGCCATCTTCAAGTTTTAAAGACGTATGTTGACCATCGACATATGGGAATCGATGAACAGATTGGGAGCTGGTGACATAGAGCTTGCTATCGTAGAGTGCTATGCCGTATCCGACCGAACCATCGTCAAGATTGTCCAAGAGCTGCTTGACATCTGCGTTACCGCAGTCATCGAGACGGATCGAGAACAGGCCTTCACTGCCTGTCACAAGGATATGGTTTGCCGGATCTACGATTAATTTGCGTGGGCCTTGCACTTGAGCAAGAACTTGTGCTTCATATCCAGCCATAACATCGAGCTCCTGTGAAGGCTGGAGCGGGGAAGCAGGTTTGCATAATGGTTGCATTTCCGGACGCGAGACGATAAGCGGATGTTCTGAGGATGCATCGGGAACGATCGCTTCGTCGATACCAACACGCATCGCACCTTGTGCTTTGAGCGCAAGCTCATCGGCAGTCAATTCGATATCTTCTTCTTGTTGTGCATTGCCGGGTACTGCAATTGTGGCGCCCAAGACGGCGAGTAATAGTAACGTTCGAGCCCGAGACTTCATCGGAAGTTTTTACCCTCAATGCAAGTATATATGAGCAAGACGTGTCCCACATTCATTGTACCGACTATCTTTTTATACCCTTTAATTCCCGAGCCTAAGCAAGCTTACTTGGACGCTTTGTGAATGTGCCTACTGCTTGTGTATGCACTATTGTTTCATGAGTTTACTGGAAACTGGTCCAAATCAAGTAGCTTGTAGACTGTTGACGCCAAATTGGGATTCAGCTGCAAAACGCATTGATTATACTCTCGCAACGCCGTTTCCCCGCCCCCCCCTTTTTTTTGTATCACAAAGTATGGACCGCATTCAGTCATTTATCGAAGCTAAGGATTACAACTCACTAGTTGGAGCTTGTGAACGAATCGAATTACAGGTATGACAATGTCAAACACTACAGTCAATATTTTTATATATTTTGTACGCGTATTCTCATTTGATGATGGACCACAAACGCAGCGTGCCACCGTACCAAACGATCAGTGGGACATCGAAGAGATTTATGCTTTGCTTCTTTTGGGCTATGTGTTGATTGACGATCTGTAGGTTCTTTTCACCATCTTGATGTTATGATAACCTGCATTTGAAGGAAGCTAATGAATAAGCGTTGGTGTTGACAGCAACTCAGCACGATATCTTCGCAAACGTATTCTGTCATCCAACAGACGTACTGAGCAGATCGATGCCGCGTGGCGTATATGCGCAGCACTTTGGGAACGTCAGTTTCAATCATGCTATCAAGCACTCAATGAATACCAGTGGTCAAACCGAGCAGCACCGCTTGTCGTAGATATCCGAGGTAAGACAACTATTGCTGCTACCATCACCATTTTCATCATCACCGTTGTTACCATTTCATATCCCTAGAAATAGCAATTCTAACCTGTAAATCGTTTGGATCTAAAACATAAATCACAATAACGACGACTGTGGCGACGAAAAGAAACGTTACAGAAACGAGTACTGGCACTTATTCGAAAAGCATATACCTCTATTCACAAAGCTGACGCGGCACAATACTTTGGCATTTCAGAAGATGAGGTGGTTCCTGGTTAGTAAGACTATACGAAAGTGGATGAAAAAGCCAATATGGAAAATGAAAGGAAGCTGACATACATTATCTGATTAATCCATGTTGAAAAAATTAGCATTAATGAGCGAAGGATTCGAGTACAATGGCGAATCAGGCATATTAACCGCACCGAAATTGAGTAAGTTGACCACCTTTATCTTTAACAGAAAAGAAAAACAGCGATGTGTATTATAGTTGTTATTGACAAGTGTTCTTCTGCAATCATAGTACCTGTCAAACAAGGACGTGCGGATTTGGATCAGTTCTCGCGACTCGCTAACGTGGTGTTGCAGCTGGAAAACCATTAGCAGGAACGTGTGTAAAAAGAGGAGTGCCCCTACTGCAGCTGTAATGTACTATAAATTTATCGGATGATTTATAAGCTGTATGACGCAGTATATATACCGAGGAATAGTTTGGTTCCGACAGCACGTTGATTGAGAGGGAGCGAGAAATTCTTATATGCTGCTTATGTAGAACCTTTAGCTAAGGTGCCGTAAGTGGTGGCTCGTGCGGGGCTATACTGTATAAGTGATATATTACGGGGCATGCTGTCATTTGTCGAGAGACGTGAACCGCTGAATGGATGCAAGTTTCGGAGAAACTTTAAACGGCCCTAGCAAGACTTTAAAAGTGCTTTTCTCCTCATAATCCCACATAAGCAGCCGCAGTCTCTTTTTTTTTTATCTTTTCCTTCCGGTACTCGGATCGATATCTCAAGTCGTCTTTCCTAAAAAATATCTGTACCTGCTTTATTAAATATGGACGATCGAGATACAGCAGACGAGCATACCAGATTTCTGCCAAACAATGACTGTGACGAAGAAAATAACAGTGGTGCAACAAACAAACAAGAATCTTGGAGCGATCTAAAGCCCTATATTCGTCCACTACTGGCCGCCAACTTTATTAGTGTCGTATGCGGTTTAAACGATGGTAGTATTGTAAGTCCTTGGAGCGAATAACTCTAGCCTTCCTTCTTCCTCAGACTACAGAGCGGAAAGACGTCCTTTTAGTGTACCTAACAAATGATTTACACTGTAGGGTGCAATCATTCCACGATTAAAAGATTTCTATGGCATTCCTAACGAAACCGTTTCGTTATTGTTCTTGTGTAACTCGTTCGGTTACTTTCTGGCTGCCATGGTGAATGGATATCTCGTTCACAAGCTTGGTCAGCTGGGAGCCATGTACTTTGGAGCCATTAATCTCTTGATTGCATATTCACTGATTGCTACCGGCTTTCCATTTGGTATTATGGCTATTCTCATGGTTCTGCAAGGTTCTGGTGTTGGTAAGCAAAACCGCATTCTGGTACCCTGAAATTTGTGTAACAGTTCCATTTCTGTGTGTTTACAAACTTTCATTCTACACATTTAGCTCTCTTGGATGCGGGCATGAATGTTTACACATCGAGCGTTCCCAAGGCAACGCTTATGCTTAATGTGCTTCATGGTAGGGAGATATTCTTGATTTAATTGTTCTACATTGCATGAAATTCACATGTATCGATCCAACGGTTTTAAATATAGCACTTTACGGTGTTGGTGCCATGCTAAGCCCTCTGATAAACGCTGCACTTCTAAAGAGGGGTGTCTCTTGGCAGGGATTGTATGTTGCTTTGGCTATCTTTTCGACCCTGAACTTGCTATTCATCACATTCGGTTTCCGCAACGTCAAGGTGGACCTTGTTGATGACGAGGAAGATGAAGAACAGCAGAATAATCCAGCACGACACAAGGAAATAATGCGAGCGGCTATGCGCCATCCTATGACCACCCTTGGTGCTCTGTATATCCTTGTATACGTTGGGACTGAGGTTACCGTTGGCGGTTGGGGACTGACATTCCTGCAGCAAGGTCGTCATGGCGACTATGTGGCCATGAGTAATGTGATTGCTGGTTACTGGGCCGCGCTTGCTGTAGGACGGATCATTTTGGGTTATTTGTGCGAACGATTTGGCGAAAAACGCATGATCACAATTTTCACGTTGATGACCGTCGCTGTGCTTGCGGTAATTTGGGTCGTCGCTGATATTGTTGTTGATTCCATTGGTAAGTTTGGATACATGCAGATGTGTCTTTTCAAAGCAGCACAAGATAATTAATCAATACATGATTGCGTAGCTATTATTTCCGCTGGCTTTCTCCTGGGACCCATGTTCCCGAGTACAATTTCTTTGGCTTCTAAGGTTCTTCCCAAAAGCATGCATGCTACATCAATTGGATTTATGGCTGGGTAAGTGAATTTTGTTTATGAGAAGAACATGGCCCTTGAATATTGTAAAGTAAAGTAAGGAAAACAACTGATCCATAACATTCACTCTTTACAGTACTGGAGCAGGAGGAGCCGCGTTGTTCCCCTTCATTACAGGTCAAATTGCTGGTAGATTTGGTATCCTGTCAATGCCTGCAGTGTGCTTGGCAATGGCTGTTGTCATGCAGATTTTATGGACGTTTGTGCCATCTGATAAAGGTTCGACTACGGCGCCTGCTTCCACAAACAATCGCAACGGTTACCAAGCTGTACAAAATTAAACACAGATAGAGGTCCATACATCCACATATTAAACGTGATCTCCCTTTGTTACTGCGCATCTTATGATAAGATCGCTGCATCTTTTTTGATTATCAATTCAATATTCAATCTCAAAGATACATTAGATGTAGATTCAATGACAGTCGATAATGTTCTTGTCACTTACTTGCAGTGCGTTGATTGAGAAGAGAAAATACATAGTAGAAGGTGGTGCTTTAACTGAAAAAGAGAGGGAAACAGTCAAGCCGGATAAAGATGTTTAATGAGGAGAGGTAACGAAGTAAAGATTGGTTGGGTGGTGGGCGCCTTGTCAGCCAGGCTCGTGGTGCCCGTGCTTTGTAGTCGAAATGTCCCAGCGGTTTCTTCAAGTGCGTTACGTGTGTTTGCATTCTAAGATTATTTAAAATGCCACTTGCTGTGAATAATTCGCTTTACTTATGGGTAAATTCAAATGAGGTTGCATGTATTCTGTAAGGACTCCGTATCTTTTATTCAACATATTCATGTCAGTGTCATGAACATACCTCGACTGCTATGGTCATTTCCACAACCTTTACTGATCATACCTTAAAATCTCCAACACCATCATAAAGAATCAACGTCCGACATTTATGTTGTTAATGCAATTCTTTCCAATCAGTTACATTATTAAATTCAATAATAAGATAAAGATATATATTTATGCCGTACATAGTCCTTAAATATCATATTATAATAAAACATCATTCAGTTACTGTATCTTGTCCCTTTCCTTTTATTATTCGGTCTCCTATCATGCCTTTCGGTTTCCACCCCTGCCTTGTCCTGTTCTTGCTGAAAGTACCTAGCACATTTTTGTCCGGTCTTTCTGTCATTGACATGTTCCTGTCCGCACCTTACATGCATACCAAAAGAACAGGACTGCAAGGCCCTGTGTGCTGTTTATAGCATCGTATGAATTTTATGATATTTCGCTGAGTTCAAGGACGTTCATGTCTTACGCGTTAAGGCGTATGCTGGAGTGATAAAATCACCATCAGAGACGAGATAATCTTTGCTTTCCACAGTTATGCACCATCACACAGTATTTTTTTATTGCTCGACAACGAAAGCAAACGGATCAAGAAAGGTGTTCTGGAGCACGTTTGAGTGTATATGTTATTGCTTGTTGGGGACGTTATAAGGGATATATTCGAGTGACGGTTTAAGCGGACGGACCCACCATATTAAGAAGAAGGGGTTCAGCAGGCGAAGACTAGTGGATCCACTTAAACAGCAATGGAAAATGGATGGCAGTAACTTTTTGGATATCGTTACCGTTGTTGAATTGGAAAAGCACATCTATATTTACTCTCACCGTATCTCACTCACCCAGCCAACCCAACCTCTAAATCAATGTACAATTTGTAAAAAGATACTGTACATATTTGAATATAATATGTGTTTTTATATACAACAATCAACCTTATGAGCCATACATCCGGTTGCGTGCAACAATCTGCTCATCCAGTATGTCGTGCGCAAATTCAAGTGCGCTCTTTAGGAATTCGTCGTCTGTCGTCACAGCATCTTCTAATGCGTACATCTTCAGTTGCCGCTCTTTTGATATGTATACTAATCGTGTCGCACATGCAGTTAAGATGAGTTTGGTGTGGTTAAAGAAGGTAAACTAAAGAAAAGACCGTTAACCTCAGCCTGTGCTTGTTACATATGTAATTTGAGCAAGATTAGCCAAATATTTACCTGGATGACCCCGTTGCTTAAGCGGAAAATGGCTGCACGCTCAGTGACAATGAATTTGCTTATGTATACCCAGCTGTTTGAAGCCTTCGCTGGTTCGGGCATGTTGTCGGCCAATCGAGCCAGATTAGTTTCCATATGACTGTTAAACTTTGACATGAGGTAGAGCTTTTTCTTGAATTCGTCTGGGATATTATTTGCGTGGTATGACTCCTTTTTGATGGGTAAGGGCTCATGAACGATATATTGATAGCTGCAACATACAAACAATCCAACAAACGTCGTTATCAGTCAATACAGCCTACATCGATACGTAGCAACTAATAGGAATACACTCACTCATCATCTTTTTTCAAGAGCGTGGTGGAATCCAGAAATGATACACCGATTGTACCATCCATCAGACTGTAGCATAAACCGTATCTGGAGGTGTAATCAACCCACTTATCCATGAATACATTTGAATGAGACCATTCCGTATCATGAATTTCTTGGCAAGTAGTCGCATCTTTGTTCTTGGCTTCTTCCAGGGACTCCCGTAGAGCACGTGCCATTGTTTCCAGAATAGACACTTTTGATTTTTCGCGGGTCTTTGGGGCCACTGGCGTTGGTGACGGTGACGGTGGTATGGACGCTTCCGTTTCAGTTTTTGTCGGCTCCACATTTCTGCGCTTGCGTGGTTGATCTTCTACTGCGGGTGGTCTACTATGGATGTTAGATAACAACCACATATATTGAAGCCGAAGAGAATGAGAGACAGCGAATTGCACGCCTTTTCTTTGATAACTACCGTTTTTTTAGAGACTCGGAAGTACTTGGCGAAGCTTCGCTTGAAGAAGCTTTCCGTGATTGATCTTTTTCTGGCTCGGTTTTGCCCGGTACAGCGTTTTCCTTATCCACAGGTCGTCCAGGAAACATTTCCCGATGGTCTCTTATGACTTCTACAAAATGCAAATTTTCCTCGTTTTGTCAACACACAGTCTTTATACAACGCGAACAGCAAGCAGGCGTACCTGACATGATCTTTAACTCGTCAATCAGTCGGTGATCAACGTAGCTTATATTGGCGTCGATAGCATCTCGCAATGCCTCTCCTGCCCTGCCGGGTGATGCCATGACATTGTGCGGCTGTGTTGTCGGATATAATTCTTCATCGCTTGGTATGCGATGCAATGCAGCAATTGGAATTTTAGACGGTAATAGTCCTTTTTGGAAAAAGTCATGACTGAGGATTTGAGGTACTGATAGTCGTCGACCTTTTATGTCGAGTCATAAACCAGATTTCGTTAGTGATAGGAGCTGGTGGTCGAAAGTATTAACGATCGCGAAAAAGGGTTTTATACGTACGAGGGTTGTTGATGAGAAGTTTCTCGATCAAGTCCTTAGCATCATCACCAAGGTAACTTGGTAGTTCATAAGAAGGCTTTTTCCAATTCGCTTTAATTTTCCTAAGGATAATAACAGAACAAGTTGGATATCGTTAGTGAAGCAGTGTCTAAGTATTTACAGGAATTACACTGAGTGCTGGCGCTTACTTGTAGATGTGCTTTACATCGTTTTGTTGGAAGGGAGGTTTACCCGCAAGTAGAGTGAACCTATCGGTGAAGAAAAACAAGCGACGAGATTTCAGTCGGATGAATCAATCCTTCCTTATTAATTCCAATTACCATGATAACTTACATCAAGACACCGATAGACCACGTATCGACTTTGTGGTTATGTCCTTCTTTTTTAAACAGGATTTCGGGTGCAATGTAGTTCGGAGTACCACAGATTGTCCTTTAGAATTTGCCAGTTAGTTTCCCGATACATATACTGTGCACGAAGCATCCACCCCGTCCCCGTACAGTTATCCTTCTCTCGCCCACCTTTTTCGGTCACTTCGATCAACTAAAATAGCAGCAAGGCCAAAGTCACCCATTTTCACATTCATGTTCTTGTCCAGAAAGGCGTTGCTAAGCTTGATATCACGATGAATCACGCGATTGTCATGCATATATCGGCAGGCGTCCAGGATCTGGATGAGGAAAAATCGTACTTCTGGTTCGGTCAACCGGCTACGACTTCTAAGCATTTCAACAAGTGTCTACAATTCGTTTGGATTTTTGGTAAGTATACGGTATCTTTTCTGACCCGATCTGCCCATTACGATAGAAGGAGCGTATCCTACATTGTTATCACAGAGCTCCAAAATCAAATAAACATTTCGGGTATCTTCAAAGCAACTATGAAAACGGACGATGGAGCGATGGTTCATGCTTCGATGGATGCTGATTTCAGAGAACAATCTCATACGGGTTTTCGTGTCTTGTAGCGTTGATTTGGATATCACTTTGGCGGCAAAGATCTGTCCCTCGGGACTTTGCACTTTGTAGCATTTGGCAAACCCACCCTACAATATATTTTGAAGGAGAGAAAACGATCCGTGCGTTGTTTATATACGATCTTTGTTGCATGTAATCATACATTCTTGGAGACAGTAGACGTAGGTATTTGCTCTTCTATCTGGTATTAAAACGCTTCAATATTACCTCGCCTAGGAACTTCAATTTTGTGTACGTCTCCGTATTATCTTTATTGGTGATAACAGTAGGTGCGCGAGAGTGAGCGCTAGGTCCGCGTCGATAGTTTGCTATGTGTGGGTATTGTTTATTGTTTGGCAATAAATGGCCTGCAGGCTGTCTGTTAGTAGTCAGTGGCTGTCGTCTCTGTGTTGGTGGGTGTAGATGTAAATGTTTATAGCTAGCCACTTTGAGATCGCCCATTTTGTTGATTCGACTGGTTGGATTTCGTATTCGTGCTGCAGCCATTGTTTGAGCTCTTGTTAATGTGGGATCGTTGTTTTCATTGCGACGTGCCGCCGCCGCTGCCACTGCTGTAGTCGACGAAATATGAGGTAGCCGAAATGACGACATTTTCGTTATGATGACGAGGCGTGCTTGAAACGGTAATTTGTGAAAAGAAAAGTAGGAACGCGATCAAACGACGAAATTAAATTTGGCTGTAAAAACTAACAAAAGCCAGAAAAGGGAAACGTGCGGCGGCGATAGTGGTCTGCATGTAAGCGCGCAAGCACCAACGCTGTGTGACCTCAATATACAAGCTTTTACCTGAGCCGTTTTGTGTTTCGAGCAGCCCATAATATGCTAAAGCTTTATTAGAGTATGTGATAGCTTTGTCCGTCCGTAGTTATTACTTTCTTTGAAGCTGCTAAATATTGCAAGCCCTCAGATCGATCTATGTATGTTTCTCACAACTTTCTTTCTTCTCAGTTACTTGCCGCACTATGCATCGAAGAAGCCAAAAAAGGATGCTTGTCGCTTATGGCTACTCTCGATTATACATACTCGTAGATCATAGAAATAATGTATCATACTTAGATATTTAAGAGACGCATTTTCTATAAACTTCTCGAGAAGTTATCTCTCAATCGTATTTTACAAACGTTTAAAATATGGGTGCGATCGTATATTAATCTCGTACATCATCACCACCTATCGTCAAATATGGTATGATAATTAGGTATGCCTTGTTATAAAAAAAACTGTAGAGTCTCCCTTTTATTTATTACGTTATCGATATTCACTATAGCTTTATAGTAAAACGTTCACAAACTCTGGAGGGCCCGTCGTGAGAATTTAGACGAAGGAACATATAGCCATCAAGAAATGTGTAAGCTTCAAGACCAAGTTCTTCAGCTGCTATAATACAGTACATATCCAACATAAACGGCGTCACCATGCTGTAATCTTTTCAGAAAAGCCTAATGGACTACTAAATACCTCTCATTTTTTTGGATTGGGAGTTTTGCAGACTGTTCGCTCCTCTTACAGTATACAAATAAAAAGGCAAGCTGAAGTGTTTCACATCCATTTGTCATCATCATCTATGATGCTTTGTACCCAGCAGCAAAATAAGCATCACTCTCATCGTACCATCAATAAATAGAAGTACAATCAGAAAGACCTGCAGTAGTGGGGGAAATCAAAGCCGGCATTTCATAAAATACTTCTTTCTTGCAGCTACATGCGTGTATGTATTGCAGGGTGTATGTGCACAATGCGTTTGCCACGCACAGAGTAAGAGTAAGTCTGAAACCTTTTGTCCGGTAACTGTTTATGTATAAATGCTTTGCTACACATCTAAATAAACATTACTGCGACGACAGGTCGATAAGAAATAACTATGGACAACATGCATTGCATCTCTGCTGAAAATATATCTTGATACAGACGCAGATTGAAGGTGGTGCTGTTTAGCATTATATATGTATCTAACCCTCTTGAATAACGAAAGGTATTCAACAGCCCATGGCAAAGAGATCTAGTTTTATGAAAGTGAAGCTGTGTAATGGTGAGTGCCACTTCCGAATGCTTCTTTTTTTTGGTGACAGAAACGCGCTATTTCTTTGAAAACGTCATCCTTACTGCCACCTTCACACCTGGGGAAAATAAAATGTGTAGACCGAAGCAGTCTTAAAAGAAAAAGACAACACACAGTTTTGTGTGCTTGATATACACCTTTTCTTCGCATTGAGTCTATGCATGTACACCCATCGTTGATTATAACAGCAATAAACTTCCTCCTTCGTTTCTGTAGTCCTTCATTCACGAATCCAACAACTCCTCCCATACTGTTATTCATCATGTGTTTCTTTTTCGCAGTTAAGGATCAGCAGTTAATAACACATGGGAATCCCTGATTCGTCAATGTATTTTGGTTTTTTCTATAACATCAAGCCTTTGTACTACCGTCGTCAACGCCAGCGTCAGAACCAGCTCAGCAGCCTTGCATTACGTGTCTCCCTCCGATATAAACGCGCGTCCAACCCGAAATCCTCTTCTGTTCCTTGCCCGTATTCCATCTTCCTTTTGATATTAGGCTTGGTATACTGCGATGCTTCACAAGTATGTCTACAGCGACTGATAAAGGAGTGAAAATTAAGTCCCATGCACAAATACAAACATTGGTCTTAATATAGAAACTGCCCAGGCATTCTCTTGCTCCCATCAAACTTGAAACAATATGTGATTTACCTTGACTACATGGTCCCACAACATAAGGCAGACTAGCCTATGGAATTCGCTAGCTCTTATTGAACTTCGTCGCGCCCTCGTGTGAAAACGGTCTTCAAATCGCTCACCCTTGAACTTCCTGTACACACGTAAGCAGAGGAAAAAGACGCGTTTCTTGCTACTTATCTCCATCATTACATAGACCGTTAAATGCTCCCACATTCACACGTATGTAAACAGAAGGGCAGAGATAGTAGCACACATAGAAGCCGGTATAGTAGAGAAACAATATACAAGAAAAACCAACACCACCACTACCACCCTATTTAAAAGAAAGCCAAGAGAAACGTTACAGTTAAAGGACGCTTTTTGTCACTTTATTAAAACAACTATGTACAAATAGTTAAAAAAGAAAGATAAAGATAAACAGAATGAATAATACAATGTTTAGGCTTCTTCAGCCGCCATCTTTGCCTTATACTCCTCGAAGAGCTTCTTGCCTATGAGGCCGGCTCCAATTGCGAGGCCAGCGCCAACAGCAGCGGTACCAATGTCACCAGCGAGGGCCTTGTGGTGGAGACTCTTGCAGCGCTCCAAGTGTTCATCGTTGATGTAGGAACGACCGGGAGTGGCTTCACCTTCAGCGTTGTTGAAGACGAGGTGGATGACACCAGCAGGCTCACCCTTGATGGTGTAGATCTCGTAGAGGCCGTCAGCGCCACCAACGACAGTGGCGAGAGGGATAGTGCAGAAACCAATGATGGTATCGACGCCCTTTTCCTTGTCCATGACTTCGACGAAAAGATCGGTAGACTCACCGCCAAGAGCGATCTCGAAGGTCTGGCCCCAGCTGGCGTTCTCACCGGCATCTTCTTGGACCTCGGTTACTTGCCACGAGTCATCGTTGTTGATATCAGTGGTGATGCGGACATAGGGATCGTTCTTGCCCATGTTCTCGACATCGAGCAAGTTGTTGGCAGAGACAATAGTAACAGGGAGGACACCTTCGCCGAGCATGTTGGATATGTAAAATGGATAGAAGAGTAAAAAGAGATGGTGGTTCTTTCAAACGCGAACCCGAGCCTTATTTATATAGACGCGACGAAATCGACAGTCCTCTTTCTTGGGATACCCGATCCGTTCCATGAGTTGGCTTGATGAGAAAACCTGTCTGTCTCTCCCCCCATCTGAATCTCCCTCCAACTGTGCGTGAGTGTCGCTCTCTCCAGCAGGAAACTCTCGTAGGACGCATTCGGGACCTCAAACAAGTCAACAATTCGGCGGAGCGGACGGATTAGGGCAAGAGCAGATGCTTCGGGATGAGGCCCGCTTTTCTTTTTATTTTCCATGCAGGAATGATCAACCCCCGGCTTGACCGACGATCGGCTGTCGAAACAATATTTACTACTATCGTAACCTCTTGTTCATACGCGCGTATGATCCCCTCCCCTCTGTTGAAGTCGCCTTGCAAGCCATGTGCTAGTTTGACAGGCAAAGAGAAATGAACACTGTCCTCTGCCCTAGGCTCAGAAAAGGACGTGTGTGCGCACTTTATCTTTTTCACTTATATGCTAATAACGTAAAATTGGTTAACGTAGCACATGTCGATGGTCTGGCCGCTTTATGTCACACGTGCATTCCGCTTTTGAAAAAGCCCCAGCGATAGTTGCATATAGTCTACAAGTGTGCGTCTTACTGCTTTACTGCCTTGTGAAGATGCTTTTTAGTGTCGTGCTAGTAAAAAGAATGCGTCTCCTTGCCCTTGATTGAATGCTGCTCCCGATTTACCGAGCACATTTGGACAAGTGTCAAATAACCCAAAACTCTATTTTCTCACCAGCCTTAACGCCAAGACGAGTTTAGCGGCTTGGACTGTTGCATGGATGGTAACACACACTCTCTAAATCAGATATAATCCCGACCAAGGGCACTTCATTAATACCTAGAAGAGACAAGCGCGCTTACGCTGATCTTTTTTCGTTCCTCACTATTATTACATGGCACAAGTATCTAAGCGCGTTTTCTTATATGTTCCCCGTCATTAGTATACTTTACAGTAGTAGCAATTAGAATTTATGGGTTCTAAGGTGTCTAAGCAGCGACGGTAACAACAGCAGCGGGCAAAACGACGAACCAGAACAATCTCGTGCTATGTGTGTGGCTGAAGCAAGAGGCGTACCCCAATGAACACCGCAGAACTGGAACCGCACCTAAAAAGCATTTCATCAGCTGATCAGCGCTACACTGCCAAACAAGTAACCCAGACACTACTTTTATTATATATGTGACGTAGTATACCATTCTCTCATATATTAAGAAAGAACACACTATACCGAAAACATAACATCAATGACCCCCAACGTTACTGCTTTTTATTTTTAAAAAAGAACAAAGTTCCTGTACTACCCCGAGAAGATGCGGAGGAACCATCGAAATGCATGTTCCTAATGGTGCTCCTCGTATGCTGTCATCGCTGCTAATATGAAAAGCACACACAGCTACATACTAAATTCAAATGAACGCATACCACATGAGTCTTTTCGCCCTTCATTTTTTCCAAGAATAACTGAATAGCAGGAAGCGGAGAACATATATCCTAATAAGTTTGTTCTCGTATGTGAGCGCGGCTGCCATCCCGGGTAAAGGTGAGCAGTGTACGCGTACAACATGGTGCTCGATGCTTAAGAATGAAAACATTGCTGCAATGAAATATAAAGTCTAGACAACAAAGTTTTATTAAAGAACATTCGCCACTATACTAGTGTCTACATACGTGCAAGTAGTATTACTTTCTCTATATGTACATAGCATAGTTTTTGTGCTTCTAAAGTTAAAGTGTGTATTTCCTTCAGTTGAAAGTAGGAACTTGCATAAAAAAGAGTCATGAAACTTTATATGATTTAAACGCGAGCTCTAGTATATCATATTACCGTACTTACATGCATAGGTACTAAACACTCCATATGCGACTCTGTCGCTTGGTTCGTACGAAACGATACACGTTGCTGGCATGTATCTGTATGCATTATTTTGAACCGCCGGAATAAATTATGAGTTGCATACGTAATCGCGTAACCATCCCAAAGCACCTATCATTTTGCGAAAAAGAAGTTTTCATGCTTGTAGCACCGACAACCAGGAGAGACGCATGTACTTATTACAACGACGACAACGATGCATTATCTGACTCCGCATTTCTTGTGCTGCAAGGGTTGCTTTCTTCTCATACGTAGCATGTAAATACCGATATTCTATATTTAATCGAGCTCTCCGGAGGACAGGAACGCGCCCAACCCCATCACTCTTTAGAAAAAAGAGCACTTGGTTTGGTCTTTTTCCATCTTGGCGTGATACGAGTTTCAATTTGGCGTTGAAAGGGTGTTTAGCACACGGCGTCTTGTTCTTTTCATCTCGCCGCTGCCGCATTTTATGCATGGCGCCCCATCACGTTCACTTTGGCGTGAGCTGGATATCGCTTTGACGACTTTAACGTTAGCGTGATACATACATCAGCTTAACATCTATGGTTTGTCGAGGCAATATAGAGAAAAAGACAAGGTAGATGCAACTGCAGACGCCACGATATGCGTGCCATTGTTGGACTGTCTGCTGAGGATGGATGATTCCCCAATTGTAAACATAATTGCTGCCTGCACTTGGAGCATTTGCAATGGATGCCCACTTGACAATTATAGGGCATGAAAGATGCGCTCTCTGACACTGTGGACTTACGTGGAGTCCATTGTCGTTGATTCCGATACGCAACGAAGAGCAGTATTGCTTAAACGTGCATCGATATATGACATTAGCTGCCTATGTCACGGTGCGCACCACAGGTTTACTATCATAGCTCATGAACAAAAGAGCAGCGGAGCAATCCAGCAACCAAAGAAGTGTTATGTGAGATTTTTGCCCAGCTAGCAACATTTGATTTCTAAGCAAGCGCCATGATTCGTAAACAGACGACATGTCTGGGGCTAGCGACATTAATTGCTGGAAACACTGAATCTTCATCTGTAATACAAAATTATCCTAATAGTGGAATGCATCTATATATGTTGCATGTCTAGACATCTACCAAAATGCTTCTGAGAGTGACGGATCCAACCACGGCAGTCTTTTGCAGGGACAATCTTTGTGGTTTTTTGTATTTTAGTGGCAAGGTTTTCCTTAGGCGTTAAGGGCGTTTTACGAACATGATTCTTTACTTTCACCCAGCAGCATTCTTCAATGGGCTTCAAGGCAGGCGAATAAGATGGCAAAAACAAAGGTACATGGTTATATTTTTATTAGCATCAGTTACCTTCTTAGTCATGTGAATTGATTCATTATACATCATAATATAAATGTTATGTAATCCATGTTTGTCGACAACATGCAACCTGCTCCATCGCGCTGATTTGAGTCGTTGCCATTTCTGCCACAGAACCACGCCATAATTAGCAGACAAGTCTTTACACAGTAAGCATACACTAGCAGTTTTTTTATTTAAGTGTTTTGTTGGCAGGGTTACTTTTACCACAAGAGGTAAATTGAGGATTAGCATTGAGCGAGAAAGTGGATGTTTGTGGTGAAGCTCGTATCAAGAGCAAAATAACACCCATAATAGCTCCCGTGCCAATGATGATCCCTTTGCATGATTGTATTGAACGCATCAAAACAATCACTTTGGCCTTATTACGAAGCTTCTCCACCGCCCTTTTTATCTCTCTCTATCTTTTTTTGGATAACTGTCACTGAATCATTTTCCTTCCTACCAATTATCATCATCTTATATTGCTTAGTTCCGACTTCCGATAATAAATCTTCAATTAATGTAGCTATCATAAGTTAAAAAATATATATACAAAAAGTGTGGAAATCAGAAGGAGTTTGAGGTGATACTGTCGGGTTCTTCTAGAGCGTCATCGTTATCCAAGGGGCCATTAATAATGTAGATGCCGATTGATACTTGTTGTGTTTCAAAGACATACTTGATGGTTTCATCTTCTTCAATCATAGGGTTCGAGTGTTCTGTATGCAAATCATTATCCACAGTCTCTTGTTCTTCAAGTCAGAGATATAGAAAAGGATGACACTTGACGACTTTTCACTGAAAGTTTGTACCTAATTATAGGGAGTTAATTAATGACAATGAAATATAAGAGATAATCTTTGATTATCCTTATATTATGTTTACTAATAGCTCTGGTAGTAGTGAAGAATTTATAAAAAAGATAAATAATTTATAAAAATCAAGAATTTTAATTTTTAGATTTTTTTAATTATTATAAATATATTTAATTCTTGAAATTAGAATTGTTAATGAAATTAACTTTTTAATTATATGAGGAGGGATTGATAAAGTCCCACAGAAACTTGTTTTTTTAGCTAGACAGTACTAAAAGATCAATTTTTATTAACCATTTAATCTTCTAAATAGTAGATGATAGATAAACTATCATCCTGTTATAAATCTGCCAAGACAAAAAGTCAAGATTTTTTTATGGGGATTTCTAACTAGTCACTTTTTCTTTAAAGTGATATCAAAAAGCACATGTATAAGTTGTAAACAACTTATGCATTTTATTTAATATGAAAATAATTTTTTTAATTTTTTTCTACTAGTTTTAGTTCAAAAAGTAATTATATATCTGGTAGTAGATTTTCAATCTACAAAATCATTTTTATTATCTGATTAAATTTATCACTTTTAGAAAATATAAAAATCTAACTTCATTGATTTTATTGATTTTCATTATATTTTTAACTTCTAGGAATATAAAAATAAAAGTTCCACTTTATTTTCTATATATCATTATCTTTATTGAATCACATTTAATATAACAATTGTTAAATATTAATTACTCTTCTTAATGTTTAACACAATTTATTAGTAGTTCATCACTAAGTTAATTGTTATGAAGTAATACTCTTAATAATAGTTAGAAGAAGAAATGATTCTCAGTATGTGATTCACAAAACGTACCACTTGAAATGAACATTGGCTTGTTGATTCTCGAAATGGCAAAAGATTGGGACTACATATGTCGAGAAAAATGTTTGCTCATGGTTGGTGAGGGTAGAGGTACTCCTGAAGCATTTGGAAGCATAATCATACAGAGTGTGTTTGACAAAATGATAGAAGTTGAGCTCTTTGATGCTGGTGTTTGAGTTTAGATCGCGATACGATAATGCTGATTGAAGCACTTTCAAACATTCAGTGTATTTATGGAGTGATGCTAGTTTGCATTGCTCTTCACAATAAAGGTCCAGTCTCTTGATGCTTTCGGGGTCTACGTTGTCCTGTGCACTTTGTAGCTATAATATGTACATGTTAGATAACTCTTCCATATGTGATTTAGTGATTTTTGGTGTGTTTCATAGATTGATTCTTAGTGCCAATGCTGGATCGATATCTTTATCTATAAAGGAAAAAAGCCAAGTTAGCAACACTGGTTATCTTTTACTAGGTCCTGGTAGGAATTCATACATATTGATTGTTGTCCACAGCAGCTCGTTTTGTACTTTCTATTAGCAAGTGTGTTTCAAAGTGGGCAGCAATAAGAGGTTGGTTCAGAAGATAATTCACAGATATAAAATACAAATGTTTTAATCATTTTTCTCATATTATTGTTATTTATAAAATATATTTTTTCTACAGTATCACTATTGATTTTAATGGTTCTTTTGGATCTTTTATTATAGAATTCTATCTTATTTTTAAGATTTTTTATTTTATGATTAGATTATCCTTTGTTTATGCATATGCTGTATACGATCATCTTACTGCCAGTATTGACAATATTGCAGAGGTATCCCAGAATAACTCACAGATCTTTAAAATATATAAAATAAGTTAAAATTGAATTCTAAATATATAATAAATTATGTATTTATACAATAAGATACGATCTAATATTATTAATATAAAAATTTATTAAAAAATCCTTATAATTAAAATATTAAATAATTCCAAAAAAGAAAAAGCAAATAATTGTGAGGTTAGTCCGTAGAAACTAACCGAACCTGAACCCATAGAGTGCTGTGATCATCTCTCAGTGATTTATTGCAGCGAAACAAAACCAATAAAAAATTTTTTCTCTAAAACTTTTAGAAATGTGTAAATCTCCAAGTGAACTAACTCGATCATCTCTTTCGCTCACCGGGCAATATCTGCAGCTTTTCTTTGATCTTTCCCAATAGACGATTCTTCTGAGTCACAGAGTAGTCAACTGCAACAGCTTGTGCAACAGGTGGCACAACAACAAGATTTACTGCAACAATTGCTGCAAGCACCCTGCCAAACTGATCAAGTCCCATCCCTAGCCTCCATGATCTGCCTACCCGACAAGCTATTGAGTGGCAACCTTCGGCTGCGCTTCGGGAACTTCTGCCTACACTGGAACGAGGTGTATTTGCCCAGACCCTTTCGAGGAGGAGCGCAAGGCTTTGATTGAACGGTATCCACCTTTGGTAGGTGTCAAGTATGCACCCCCAGCTACTTTGCCTCAGGCGGCTAAACACTTCTCGGCCAGTCACTGTCATGAGGACCAATCCTTAAGACAACTCCAGTATGCTTTGTCTGCCATTTTACGCCCTTTAGATGTGTTGGCGCACTCGTTGTTACCAGTTCTTCCTCCTGACTGAGTGGAGTGTATTTTTGCCATCGTCAATGATGTTCGTACCTTAGTTTTACATGTTGGTGGTGTTGCCAACGAAGCACATAATAATTTGGCCCTGAGGGAGGTGAACCACTCTTTTACCTCTTTGCCCTTGTGTGGGAAACGCGACTATACCATAGGTATAGATCAATTTAAAAGAAGCAGTGTCCAACAACATGACTCTCCAGAAAACACTCAGAGACGCCCGACCTCTTCGTCATCAAAATAATAATAGTTGGTTTTTTCGAGGTGTCCCGCTACTGGGAGGTGGCGGGCAGCCAGCATACAATTACCCCTTCAGCAACCAACGCAGCTCCAACAACAGCAACAACACTCACCGCAATCGCCAATCCTACAACAACCACAACCGAAACAACAACGGCAACGGTCGATCCAACAACCCGTTTCAACAACCAACGGGGAACGCACCTCAGTAGGAGGTCACCTTTCAAGATTTCATCAGGCTTAGGTACGCCTGACCGACAGTTCATGGATTCACTCGGTCATCAAGGACGGTCTTCGCCTGCATTTTCGCTCGAATCCACCTCTCACCACCAAAATATTCGCCACCACACCCCACAACCAATCTCAACGTCAGCTGCTTCGACAAGAAGTGGCCGACCTGCTTCTCAAGCGCGCCATCGAACCAGCAGATTCCTCCCCTGGTTTTATGAGCACGATGTTCGTTATCGACAAAAAACAAGGCGGTCATCGACTAGTATTCAATTTGCGCCGCCTCAATCAATATCTGCACGCTCCTCATTTTTGCATGGAAACACTCCAACAAGTTCTACAAATGATGCGTCCATCTGACTTTCTGACGTCCCTCAATATATCAGATGCTTTCCTGCACATTCTTGTTCATCGCTGCTCCTGCAAGTATCTCCGTTTTCACTTCGAGGGCAACACTTTTCAGTTTCGGACAACCCCGTTTGGCCTGTCTCAAGTTCCATTTTTATTCACTCAAATTTGCAAGCCTCTTCTCACCTGGGCCTGACGTCAGCAGATCTGGATCTCGGCATATTTGGACGACTGGATTCTGTGTGTCGAGTCCTACCAGTTGGCAGCCTCGCAGACGTCTCTTGTGATGAACAAGATGGAAGAGTTGGGATGGCTGGTCAATAAGACCAAGTCGAACTTAGTACCTAGTCAAACAATCGAACATCTGGGGTTCAAAATCGACTCCTGCAGTATGACTGCCCAAATTCCTGGCAAGAAACTTTGGGATCTACGACGGTCGATTGCCGAACTGTTGCACTGACCCTGGCAAACACCTTCAAAATTGCACAGCGTCACTATGCATCTTCGCGCGGCCACGATTGCAATTTTTCCAACGAATCTGTATACGCAAGCTCTGATGCGGTTCAAGAACTGCCATGTGAGGCAAGGCAAGGGTTGGGATCGTCCTTGTCTACTTACGGAGGATTGTCAGGAGGAATTACAGATGTGGCACAACAGCATTCAACGATGGAACGGCCGCTCCGTCTTACCCCAGCACTACCAACAGCGGCTTTATGTCGACGCCAGTGATCGGGGCTATGGAGCGGTGTGGCAGGATCGCATGGTACAGGGTCTTTGGTCACACGAGGAGGTGTGTCAATCGATCAATTGGTGGGAACTGCAGGCCATCCATCTGGCTTTACAAACCTTTCACCAGCTACGACAGGCAACAATCTTAATCAGGACCGACAACATAACAGCCGCGTCATATGTCAACAAACAAGGAGGGACACGGTCTCTATCTCTGAACGCTCTGGCACGGGATTTGTGGGAAATGTGCCTCGCGCAGGACTTGAAGATTGTGGCGAAGCACATTCGTGGGATCGACAATGTGAAAGCCGATCAAGCTTCACAACGGATTGCAGCAACCTCGATGTGGCGTCTACGGCCAGCAACTTTTCGTTGGATCGAGAATCAGGTGGGACGTCACGACGTAGATCTGTTCGCCGACCGCAACAATCATCTGCTACCAACTTACGTGTCATGGCGCCTCGATCCCCAAGCAATAGCGATCGATGCTCTAACTCTCTCGTGGCACCAATTTCACCGCCCATGGCTTCATCCCCCCTGGAAACTTATTCTGGCTTGCCTACGGAAGATCCAGTCCGAACAAATTTCGGCGACGATAGCGGTTCCTTATTGGCCGTCGGCACTTTGGTTCCCATTGCTGCTCCAGATGGCGACGGCGTCACCGATTCTCTTGGATCCTCTTCAACATATTGAGCTGACTTCATTATATGCGGTGTCGCCATAGACGAACCCTGCTTGGAAGCTCTCCATGTGGACGCTATCAGGAGCCGTTTTGTGCAACGGGGTCTATCTGATTCAGCCTTGATGGCGTTTTGTGCTCCCTGCTTGCCAAAACTACTACAAACGAATCATACCTACCCGGCCAGCTCCGTTTTGTCGCTTGGTGTCAGCATCATGTCATCAATCCCAATCATTTTGTCGTTGAAGAACTGATCAATTTTTTGACGACATTACACGAGGAGGGTTTTCAACTTTCTACCATCAAGCTTTCTCGTTCTGCAGTGCTTGTTTTTCATGTCACAGCGATACAGTTTCGGGGCCATCCAGGTATTTGCAAGCTTTTTCGTCATTGGGCAGGTCAAGCACCTCCTCGGCCTTTGGAGCTACCTGTCTTCGATATTACACCTACGTTACGGTACTTGGCCACAATTGATTCTTCGCAAGTCACAAAATTGTCTGTGCTTAATAGCAAAACTGCTTTTTTGCTGGTAATGGCTGCCTTTCTGCGCCTGTCAGACTTGCATCGTATCCAGCTGTCGCAGTCCCGCATGCTTTCGGATAGCTTGCTTTCGTTGACAATTGTCTCCCCCAAGGAACGTCGTGGAGGTCGACGCATCATTAAAACTTTGTTGATCCATCCTTTGGTGGACAACCGCTCCCTGTGTGCGGTGCTAGCATTTAAGGTGCTTCGCGATCACCCTGGTGCTTCTGCTCGTCCTCCCGAGGTGTTATTTGTCAACAGTGTCAAGGTAGAGTCCCCTTTGTCCTGTGCAACCATTGGTGCTTGGCTTCATCGTCTACTTGGTCGTTCTGCCCCTGTAGCTTCGTCGTCTGGTGTTCCCTCGGTACGGTCGATTGCTTCCGATCTGGCTCTAAAGCGTGGCGCGTCACTCGACGATATCATCACGATAGGCAATTGGTCATCTAGCACAGTTTTTGATCAATACTATAGACGATCTTGACAGGTGCATAACAATCTCACTTCACGTGTTCTTTAAGCCCTAGCGATCTCTTCTGCAGCAACCTAACAAAAAAAAACACCACTCTTTGTACTACCCCTTTTGTTGTATCCTATTGTTGTATTTCCTCTTCTGTACCCTTTGTTTGTATTTCTTCCTTGTCTTTTACTTTTCGTCATTGCTCTTTGTAGCTGCTCTTCTGTGTGAGGCAGCACTCTATGGGTTCAGGTTCGAGTCATAGGACTCACCTAATTGTCTTAGCTTTAGTGACAGACAATTGTGAGGTTAGTCCACAGGACTAACCGAACCTGAACCCATAGAGGACCCACCCTTTCTCCCTCCCTTCTTCTTTCTTGCCTGGCTCGCCAATGATCGAGTTGGTTCACTTGGAGATTTACACATTTTTAAAAGTTTTAGAGAAAAAAAATTATATTGGTTTTGTTTCGCTGCAATAAATCACTGAGAGATGATCACAGCACTCTATGGGTTCAGGTTCGGTTAGTTTCTACGGACTAACCTCACAATTATTTGTTTTTTCTTTTTTGGAATTATTTAATATTTTAATTATAAGGATTTTTTAATAAATTTTTATATTAATAATATTAGATCGTATCTCATTGTATAAAGTACATAATTTATTATATATTTAGAATTCAATTTTAACTTATTTTATATATTTTAAAGATCTGTGAGTTATTCTGGGATACCTCTGCAATATTGTCAATACTGGCAGTAAGATGATCATATACAGCACATGCATAAACAAAGGATAATCTAATCATAAAATAAAAAATCTTAGAAATAAGATAGAATTCTATAATAAAAGATCCAAAAGAACCATTAAAATCAATAGTGATACTGTAGAAAAAATATATTTTATAAATAACAATAATATGAGAAAAATGATTAAAACATTTGTATTTTATATCTGTGAATTATCTTCTGAACCAACCTCTTATTGCTGCCCACTTTGAAACACACTTGCTAATAGAAAGTACAAAACAAGCTGCTGTGGACAACAATCAATATGTACGAATTCCTACCAGGACCTAGTAAAAGATAACTAGTGTTGCTAACTTGGCTTTTTTCCTTTATAGATAAAGATATCTAAAATGAAGCAAACACATACTTTCGATCCAACATTGGCGCTAAGAATCAATCCATGAAACACACCAAAAATCACCAAATCACACATAGAAGAGTTATCTAACATGTACATATTATGGCTACAAAGTACATGGGACAACATTGACCCTGAAAGCATCAAGAGACTGGACCTTTATCATGAAGAGCAATGCTAGCTAGCATCACTCCATAAATACGCTGAATGTTTGAAAGTGCTTCAATCAGCATTATCATGTCGCGATCACTTTGCATTTGAAGCACTTCCTATTCCTTCTCTAAACTCAAACACCAGCATCAAAGAGCTCAACTTCTATCATTTTATCAAACACACTCTGTATGATTATGCTTCCAAATGCTTCAGGAGTAACTCCACCCTCACCAACCATGAACGAACATTTTTCTCGATATATGTAGTTTCAATCTTTTGCCATTTCGAGAATCAACAAGCCAATGTTCATTTCAAGTGGTACGTTTTGTGAATCTTATACTGAGAATCATTTCTTCTTCTAACTATTATTAAGAGTATTACTTCATAACAATTAACTTAGTGATGAACTACTAATAAATTGTGTTAAACATTAAGAAGAGTAATTAATATTTAACAATTGTTATATTAAATGTGATTCAATAAAGATAATGATATATAGAAAATAAAGTGGAACTTTTATTTTTATATTCCTAGAAGTTAAAAATATAATGAAAATCAATAAAATCAATGAAGTTAGATTTTTATATTTTCTAAAAGTGATAAATTTAATCAGATAATAAAAATGATTTTGTAGATTGAAAATCTACTACCAGATATATAATTACTTTTTAAACTAAAACTAGTAGAAAAAAATTAAAAAAATTATTTTCATATTAAATAAAATGCATAAGTTGTTTACAACTTATACATGTGCTTTTTGATATCACTTTAAAGAAAAAGTGACTAGTTAGAAATCCCCATAAAAAAATCTTGACTTTTTGTCTTGGCAGATTTATAACAGGATGATAGTTTATCTATCATCTACTATTTAGAAGATTAAATGGTTAATAAAAATTGATCTTTTAGTACTGTCTAGCTAAAAAAACAAGTTTCTGTGGGACTTTATCAATCCCTCCTCATATAATTAAAAAGTTAATTTCATTAACAATTCTAATTTCAAGAATTAAATATATTTATAACAATTAAAAAAATCTAAAAATTAAAATTCTTGATTTTTATAAATTATTTATCTTTTTTCTAAATTCTTCACTACTACCAGAGCTATTAGTAAACAATAATATAAGGATAATCAAAGATTATCTCTTATATTTCATTGTCATTAATTAACTCCCTATAATTAGGTACAAACTTTCAGTGAAAAGTCGTCAAGTGTCATCCTTTTCTATATCTCTGACTTGAAGAACAAGAGACTGTGGATAATGATTTGCATACAGAACACTCGAACCCTATGATTGAAGAAGATGAAACCATCAAGTATGTCTTTGAAACACAACAAGTATCAATCGGCATCTACATTATTAATGGCCCCTTGAATAACGATGACGCTCTAGAAGAACCCGACAGTATCACCTCAAACTCCTTCTGATTTCCACACTTTTTGTATAAATATTTTTTAACTTATGATAGCTACATTAATTGAAGATTTATTATCGGAAGTCGGAACTAAGCAATATAAGATGATGATAATTGGTAGGAAGGAAAATGATTCAGTGACAGTTATCCAAAAAAAGATAGAGAGAGATAAAAAGGGCGGTGGAGAAGCTTCGTAATAAGGCCAAAGTGATTGTTTTGATGCGTTCAATACAATCATGCAAAGGGATCATCATTGGCACGGGAGCTATTATGGGTGTTATTTTGCTCTTGATACGAGCTTCACCACAAACATCCACTTTCTCGCTCAATGCTAATCCTCAATTTACCTCTTGTGGTAAAAGTAACCCTGCCAACAAAACACTTAAATAAAAAAACTGCTAGTGTATGCTTACTGTGTAAAGACTTGTCTGCTAATTATGGCGTGGTTCTGTGGCAGAAATGGCAACGACTCAAATCAGCGCGATGGAGCAGGTTGCATGTTGTCGACAAACATGGATTACATAACATTTATATTATGATGTATAATGAATCAATTCACATGACTAAGAAGGTAACTGATGCTAATAAAAATATAACCATGTACCTTTGTTTTTGCCATCTTATTCGCCTGCCTTGAAGCCCATTGAAGAATGCTGCTGGGTGAAAGTAAAGAATCATGTTCGTAAAACGCCCTTAACGCCTAAGGAAAACCTTGCCACTAAAATACAAAAAACCACAAAGATTGTCCCTGCAAAAGACTGCCGTGGTTGGATCCGTCACTCTCAGAAGCATTTTGGTAGATGTCTAGACATGCAACATATATAGATGCATTCCACTATTAGGATAATTTTGTATTACAGATGAAGATTCAGTGTTTCCAGCAATTAATGTCGCTAGCCCCAGACATGTCGTCTGTTTACGAATCATGGCGCTTGCTTAGAAATCAAATGTTGCTAGCTGGGCAAAAATCTCACATAACACTTCTTTGGTTGCTGGATTGCTCCGCTGCTCTTTTGTTCATGAGCTATGATAGTAAACCTGTGGTGCGCACCGTGACATAGGCAGCTAATGTCATATATCGATGCACGTTTAAGCAATACTGCTCTTCGTTGCGTATCGGAATCAACGACAATGGACTCCACGTAAGTCCACAGTGTCAGAGAGCGCATCTTTCATGCCCTATGATTGTCAAGTGAGCATCACTTATATTATAACTGTATATGTACTCTATACAAGATCGAAAAGCTTGTAAAGTACTACAGTTACCCTCATTACTAGAGCAACTTAAAGTCATTCCCATACTTTGCTGCAGAAACATAAGCAGAAGATGACGTCCGTTTATTTTAGATGCTGAAAAGTTGAGCTATTATATAGCAGTATGCATATGTAAGCAGGTAATCGACTTTGCTTCACACGCCATCTAACCCGAGCCTTTTCGAGTATGTTGCTAAAATTATCTGGATAGTTGGATGATTGTTGTGAAAGTAAGATAAGGCTATTCATGCATTGATCTCATAAATAGAACAACTATTCAGCGTTTGCTCAGATGGTTCCATTAAAGACGGTAGTAGACTTAGCTGAGAGCATTATCATCTCTTTTGGAATTGTTATACTCTTTTCTGTTCGTCTACTGTATATAAGACTGATTTGCCGTCCTTTGCCGTCATAAAAAAGTAGCCTGTTGCAGCTTTTGTAGACCCGCATTTGCAGTTCCTTTCTGACCTAGCTGTATAGTAATACCCCAGGTGTCATCTGTAATATAAAAGATGAATATGGTTTGATTAAACAGAAAGCATTCAATTTTCTTGTTAAATCGAAACGAACGACCCGGTATCAAAGCATATATCATTATTGGAATGCCCCACAGAAATTCGTCGTCGTTGTCGCGGGTGCGATATTTCTATTCCAGCAAATCTTGCCGCCAACGTCAACTAGAACTTGACAAAGAACGAACAATTTTCCCATTCCATCGCGGGTAATATAAGGAAATAAAGATGTAGATAATTAAATACAAAAACTGACGTGTAAATGCTCCTACTTGCAAACAGATATCTTACGCCCTTTTCCCCCTGTCTATTGCCGTTTCCAATAACACGCAACACTCACACACATACACTAATGGAAATAACAAGCGGGCCGTTCTTTACGACTTCTTCGGGGTTAATTGACAGCGTGGACAGTATGTTTCGAGAAACAAGGTGTAGAGAAAATAATAATGCAGAGGACAAGTGAGTAATGATATTGATTTCACAGAAAAGCTCATGGTTGTCCTGAGAGATGGGCGTAAACTAATCGGCACATTACGATCCTTTGACCAGTTTGGTATGCTGCTACTTCATATATGGGTTCTTGTGCACGTGTGGTGTTTTGAAAACAGTAGCTGTAGAAGCGGTGGGTGGCTGATATATTCTGAACATTAACGACTGAGGCATAAACGCTTTTTTCCTCTAGCAAACTTGGTTTTACAAGACACAATTGAAAGGATATACGTTGGCAACTGTTACGGCGACATAGCCAGAGGCATTTTCTTGATCCGTGGCGAAAATGTTGTGCTCCTCGGTGAGATTGTAAGTATTGTGATGAAAAAGAAACGGGAAACGGGACTATGTACAATATTCGGAAGAAACTACTACTAGAAAGAAGATGCGTATTAATTCATGATGTGCTATGTTTAGGATTTGGATAAAGAGGAACGGACAAACTTGCGTAAAATCCCCGTAGAAGAGGTCTTGGTTGCACAGCGCGAAGAGATGGAGGCGAAACAGCGATTAGAAAAGATACGGAGTAGGGTACTGCATGAGCAAGGCTTTTGTGTGGATACTGCTCAAAATGATTTGTACTGAAAACAATAAAAAAGTTTTGGCAGACGAGCTATCGACCATCCTTGCTTATACCATTTCTATATACTGCAAATGAGACAAATGCATGATTTACCCAATGTCGTTGCCTGATTCAATTTCCTGGTCGATAAGCCACTGCCTATTTTGCCACCTTTAAATTTCAACTTTTTGCATTGATTTCTTTGACTTTTTTGCGCCGAACCCTCCTCCCCTTCAGACCTTGTCCATAATGGAATACAATCCTGTAGTTACCGAACAACTAATGTAAGTCAACATTTCAAACAAAAAAAAAGGACACACAGTGCGATCGGGCGTATAACTAACTGGATCTTTCATTGAACTTGTTTTTGATCTCTTTGACAGTTTGGTATGTAAAAAGTGGTTGGAAGGAAGAACTTAGTTGCTGCGGCATGAGAAAAAAAAGTTTTTAACACTTTGCTTTAACAGTGTCCAGGATGTGGTGCACCCACCCCTCCCAATGCGGCCAACATGTGCGTTAACTGTATTCGAAACGAAGTCGACATTACCGAAGGAATTCCAAAGCAAGTGCACATTCATTTCTGCCGTAACTGTGAACGATACCTTCAACCTCCTGGCATTTGGGTTGTAGCCGAGCTTGAATCTCGAGAACTGTTGACGCTCTGTCTCAAGAAACTTAAGGGCTTGAGTAAAGTCCGTTTGGTCGATGCAGGATTCATTTGGACGGAACCACACAGTAGACGTATCAAGGTCAAATTGACAATCCAGAAAGAGGTAAGCTGCAAGGAGACTTGCTTAGTAATTTCGTAGTTTTGATTCTGTGTAGCTGGCTTATTAATGTACTTTCCAACCTTCCCCCGATGATTAGGTCTTTGCAAACACTATTTTACAACAGGTTTTCGAAGTCGAATACGTAGTGGGCACGCAGCAATGTGATGACTGTACTCGTTTAGCAGCTCAGAACACTTGGAAGGCTTCCGTCCAAGTTCGTCAAAAAGTAGAGCACAAGCGTACTTTCCTTTTCCTCGAACAGCTTATTCTCAGACACAATGCCCACAAGGATACAACCAACATCCGAGAAACCAAGGATGGTATCGATTTCTACTATGGTCACCGTGGTCATGCTATTAAGATGCTTGAATTTTTAAACGCTGTTGTCCCGATCAAGTAAGTAGTAGACCGACTTGATATTTCTATGTACCGAGGAACTAAATGTGCGTGTTATACTTTAAATAGGTACAAAACTAGCGAACAGCTTATTTCTACCGATATCCACACGAGCGTCAGCAATTACAAGTTCACATACTCTGGTAGGCTGAAGAAGGACGATGTGTTTTTAAATTCGGTTCTTTTGAGATAAGGGGAATATGCATGGCAGAGTGGGATTGACACCTTTTTTGTGGGATTTAGTTGAAATTGTTCCTGTTTGTAAAGACGACCTCGTATGTCTGCCGAGAAAAGTTGCCAACAGCTTAGGCAACCTCACTCCCTTGCTTCTTTGCACTCGCGTGGGCAACACAATTCATCTGGTTGATCCAAATACACTCAACTCTGCCGACATCAATACCACTGTTTACTGGCGCTCTCCATTCTTACCGTTGGCATCAGCAAAGGGCTTAACGGAATACTACGTTCTCGACGTTGAGCCGCTTGGCCCAGTCAAGGGAAGACAAGTGCTTGCAGACGTTCACGTTGCTCGCATGTCCGATTTCGGCCACAATGACAACGAATTTATCGCACGATCGCATTTGGGCGCTGTCTTGAATCCCGGAGACACAGTGCTTGGTTACGATTTATCACACAGCAACTACAATAATGACGAATTCGACAAATTAGACCGCAGATCATTACCCGACGTCATCCTTGTGCGCAAATCATATCCACAGCGCAGAAAGAAGAACAAGCAGCGTACTTGGAAGTTGCAGCAATTGGGCAAGGAAGTTGATGATATGTTGCCACGCAAGCAGGACGTCGCACGTATTGAAAACGATATGGAAATGTTCATGCGTGATATCGAAGAGGATCCTGAATTCCGATCGAACATTAATATCTTCAAGAGTCAGAGCGAAGCACGCCAGCAACAACCTGCTGTGGATCATGGCGCCATGACCGATTCATCAGATATTGAGGAAGAGGACTTCCCTGAAATCTCGTTGGAAGAAATGTTGGACGAAATGCAGATCAACCAGGATACGTCTGATCAGCAGCAACAACAGCAGCAGCAGCAGCATCAGGATGAGGACGATGTGATGATGATGTAAATTTCTTCAATACATATTAGAAAAGTAATGTAATATTATGCAAATTGGACAGATGATGGTATGATAAGCTACAAATATGCATTATTATTTTTTATTTGTTCAATTGGTGATTTGGGACAGTCCTTGGATAATGCGTCGTAGAACCTTGGGATTGGGGTTTTCCTCCTTTAGGAGATATGAGGCATCGGTGAGTACCGCTGGAGTGAGATTCATGTGTGGTTGATCAAGATCCATCTTGTAAGAGGTGTCTTGGAGTCGGTTGGTCTTTTCGAATTCATTTGCCACTGAGTCCGCCTTTCTGATAATAGAATCTGGTACACCGGCCATGGCAGCAACGTTCATACCAAACGATTTCTCACAGATACCAGGCATCAACTTGTATAAAAAGGTGATTCTGTGCTCCTCTTCATCCACATAGTAACCCCTGAAAATCGATTGCACAAGAAGGTCAGAAAAAGCAAAACAAACCAGTTTGCAAAAGATTAAACTAAAACCAACTTACATGTGCATATTATTGATCGTTGGATTCCGTTCAAATTCTTGACACAAAGTTTGATAATGTGTTGCAAACATAGCCAGACACCCAACATGGATAGAGAGATAATGTAAGACAGAATATGCGATAGCATAGCCATCGAAAGTGGATGTGCCACGTCCGAGTTCGTCCAAGATGACTATAGATCGTGGCGTTGCTTCATGTAGAATCTTTGATGTTTCTTGCAACTCCACCATGAACGTAGACTCACCACGCAGAATGTTGTCATTAGCGCCGATTCTCGTGAAGATCTGGTCGCATGGGGTCAAACGACAGTGACTTGCAGGCACATAGGAGCCCAGCTGTGCCATGATGATGGCTGTGCACGTTTGTCGAAGCAGTGTAGATTTGCCGCCCATATTAGGTCCCGTAAGGACCATGATGGATGGATCCTTACCACCGAGTAGTGTATCATTGGGAATAAAGTCTTGACCAGCACTATGATAATAAAGAGCATCTTCCATTTAAAAATCACATGTCCTCACTAATCCGTATTAATAAAAGCATGACAGACACATTTCTAAAAATTACCCTGGTATCATGCACGGATGGCGCATATCTCGTAGCTCCAAAACACCGTCTTCTTGCTCAACAAGTTGCGGACGGCACGAAGGTCCTGATAAAAAACACCCCATTGCAACATCACGGTAAGTAACATGTCTTCTGTGTCCGCTGCAATTTCATATCAGCAATACTACTAGATAACCATGCATCTGTAATATTACCTCCAAGCTTGGCGGATCCTTTTGCAAGGCTCATCAACGCATCAATATAAGCAATACATTGAGTGGCAGCAAGCCATTGTTTGTAATACTCGTCGAATTGGCCATAAACTTGGCTTGTAAAGCCCTTGATAAATGCGGTTTTCGTCTCGAGCAGCTCTTTGTAATTTTGGATCATCTTTTCGAGCTCGGCGGTATAATAGCGTGTTACTTTCTAAATTTTTATAGGAAAAACCAACGGTGTTACATCCACATACGCATATGTATTGCTAGAGTTGTGATAATTACCACTGTTCCTCCAAGTTTGGGCCACGCTTTAGGTACTTCGACATCTTTTGGAACTTCTATCTGGTAAATTTCTTTGCCACGGTTATGGAAGCGGATCTGCGAGCATCTACAACAGAAGTTGGTCGTGAAGAAGTACAATCAGAAAGGATAGGAGCCGCAAAAAAAATACTAGGATGCGTACCCAAGATCTTGTTTCTTTTGTTGCAAATAGCTGTTGAACTTCTTTTCTGCCTCGTCGATTTGCTCGTGAATAGCATCGTATTCTTCGTTTACACCACTCTTGGGAATAACAACCTTCAATCTCTGATCTACAATGATATTTTAAAATGTGACGGTATGTTAGGCTTAATAGTTCCCGTTTGTAAATATAGGAGAAAGCAAGGATCAAAACCACCAATCCACTTACAGTCAATGTCAACCTCAGTTACTTCAAATCCCTCTCGGAAAAGGAGCAGCTTGTCACGAATATCAGGGAACTGGGTGACAATTGTTTTGAGCAGTGTAGAGTTGAGTCTGTCTTGTTCAGATTTGAGCTCATCGATGATTGCCTATATTTCGAAAACGTTTTTGGGTCATCAGTATTTTGTATGGCATGATATAAGCACTGCTTTCATCATGGTCCATCCGAGTAGTTAATCGTTTTTACCAGAGTCTTTTCGAATCCTTCGAGGGTTGCAAGGAATTCTTTCACTTGGCATTGCTTTGCATGAATACGTGAGATGAGACGTTCCAAATCGGGAATGCCGACCATTTTTCTGCTAAGCGATTCATGTATATCCGTATGTTGCATCAAGTCTTCGACTGCATCCAAGCGTCTGTTGATATCTGAGACATTGCGCAGTGGATGGCATAACCACCGCTGGAAAAGCCGTTTACCAAATGGTGTTACAGCGTTTCCGAGTAATTGAAGTAAAGTACCATCTATGGAGCCATCATCTGAGTTTTGCAGGACTTCCAGGTTTGCTAGTGTCTGTCCGTCAAGAACAAGTGACGACGTTTGTCGGACAGGGTCGTAAATAGAGATGTTTTTCGCTGAAAGAAGATCTTTATCGTGCTTAAGCTATTTTTGGTACGAAACGTAAACGATTAAGGCACTTTATACCGATTCGCCTACGCACACGCATCAATCCACCTATGCCCTGTTGATATATCTTAGACTTACTGTGCGCAAATACGAGATCAATCCGCCAAGTGCTGAGATTGTAAGAGGTTGGTTACGCATGGATTGTAGAGCCTCTGGCCAAGATGCTACAGTTATAGGCAACTAATTTTAGTTTGGGATGACCTTGTCTAGTAGCAGTGATAATGGTTCCGGTGCTCGCTTACATTCATCATCCATATCGTCCCCAAAGTAACCAGTGATCCTAATTTCGTCTATTGTCCTCACATCATTCCAAAACTCTGCCTCTGGCTTCAACTGGTTCCAGAGAACCTCAGATAAGGTGTTCTTAAGAACACGAAGTGTATTTGCACTTAAATAGCCCTATACATTGTAAAGTAGCCAGACGACAACATATATACAGAATGGTTATGTTTCGTTTTTTTTTTTGGCAATTTGATAAAAAGAAAGTAAGGATTCTATCCTTTACCTTTTCTGATACGAGTTCTCGCGGTTTGAGTTGGACAATGATAGTTTCAAGCTTACTACGGCCAGCGTCGTCTTTGAAACCTGCCATTTGGAACTCGGCTGTTGCTGTATCAACAAAGCAGATGCCGAATTCAGGGGTGGTGCTGTTCGAAGAGGTATATTCCTGCATACACACACACCCAAAACGGATCAGTGATTGATGTAGAAGAAAAGAAAGGGATGTGCATTATCTAATTTCACATAGTGTACACAATTAGATATAGAAACATTACCTTTATCGACATACAATACGTGCTCATCTCGCTCGTCAGCATTCCACTATCCACCAAGGTACCGATAGTGTATATGCATGTCAATTCGCGATGTATCACCTTGCTAGCCTTCTTGGTAGCGTTTCTGTCGCGCATAGACTTTCCAATGGCGTTTTCAGTCTGGTCAACTTTTGCCACTTTATAGCTATATGTCCAGAGTGTTAAAATCAAGGAAAGCATAAAGTAACCCACGCATAATAAATATCATAAAAAACGTACCCTTTAGCAACGAATTTAGAGGCCCAAAAATTGAACGCTGATTCAGGCACACCGGCCATCCGCATATTGACACGATCTGTCATTTTTAAATCAAAGTCCTTGTGGCCCACGTCCGCATCTTTTTCATATAATTCTATAAACAGACAGCCGAGCAAAGGAGGATCATAAGAAAACTGCCCTCTCACAGTGTTACGTATCAGATCACAATCCTTCTTACCATAGAATTTTCCTTTTTTAAAGAATACAACCTAAAGAGATAGAGACAAAGGTCAGTTTACGTTTAATTAAACTAGCAAAGGTCACACAATTTGTTTTATGAAAAGCTTACCGAATCCCACTGTTTAGACTTGACTTCCCAGTATTGCCTTTCGAACTCAGTAAACTCGGCCCAGGCAGATCGAGGTACATGTAGCGTACGAGGATCATAATCCGGAGAATCTAGAATAGAGTAAAGTTTAGTAACTGACTGTTCGATCTATAACGGGTTTGATCTTCACTATATATGTCTTGTTTCGAATATGTTACCCGGTGCATTCATATCTGCATCTCGAATATCAGCAAGCCATGCGTAGCGAGAGTCGTTCTTTTCTTTAAATTGCTTTCCATGTTCCTAAGATAGTCAAATTGCATACTCTCGGTAAGAGGAGCAGTCTCTTTGTTACAAGTATTTGAGGTAGCTACAAACCTTTCGCTGAATATCACGAGTAGATGCATTTGCAAGAAAATTTTGGGCTTTCTTCGGAGGAGGTGAATTCACGGAAATGCTCTAATATTCACAAGATAATGTATATAGCCTTTAGTATAAGATTCCATCATTGTCAAAGTAGAATGTATATATGAACCTGAAATCTCTCGCGCAAGGGTGTCATTTTGGTTGGTGTATTCGGCACAGTACTCTCATTAGAAGACTCATTTGGAAGGAGATCCTCATCAATGTCTATATCAGATACTTTAGAAAAGGATATTATATAAGCTGTTCAGTGAAACGAATTCGTTTCGCAATCAAGATGAGGGCAAAGGTAACCAAAAGTAAGTGTATACCTGGGATATCCACATAGTCATCATCCTCATCCGAGTTATCAGTGCTCTTCTGGAAAAGTCGCTTGCGCTTAACATTCTTCTTATTGCGATCTATAATCGATTGTATCCATGGTTGTTATTGTTGCTGCTTGAAATAAACTTTGTAATGGTCACAAAACAAAGGCCGAAAAAGTGGTGAAGGTTGTTGTTGTGGAAGCAGTGATAAAGAGACGGTATACCTGGTGCACATGGGCTGTTGAGTATTGGATCGTCATCGCTGTCGGAAATGGCGTAGGTTGTCCGCTTTCGTGTTCGCCGCTGTCAAAAATAAGAGAAGGTTTTGTTAATTCTGACAGACATGATATATAACCGCAGCACTATTCAAATATATAAGTGCACTGAACGCTACTAAGCACTCACAGCTCTAGAGTACACGGGCGAATAGTCATCATTATCACTGTCTTGATCCTCGTGGTCGCCGCTGTCAATGACCATGGGTTCTGCGATCGCCAAAGATTCAGTTGCAGTGTCAGCTACAGCGTTTTTAGAAGGTTTAATATTGCGTTTAGACGTTTGCTCCTGTTTCTGCTTCTGTTGTTGTGGTGCTACTGGTGCTGTTTTTGGTACAGACGCAGGCGCTGGTGTGGGAGCTTCATCCTTTTTTTTGAAGAATGAGAATAAATTGGTTTGCGCCATAGTGTAGTGTGAGATAAAACAAAATGCTTCGCGACAGCGCTGAAAAAGAAAAAGAGAAAAAACGCGATAAGCGCGTTCCGCTGTTCCGAAAAGTCAAAATTTCGTGTCACACAGCAGGCATCTACGCATCAATAGCATGGATGTTTTTTTCCACAAGTTTATTGTCACAACGATAGAGCTCTTATTACTGTACTGTGGCATCGCTGGCTAGGCACACAATGCTGTGATTCTGCTTCCACCTGTCACCTTTGTGACACAGAATCAACCTCCTGGTGTAGCGCTTAAACACTTACGTATGACAAACCACTGTCTATCTTGATATGAGTTTTTTCATCGCCCGTCTTCTTGACCAGCTTCTTATTTGGAGGTGGTTCCTACTTTGCTAGGCTACAGTAAACACTACATGTAAGGCAACGTCTTGGGGTGTTGTCAAAACTATATAAAAGTGGCTCTCTTCACACTGAATCAACAGTTTATGCGGCTGCACGATATAAACGCAGTGTGCTATATAGAATGGACCGCATTGCCTACATATTGATATGTAGGATTCTGCCTAACAACTACGTCGATTGGCAAGTTACATAGAACAACAGCATAATATTTACCGACTGTGGGTTGATTGAAATACAACAGTTGGGTGGCGCGTATCATAAAAGAGCATTATAGCGTCCAATTAAACTATGGTCTAACGATGGGTATATACTCCCCGTCGTGTTTATTCCATGGTAATCATATCCATTTTAAAGTATCGTAGGTGGATAAATTCCACAGGTATCTCGTTCTACAAATCATACACACACTCATGTGGCTCCGGTTACGCAACACATAGCACTTTCGTCTTGTACCTGCATGTCCGATGCTATGCGCTTTACTACATAAAGTCGGCCATATCAGAATACATTAGGCGTCATGTTTGGTGGTATGGTTGGTCGCATACAGGGCAAAATCCTGTATGCGTGTGAAACAACAAATCTGCCTATCAATGAATTGCCATAATGAGACACATACTAGGTCGCTGAGCTTTACTTCTTTTTTCCTTGCACCCTCTTCCTTTTCGTTTCAAGGACATATGCTGCATCGACTCTTCCGTACGGTTTCGGTGTCAAAAGATTCGGACGACAATTACACGCGGTTACTACTTGAACCTGAGGCGTAATTAGCGGCCCTTTCATGGTGCTGGTTGTTTCATACTGCCAAGAAGGCTAATCGTGCTCTTCCTCCTTTTTTACTTTATTTTAATGAACAGCTGGTGCCCGATTCCTTTGGGTGAAAGTCAAGTCAGAGTGCTATTCTGTCAAGATGCCGGCGATTCGAATAAAACCATTCTATACGATTCTAATCATGGCATATCGGTATCGCCTGTGATTCCAGCCAACTCAAAACGCGGGGCGACGACTACACGGGGAGGTATGGCTCGTTCTTGGAACGGCAGCGACGTATTCCTGTCGAAAGCAGCGTCCAGCAGGGGAAATTCTTCACTGCTTGGATCATTGACAGACCGAAGAAGCGATTATGCAAGGCCGTCTAGTATGCGGACACAGCCTTCTTTTGCGACGTACGATAATCGTGGATCTCCTTCTTCGCCACAGCGCCATCATCGCCAGGCACGCAAGCAAGCAAAAAAAAAAAGAAAGATTGTTCGGGAGGATCGGAGGGAGGAGGGAGATATGAGGATGGGGAGGGGATGTTTTGTTTTGCCAGATCCTTACGTACATGTATGATATTATATCATCCATCTCTAACCCAAAGTTACATTTGATTACTTGACATCTATATGTGCTCCTCCTTCCATATCCCTTGTATGTATCCTCTCCAGGCTAGTCGGCGGCTGGATCTTATTGGCGACATGATCTTTGGCACTGCACCACTTGCATACAAAGGCATGAACACCAAAGTCCACTACAAACGTGACAAGGAACCGCAAATTGTTCTATCCAAGCTATTTACGATCAATCCACAGGATGCGGACGTGACCCGACGCACTTCATTTTCATCTCTAAACAGCGACTGGTCAACGACATCATCCATTGCAGGCTGTGGTGGTGGCAGTGCGAATACGGCCACTGCTACTGGTAGCGTCGCTGGTCTAAAACATGGTGCCAAACGATCCACATCAACCTTGTCTGTGCGATCTATATCGTTGGATGACAATGCATCTGAGCTGTCAAGCGATGACGACAGGAGTCATTACTCGGGTTACTCTGTGTATCCACCGGTACTGGGATTACGATCTAGTTCCAATGCCTCATTCAACTCGAAACGGTCTCGTCGGTTTAGTCAAACTAGTATGGAAGACGGTGTATTTCGGCCGATGCCGATGCCCGGTGGTGGAATACACAGCCCGTCGGATAGCAACAATGGCAGTATTCCTGTAAGCAAATTTGTGGAAGGAAGTTTTCTGGGAGTTGTATTACATGTAGTTTCTGTTGTCAGCCACTGACGACAAAGGTACCCATCCTTCTTCATAATCCTCCCCTTCCCAAAAAAAAAAAAGCCGCCTTCGCAACATAGCGTACGAACCATCAAATATGCGATTGCTGTTGTTATCACGCTGGATGACAAGAACAAGGCTTTATTTGATTTCGTATTTTCCCATTTCTCATTAATTGAAAACCATTTGCATCGGTTACAAGCTGAGGCTTTCGAGCTGCTATGCGATCATTTCCGTACGACCAACTTTTCAAACCATCATCCGTTACAACAGGTAAATAGAAAATGGGCTTCATGTCATAGTTGGAGCGCTACTGTCCTTAAACTGAAGTAATTAAAAATGTCGGAAATACTAGAATCGAAGATCCAGAGGACACTTGTCGTATCTAGAGTCCGGTATTTTTCAACATGACAAAACAATGATCGACGCAGTTATGCAATTTAAACGCGCGTTCCATGATCTTTATGGTGTTCCACGGATACAGGTAACTCGGTAGAACATGTTAACACATACTGTATATGTTAATCTGCAATGCAATAAGTCGATCTGCTTTATTGATGTGATAACTTTATGATAAAAATTAATCCAGGAACCGCTTTGGCTCAACATGTCGACTTTTCCTCAACGGAAATCTGATTATGCGGCATCGCTTGTCAAAGAGTTAATATATTTGATCGATCAATATGATACGGACAGCAACCACCACTTCATTTCAACTTTGGTAACGGCCGTGCTGATGTACCACCTATCGTGGGTGCAGACAGTCGCTCCTCCTGATGAAGTCAAGGTAGTGCACGAAACATCTCGAAATGCCTTTATATCGCTTTCGTGGGCAACATACTTAAAAGAATGATTCTATAGAATATAAATTGTCGCCACGGCAACTATGATCCGTTGTGGGCGCAATTGAGGTATGAAAAGAGAAACAATGATATGAATCCAGTGTAGCAATTTGGCTCTTCTAATGCTTGTGTACATATACGGAACTCTGTCTTGGATAGTGACTTGTACGGCTTTGTCGCATCGCCTGGGCGGATTGCACGAACTGTTGTTGTCGGTCAAAAGAGTGGACTTGTTCGACGAATCTTGTATATTTTGACATATTTGATTCGATGCAACGAGGTTTACGAGAATATAGAATCCATGATAAGTCCTGACTCAGAGAGCATATTCAGTTTTGAACGAGAAAAAGATGTCACTGACGTATCCAAACTGGAAGATAAGATTGTCAAACAACTCATTGGTACTGCCACCGACGTTGAATCGATCGCCATACCCAAAGCAGCAGCAGCATCTTCTGCACACATATCTTCATCATCAAACGAATCACTCAATTACCATCATCCTACAGCATCCCCTGATTCGCTCAATGATCATATAAGCTCAGCATCATACAGTTCAGCAGTAAATGCGTCGACAGGAACCAATCGTTGGTCATCTAGCGGTAGTTTCGATCAACCCAAGTCCTCCACGTCATCGTCAACAGATCATCTTCCATCAAGAAGCTTAGTGTCACTGACTGATGAACAGCGGAATGGATATGGAGAGCAGTCTCAACCACAGCAGACACCACAAAGACAACAATCATTAGACGAGGTGATATCTGCTAATGGAACATACCCTGTCATGATGCCAAAGTAAGTAGATCATCATCAGCTCTGTTTTTTTGTTCCTGGGTGATACATGGTAGATATTAGGAAATTAAATAGCAACACGAATACGAATCAAGATCAACTATATACCGCATGACACCTGATATCACCCAGACCAGAGAAGATGGCTTACCGACAGACCCAATACATCATCTGTTTGCCAAATCATATGGACGGTCCCTTATGGGTACCTACTGTGACACGTACAAGTCAGATTTTGTCCTGCTCGGTGTATCCAACAGCTCGTTTATTGATCGCTTAGAAGCAGATATGAAGCATACGTTGCCCCAATTCGCATTGACAGATGAAGTCACTGAAGCAACCTGCTTAGTGATTGATGCCGAAAAAAGGTACATATACACACGCTTTCCTGGGCAGAATATTTATGGGGTTCTCATTTCCTTGTATAATCTTATTTCACTAGTCGTTGTCGCATATTACGCCAGCGTATATCCCATGTTGACTCTAGCGATATGAAGTAAGCTTATTTAAAGTATATTATATGCTCAACGAGTGCTTACTATAGTACATGGCTTTCGAGAGTGCTAATTATATTATCACTTAGCAACGGAGAAAACAATGCCAATTGGAAGGACGTAAACTGCTCTAATATCGTTCGCCAGCTCCTTTCCAATGTTAAACAAATGCATACGTCTGGAGCATCCCCTGATGAGGTATGTTTGTTCACTAGATCTGTATCAATAATCACGGTGAAGGCGGCGGTCAAGAATTGACAATTGTTTTAAAAAAAAATACAATATAGATCGTCGATTCTATCGAAGACGGTCTACAGCTGATCTATTTTCAAAGTTTGCTGTTGCAAGAACGTCTTTTTGAATGGCTGAGCTCGACGGGTACAGAACCGTTGGAGGACCTGAAAGATATCGCTGAGGATATAAAGTAAGAGGGAAATTGGCTATTCACTTGATATTCAACGGTGGAAGTGAAAGAAAACTTTGCAGACTAACGAGTTTCCTTTTCTTTTGGCGCGAATAACAATCAGGGTGGAAATAAGCGACATTCCATTATTGGTGAATGTATGCAGTACTTATGACTCTAGAGTTGCCGAAATATTACGTGAAGCATAAGCTTCAAAGAGTTTGTAGTGTTGTAGTATCTTATTCGTAGAGAACAGGCATGTTCATACACACAATACACAATACACACATTCTCGATATTTTTGTTTGTTCGATGCAAATACATATACAAAACACCTTTTGCGCACCATCTTACCTACAAAGAATCTTTACCCTCCCATCATAATACAACTGTATATAGATAGCAAGTTTCATGTTTCAATAAAAAGGGCTCACATTTGCATAGTGTCAACTGACAGATCCCATTTGTGAGGAACTGAGCTTGACTGTTCCATCAAATCGAAAGCTCTCCGCTGAATTAAACAGTCGACTTGATTCTTCTGTTTTCAACGTCTTTCCTTCTTTTGCGGAACAATGGTTACATACGGTGGAGGTACAGTGAAAGAAGAAAATACTATAATCGATTTATAATTCTACCACTTGAACTAAAGTTGCGATTCTTTTTACGATTATGCTCACTGCAATGTATAGACGAAGTCAATGCTTTGGTGTTTGATATTGGCACTACTACGACGCGTGCTGGTTATGCTGGCGAGGACACACCAAGAGCCATATTTCCTACATCGTTTGGCTATCTAGAAGAGCCCGATACAGATCCAGAACAGAAATCGAACGCGGATGGCGACGTACAAATGGCAGATGCATCCGATGAAAAGAGTGACAAAAGAGTGAAAAAGAAATACTACATTGGTGACAGCAAAGTTAACACTTGGCGCGAAAATATGGAGGTTCGACACCCTTTGAATGATGGTCTTGGTAAGATTTCTTGTTTGAAAGAATTGTTTTCAACTTGGTGCACATCAATACGAGTACATGTCTTTTTAAGAGCCTGCACGTGTATGCACTGTACTGTAACTGATAAACGAACAAAACGAAAATCGCTAACGATGGTTCTTATTACTAGTCAACGATTGGGATGCTCTGGAACAGATTTGGAATGCATCTTTCCGCGACATGTTACGCATCGATCCCACCGAACATCCCTTGTTATGTACAGAACCGGCTTGGAATACTACAGAGAATCGCGAAAAGTTTGTAGAGCTGGCGTTTGAAAAGTTTTCTTTCCCTGCCTTTTATCTCGCAAAGGATGCAGTCATGACAGCGTAAGTGGTAGTAGATCCATACCTTGAAAAGGTGCATAAGAAAATATCAGACGATGGTATACTCATTCATGTCATATTGTTACCTATACCGTATAGATTTTCTGTTGGAAGAGCAACGGCACTTGTGCTGGATGTTGGCGGTGGCATTGCTAGTGCTGTGCCAGTATACGATGGATATGTGTTAAAGAAGGGTAATGGCAAGATCAGAGGGCATATGTCTTATAGAGAAGGGATATTGTACTGATCAAGATGTACGTAGGCATTTTGCGACAGCCGCTTGCAGGAGACGTTTTATCACAACAGTGTCTTGATATGCTCAGAAACGATATTAATCAGGATGTGACACCTCAATACATGATTACGGGCAAAAAGCCTGTCGACGCTGGAGCACAACCGCAGGTGCAAAAGAAAAATCGACCCAACACAACAGATAGTTACAACGATCACCAAGTATCTGTATGTGTCTGCTTTTACCTCGAGAATTATAGTCCAATTGTTGACTGCCCAACCTGATACTGATAATATTTGATTATTTAGAGAGTAGCACATGAATTCAAAGAGTCCGTGTGCCAAGTATCCGAGGTGACTTTTGATGAAGGGTATATATCAATGATCATGATGGTGATAGGCGTGCGGTGGTAGTAGCTTAAGGCGGCGTGTACACGTATAAAGTGACTTAACTGAATTGTCTGGATCTAGCATTATGGGCTCACGGCCGCAGAAACCTTTCGAATTTCCAGATGGATACAACAACTTGTTTGGTGTCGAACGATACAAAATCCCTGAATCCCTTTTCCAACCACATCAATTCTTGCGTCAGGTCCGTCCAAACGTATAAGTTTATGCATAATTTTCGTATATATTTACCGATTCTTGCTCCAACCCTTTCATGTCTTTTCTTGTAGACATCATCCGGACTTACTCAACAACAGATCGATTCTTGTATGGGCATGCATCAGCTTGTAAATAGCAGTATTGGTAGCTGCGATATTGATCTTCGACCATTGCTGTTCAACAATGTCGTTGTCACCGGTGGCAGCACACTCTTCCCTGGATTCAACGAGCGATTAAACTACGAGCTTCCCATGCTGGCTCCAGGAGTAAGTCAGACGTGTTTTTAGTAGAAGAGGAGAAAGGCAGAAAAAGAAGAAAGTGAGCCACGAATAGAAAACTAAACGGCAATTATGATTTTTTAACAGAGCAAGGTAAAGATACATGCTGCTGGTAACCAAACAGAACGCCGATGCAGCAGCTGGTTAGGTGGATCCATCCTGGCATCCCTGGGCACCTTCCATCAACTCTGGATTTCAAAGTATGTTTTGTGCATCTCTCCTTCTTTATTTGCTGTTATTGGAATACATGTAGAAATACGAGAAACTAACTAATTGTCAATTGTTTGCCATGGATACAGACAAGAATACGAGGAATCGGGAGCTTCTATTGTTGAATCAAAGTGTCAATAAAATTATACAATCAACTGCTTTGCTTTCTTACCAAAAAAAAAAAAATTGAAAGAACGGCCTTTTCTCTCCTCAGCACTGTTTCTTCTTTCTTTTGCTTTAAATATACATAACACAAAATGAAATCGCGAAAAATATCACCTACGCCTTCAATCGATTCAAATGATGAACTTCTGAGCGAAGACGAGCTGGAGAACGAAATGGACGACGAGGTTGACAATCCTGACGTCGATGACTTGGAAGACGAAGAAATCGATGAGGAGGGCGATGAGAACGATCTTTCAGAAGACGACGAAGTAGGAGAAGAAGAGGAAGACGAGGACGATGAAGAAGATCTAGTCGATGACACTCGTTCAACAAGAAAGAATCAAAAGCGGAAAAAAGCCAGTACGTAGTAATCAATGTCTCCGGGGTACCTACACACGCGAATGCGCTAACAATTCTCTGTTCTATGGATTCCGCGTTGAAAATCTAGTCTACGAAGAGCCTGATAGCGATGACGATGAGGACGAAGACGACTATGAAGTTGTTTCTAACCGACCACTGACAAAACGACAACGCGCAAAATTAGAGAATAATACACCAGAATATTTTCTCGAATTGCCTATGGGTAAGTGAGAGGGAGAGAGAGAGCCAAAGATAGGTATAGTATTGAACTGAGCAAATGCAAATTTATATATAGAGAGTGGGAAAAAGAAGCATCTTACGGAAGAAGAGCAAACGCTCAAACGATCCGAAGTTGCACGGCGACGTAAGAATCAAAGTATACAACGCGCAGAGAAAGATAAAGAAGATACAATCAATCGCTTGCTGAAGAAGCAAGCATCCAAAAGCAGGCGGATCATCAAAGACGACGCAGGAGATGAAAAGGAAAGCGGTTCAGCCCGTCGTTCAGCATTAGCAAGAGATCCCAACAGCCTTCAATATGTCAGTAATGCCAAGGGCAGCTTTCTGTCAATTCCAACTACAATAAGCGTGGATCAAATTTTTGGGTACGTATTTCGATATGATGATATCAGTGACAAAACTCGCTCTAACTTACTGCGTTTTCGCTGTTTAGACCATCATACGATTAGCACTTGACAAAATAAAGATCATCCTAATGGGTGTTTGTATATATTATCTGGCGTGTGTGTTTTGTCTGTTGCTTCTACTTTCATGTGGCAGCTACGTGGCAACGTTTGACAACTTTTCAACAACTGCGGAGAAATGAATGAGCGCATAATTAACATCTTTACACTAGGACAACATTTTTATTTTACTCAAACAGCAACGTGCACTCCCACTCTTCCTAAACATCTTGACCGAGGAGCATGGGCAAATCAATATGGGCTGCCTCACTGATTGCCACCATTATTGGCGTAACAGTCAATGTCCCGCTGCCTGACACTGTTTACGTTTCGATCGCTTTTGCCATTCTCGCTAGTGTTGTGACATGGAAAACGTTACCTCGGCTAGCAATGACATTTGTGGAGGCCCGTGTTTCCGGCGTTGATGTATTAAAACGAGATCGTCCTCTGCTGTAAGTTTGCAAATGAAGAAAAATAATGCTAGTAATAGTCATACGAAAGAGAGAAACTGCGAATCCAGTGTTACTCATACAAGACAGGCCAGAAGCAATGGGGTTTCCGACTGCCGTTATCTATCTGATTGCCATGTTCTGCTTTATACCATTCCCTTTTATCAACTGGTTCGATGGAGAGGCGCGTCTTGTTCACGAAGATAATCCAATGATTGGCACCTTCCCATACCATAAAGTAAGAGAAGACGTCAAGGTGTTACTGGGTCCTATGGTGTAAAAGCGTGCGGGATTAGCGTCATTAACGCCTTGTGTGGTGATATGTTTAGCTCGGGCAAATATTATCCGCTATACTTGCAATCCAGTCAATGGTTCTGCTCGGATTTGCAGATGATATTTTGGATGTTCGGTGGCGCTACAAGGTTTGGTTCCCTGCTGTAGCAAGTGTGCCGCTTCTGATCTTTTACTATACGAATTTCGGTGTTACCCACGTCGTAATGCCACTCCAACTGCGTTCGCTATTGGGTGAATTGGTGGATCTAGGTATGGGGGAAGAAGTATGTCTAATGTGTTTTAATTTATTGGGTATCTTACGCAGGTTTTTGTATACGTAGGTCCATTATACTATGTATACATGGTGATGCTGGTTATATTCTGCACGCATACCATCAACATTCTCGCCGGCATCAACGGTATCGAAGCAGGCCAGTCGTTGATTATTGCGCTATCAATCATTATCAACGACCTCTTGTATATGTGTAACAATACGGATCGTGAGAGTCTAGAAGCGCATTTGTTCAGCCTATACTTCATGTTACCCTTTGCTGGCGTCACTGCTGCTCTCTTAGCACATAACTGGTAAGTATCGAAGACGGACAAAACGATGGGGAAATCATTAATACGGCAGACATGTATACTCAACATGATCATTTACTGTATAATCCCTAAGGTTCCCGGCCCGTCTATTTGTTGGAGATACGTTTTGCTATTTTGCAGGAATCACTTTTGCAGTCGTCGGTATCCTTGGTCATTTCTCAAAGACACTGATTCTCTTCTTCATACCCCAAATTTTTAACTTTATCTACTCGTGCCCACAACTTTTCCGCCTGGTGGATTGCCCAAGACATCGCATGCCCCGTTTTGACTCTACCAAAAGACTCCTTCAATGCTCCACTGTGATCATTAAGCCCAGCAACAGTCTCAGAGCAAAGTTGGGTCGTCTTATACTGAAAATATTGTATATGCTTGGACTGCTGAAAGTGATCAAGTGGGACGACGATGGTCGGCTAGTGGAATGCAACAATTTGACAATCATTAACCTTGTGCTGGCTCGCTTGGGACCCATGTCAGAAGTCAATACAACACGGACAATATTAGGCATTCAAGTCTTGTCAAGTTTATTTGCGTTCTTTATAAGATATAAACTCGTACAATATGTATATTAAAGCGAAAAGAAAATCACAATCACAGTTGTTTTTTAGCTGGGAGGGGAAGGTGTTGCTTGGGGGTTTTCCCTTCAAATGGTGACACCAAGTTCAGGAACATAGCCAAGCTTTGCAAAGTGGGCAACAGTATCCTGTGCCTTTTTGACCACGACATCCGTTGTGATGTTAAACTTCTTGTACAAGTCCTGAATCGGGCCAGAAGCGCCAAACACATTGTTTCCTTGACCATCAGTCATGCCAACAAAGGCATGTGCATAACGCTCCCAACCAATCACGCCAAGTGCCTCGACAGAAACCACAGGTGTTCCTGTTGTAAAGACAGACTTCTTGTACTCGGCAGGCTGCTCATCATACAGCTCTGTGCAAGGCATCGACACAACACGCGTGGGAACACCTTGGCCGTTCAAGACATTGGCTGCTTCAACAGCAAGAGATACCTCGGAACCGGTGGCAGTGATGATGACCTTTGCGTTGGGTTGGTCTTGCAATACATATGCGCCTTTGGAAACAGCTTCCAGGGAGGATCCTTCTAAATTGGGCAAGGCCTGGCGGGAGAGTGCCAAAACAGAGGGTCGATGGCGGGCACTTAATGCAACTTTGTATGTACCCGCAACTTCGTTCGCGTCAGCAGGACGGAACGTCAGCAAGTTAGGAGTGGCGCGGGTAAGAGCAAGAGTCTACATGGGGAATGTTAATTCAAAGCGTTTTGCTAAACCAAAGATATCAAAATATGTTGCACAGCCAAGTTACCTCAATTGGCTGATGCGTAGGACCGTCTTCGCCAAGGCCGATAGAATCGTGGGTCATGACATAGAGAACCCGCAAGTGAGTCAGGGCGGAAAGACGAACAGCACCCCAGCCGTATCTATGGTATTTAGAAAGAATCAAACAGCAGTTAGTAATATGTTTATTGCGATTGCTATGGTGATGTATTTCCACCCATAAGCCCATGTACTCACGTCAAAAAGTTGAGGAAGGTGGAACCGATTGGAATAATACCTCCGTAGCAAGCCATACCGTTCATGACTGCAAACATACCGTGCTCACGTACACCATAGAACAGATACTGTCCCTTATAATCGCCAAGGCCCGTGGATGGCTATCGTAACCGAAAAATAAGCGTACAAGTCAGTACAAACCGAGTTCTCACAAGATCCATCCGTTTCCCCACTTGCTACACTCGTTTTAAACGTAAACATACGTTTTGGAAAGGAGAAGCAGTCTTCCAGCGGACCAGGTTGGAAGAGCTGAGATCGGCAGATCCACTCATAAAGTCAGGGATGGCGGCAGCCAAAGCGTTCAGTACGATTTCGGATGCCTTGCGGGATGCCACCGCAGGATCGCTAGGTGTGAATCGAGGAAGCGCGTTTTCCCAGCCCTCAGGCAGATCACCAGCGAAGCGTCGCTTGATTTCTGCAGCTTCGGCAGGATATTCTTGACTGTACTTTTGAAACAAAGTGTTCCAGGCACCCTCATACTCTTCACCGTGCTTGGTGCGTTGAGCATACAAATCGTAAACCTATGTTTTTGTAGCACAATAATACGCGTGTGAACAGTATCATGAGAAAAAAAAATCAAAACACACACACACATATAACACACAAGGATAAATTTCTCGGGGGCGTTACCGATTGGGGTACTGCGTATTTCTCTTCTGGATTGAAACCAAACTTTTCCTTGAGTTGCTTAATGTCATCAGCTACAAAATAAAAGCGTCACGATGTACAAGGTTAATGGAAATGCAATTGAAAGGAAAATACAAGAAGCTTATATAAAACCATACCTGACAAGGGAGACCCGTGGGCCTTGGATGTATCTTGAATAAGCGAGCCATAACCTAAAACGATAACCCGTCAGCAAACTGATTAACGGAAATAAGGTGCATTCTGATATAAACTATGTTCAACACATTACCGATGGTGGTGGAGATCTCGATCAACGAGGGTTTGTCAGTGACAGCTTTGGCTTCTTCAATGGCCTTTGCGATACCTTCTTGATCACTATTACCATCTGCAACGGCCGAAGTATGCCATCCACAAGATTCGAAGCGCTTTCGTACATCCTCAGTGAACGAGATATTTGTCTGACCATCAATGGTTATCTTGTTGGAGTCATACAAACAAATCAACTTGCCCAGCTTCCAGTGACTACAGTAGATGCAGAATCAAGTTGTTGATGGGTTAGAATCATCATCATGATGTGTTGACTTGTTATTAACGACTCATTCCGAAACTGAGAAGCCTTACCCAGCAAGAGAGATGGCTTCAAGGGCAACACCTTCTTGGAGACAACCATCACCAAGGATTACGTAGGTATAGTTGCTAAAGATATCAAAGTTGGGGCGATTGTACTTGGCAGCAAGGTGTTCTTGCGCAGCAGCGAGACCGACGGCATTTGAAATACCTTTCAAATATAACCCAATTCAGTCTTAGGTTTTTATTTGTTTTATTGGCTTTCTAACTTACCTTGACCAAGTGGACCAGTAGTAACTTCCAAGCCAGGAGTATCGGTGGCCTCGGGATGGCCAGGCGTCCTGGTTGCAAATTATGCGGGTCAATATCAATCACGCATTCATCTCTCTTACGCCGATATGTAATTTATAGTTGGGAGACTGGCATGATTGTTGTCATGAACTGGTCTTTGAAACTTTGAAACGTCAAAACTTACTTGCTACCGACCTGACGGAAGTTCTTGAGATCATCCAAAGTCACGTCAAATCCCATAAGGTGCAAAAGGATGTATTGAAGAGCACAACCATGGCCATTGGACAACACGAATCGATCGCGATTGATGAACTTTGGGTTCTTTGGGTTCACTATTGTTATTGAATGATGTAATATATCAGCAAGAAGGCCCTATCCCATCCTTTCTTCCATCCACACGTTTCGCAACAGAATAGTGCGCGGTAGTATAAGGTTACCGTTCAAATGCTTTGTATACAAGACATTGGCCATAGGAGCACAACCCATGGGTGCACCAGGATGACCCGAGTTGGCACCACGCGTCATATCCGCAGCCAAGACACGGATCGTATCGACGGCTTGTTGTTCTACAGTGTGCACCATGCTTTTTTCTGTTGCTTTGATGGGATGTGAGTGGGAGAGTGTGAGATAGAAGGGAAAAGAAGTAGGAAGCTCGAGATGGCGCGCGCAAGATCTTTCTTGCAGGATGGCTTTATACACGAGAGGAAAAAGAAGGTTTGGGGTTAATCCCTTCACTTTTTTCCTTAGAACAGCAACGTCAAAACAGTATGGTAATGTAACAGCTTACTCTATTGGTTCTCAAGATCACGCGTATACCCACTTTTGTTTTTGTGTGTGAAAGCCCTTTTTCTTTCTGGGCTGAAAGATCGCCCATCTATCATAATTTTCCTTCCTCCGAGTGCAAACGCCTCCATCCAACACGTATACACACACACACGCACATCTTAGCATGCGGTTTTTTACTTCAAGATGTGCGTGCTTATCCCCAGTCTCAGTATATACAAAGTGTTTTGACAACAAAATTAAGCTTTAGCTTTTGTCCGATTAAAAGGAAGTATCATCCCCTGGTTATTACAGAAAGAAAAGATGTATATTATCTATTTTTTCCCTGCTACAGTACTACTCTGGTCGTGTGGGGTACACACGTTAAGCAGAAAGGGGCTCGGCCTGTGGTGCAACACATTAACCTCGTATCCGAAACATATTCTGCAGAAAGCCAGTGTGAAATTCTGCTCTGTTTACCAAAGAGAAGATTAAATTTCTCACCTACTATCATCTGGATACCGTAACGACCTAACCCCCTCTCTCATTTTCTTCTGCACACGCGAGGATTATGCTCAACAATTCTTCCACCCACGTAGCCTCTTTATATCCGATACTAATATGCTCAATACCGTGCTTTGATTTAATGCGCCAGACCGCTTCTCGCTATAATAGATGCACTCATAAATAACTCAAAAACACGAAAACGACGCTGGCCCTAAAAATTCGTTACGAGCATATGGTAGCATGAACCAGAAAACCCAGCAGCATCAGCAGCCCCAGCAAAGCAAGGAGACCTACAGCCTCTTCGTAACCCTTTTCGTAACTTTTTATCTTACTGCAAACTTTACTTGGAAATAATGGAACTAGATACTGCTCGTAACAGTAGCAACAGCAATAGCAACTGCGACTATATGGATGTCGATTCTCCTGAAGATCTACAAGGCTACCATGTTGCTGGTCTCATTGACGAACTAAAGCACGACGACGTGCAGTATCGATTGAATTCCGTCAACAAGCTTCTTACTATTGCCGAAGCACTCGGTCAGGAAAGGACTCGAGACGAGCTGATTCCATTTCTCCAGAATGGTACTTGCTATGTTATACTTTATTTGGTTTCCGAGAAAAAAAAAGTCATGATGTTTCTTAAACAACTTATTACTTAATCGCTTTGCATTCTGTGTGTGTCTCTGTATTATTTATCACCGTGTGTTGGCATTCTCTTTTTCTATTTACTCCTTATGCCAGACTTGATTGGTGATGAAGATGAAGTACTCCTTGCACTTGCTGAGCAATTGCCCAAGTTAACGGCTGCGGTGGGAGGCCCGGTTTATGCAACTTATTTACTCCCACCATTGGAATCGCTGGTTTCTGTGGAAGAGGCAGTTGTGAGGGACAAGGTTGGGACTGTATTAAGAAGAAAGGAAACGAGAGACGAAACCGCTCGATACGTTGATTTTTACGAAAGGGCTTTCTGTATCTATACAACACCTATGAAATTTATTAGGCAGTCTGGGCGCTTTGTGAATTGGCTCAATCGTTATCGCCAGAGCAACTCACTGAATACTTTATACCTATGTTGAAACGACTTAGTACCGGTGAATGGTTCACAAGTCGGGCATCTGCTGCAGGGTTGTATGCAGCGATATATAAGAAATGCGGCTCCATGCAAATTGAACTACAGAAGTACATGATGGATGGTGATATGGGATGTCGTTTGTGTGAAGCTGGCAAGAGGAAGAGAGAGGATGGCGTACATCAAATAAAAGGTATATTAACTCGCTATCTTTCCTTAAAAACTAGTTCCTTTGCCCAATTGATACAAGACGCAAGTCCCATGGTCAGAAGAGCTTCTTCCAAAGCATTGGCAGTAAGTGTTCATACTGGCAAGCATAGTAGCATGAAATGTGTGATTGTCCATGATACCTTGTTATATGTATTAATGTAGGCTGAGCAAATTTAGGACTTTACAGAGCAAATGACTCCAGATGAGGTCATCAATGTCAGTCTACCTTTATTTTACAAGGTTGCTGGGGATGAACAGGATTCTGTTCGACTGCTAGCGGTTGACGATATGATTGCCATTGCGAAAATGATCACTGCAAGACAACGATACGAACACCTTGTGCCAACATTTGATTCACTCACAGTTGATTGCTCTTGGCGCGTCAAGTATATGCTGGCGACCAAGTTTGTAGAGGTAAATCATAAAAAACATTGTACTTTGGATCTCGCGCAAAACGATTCGAAAGTATAAGTGGAAGAGCGTGTGGAATAGTACTAATGCTTTATAATGAAAGTAAAGGTGGCAGAGGCCTTTGGTAATCCCATTGTTCGCAGGGAGTTTACAACACCCTACCTTATTCTTACCAAGGATCCAGAAGCCGAAGTGCGAACAGCAGTGGCAGGGCAGATCTCAGGTCGGGAATAGAAGTTTTGTCTAAAAAGAGCGCAAGGGTAGTCTTATTGAGTTATTGAACTTTTGATTGCTATCTCAGGTCTGGCGCAATATCTTGACAAGGAAGAAGTACTTGAAAGGTTATTGCCATGTGTGCAGGAGCTGACCATGGATACTAACGAATATACGCGTGCTGCTCTCGCTAAAGAAGTTAGCGGCCTGGCACCTATTTTCGGGAAGGAAGCGTAAGTAGCAGCAGTGATAGAAATAGCAGATAAGGGATTTACGAATAGGATTTTAGAAAAGAAACATGATTAAAATAATCACTCTACATCAGGGCGCCCAAGAATATTCTCCCTGTGTTTCTGCAACTCTTGAGGGATGATTCATCAGTTGTGCGGCTCAGTGTTATATCTAAGCTTGACGAATTGAATGATGGTATGTTTTTCTTTTCTTGTGGAGAAATGGCTCTTAAAAAAAGAAAGACTTATACATACATTTAAAAACAAGTTGTTGGCATGGAATCATTAAGTCAGTACCTCTTGCGAACTATCATGGAGCTTTCAGAAGAGAAAGAATGGCGTATCCGACTACAGATCGTTGAGTGTATGCCAGTAATTGCAAGACAGTTGGGTGAGAGTATCTTTGATGCAAAGCTTACGGCACTGTGCATGTCATGGTTACAAGATAAAGTATATGCGATCCGTAAAGCCGCCACTACCAACCTCAAGAATCTAGCCGAAAGCTTTGGGGTGGCATGGACTAAAAAGACGGCTATTCCACAAATTCTAAACATGGCTCACGCAGAGAATTATTTGCACAGAATGACTACGCTTTTTGCGCTGACGGTATGTATATACCACGTTTCATATACTTTCTCTCGTTTCTTTTTGTATATGCTTACCACTAAGTGGATATTGAATATACAACCGAACAATACAGCAAATTGCCAAAGTGCTCCCGGCAGACGATATTAAAGAAGCAATTATCCCTACCGTGGTCAGCTTATCCAACGATTCTATTCCAAATATCCGCTTTAACGTCGCTAAATCCCTCGAGGAGCTTACGCCTTTGTTGCAACGACAAGAAAAGCAGGCTTCGGAAGAAATACTCAAAAACACTGTTGTGCCTGTTCTCAACAAGTTAGCTCGAGACACTGATGGGGATGTGCGGTATTTTGCTCAAAAGGCTTTGGAGAATGACAAAGCTGTCAAGTCCAATACCGGCGCTATTGCAGAAAATGGAAGCAGCCCTGAAGCTAAACTTTGAATGCACTCTACAGTAATATACTCATTTTTCCGACATCTTTTATCATGATTTACCATGACCTTTTTATTGCTGTATCAAAGTTACTGGATAAACAAACAATATTGTACATACGCTTATCTGCGCATTAACTGTATTAAGTAATATTACATATCACTTCTTCCAAAAGGTTTCGCCTTTGAGTCTTCAATCAACATATGGACTCGCGTGTTCTTGTAGATATTACGTGTGTTTTAAATCACTTTGAGTATCCCTTTTGATTGAGATGGTATTATGATGTTGTTTGCGTGGAAAAATAGCTACGTGGTCTTGATCAATTTGCAGAGTTTAAAATAAGCGCTTTGACAGCATCGCCATTGTCTGCAGCGTTAAAGGCCTCTGCAGCCTGGGAAAACATAAACCTGGACCAACAAACAGGTGCGTGTTTTACATACTCGGAGTTGAATATCCAGAACTTTACTGATAATTATGTTCAATTTCGCAAAAAGGATGAATCACTTACTCGTGAGTGATTAACGGTTTGACATTGATTCTCTCACTTGCTATGAGCTCAATGGCGCGTGGATAAGTGTGGTGGTGCCTGAAAAAAAGAGAATTGAAGTATCAATAACATATAGCTTTTGCTAAAGACCTTGGTCCACTTTCCTCACCCATGTGATTATATCCTGTAATATGTAGCTTTCCATTTACCTATGCACGCCACGTAGTGTAATGTCTCTTAAAGCAAAGGCACTGATAGGTACGACCTGATCTGGCTCCCCAGGCCCTGTTCGACAACAAATTCCGCCTTGTCGCGTAGCCTTAATAGCTACTCGTAGTGTCGGTGCGGTTCCTGTGCACTCGATCGAGCTATCGGCGCCTTCCGAACCGAGTTCAGCACAAATGGCTTGTGCGAGGGTATCCTCGCTCCATTTAGGATCCAGCGAAAACGCTGCATCAGCGCCAAATGACTTGGCCAAATCCAAACGCCCAGCGTGGGTATCTAGCAACACAACTGGGCCGATACTGGTTGCCTTGGCTACCAACAGTACTAGCAGTGCGATTGGAGAAGTCCCAGTGACCAGCAATGATTCACCCATACGTACACCGGAACGATCAATAGCAGCGATGGCAATACAGAGTGGATCTAATAGGGCTGCTTCACTAAAACTTACTGTGTCAGGAATTCTATATTATGCAAATAAGAAAAAGAGGATTGTTGATTTCTGGCTTGTTCAGCTGTCTGCTGAAACGCTTTTCCCAATTTTCACACGACCCAGTAGCCCTCCCTCCAAATAACCCGTGAGTGAGATGATGGTATGGGTATGTGAGCGTGTTTTTTTTTTCTACCTGTGCAACCAAGCAATTGGATGTGTCACGTATTTTGCAAAGAGCCCATCAAATGGAAACGATCCTTTTTGGATGATACGGGAACAGAGATTATAACGACCGTCCAAACAAAAGCTACAATCGGAACATGGCACACATCTATTTTGACATACGAAATACCATTTAGTTGTCAGCCTGCTATTGTCCCCAAAACCAAACTTCTATCAAAAACAATGTCCTGAAGATCTTATATATCGTATACACTTTTCTAATTATTTCCATGTGACGGTATAAAGTAGTGGTGATAACCTACGGTTCAATAACGACACGATCTCCTACGTCAATATTTGGTTGCCCTGGATGCCTCTCGTCCGTATTGACAGCCGTGACATAGCCGGCACCTTCGTATCCGAGAACGAGTTGTTCTAACATGCTGTAAGGTGGCAGTCCTGACTTCCACAACTGGATATCTGAGCTGCCTATTCCCGTGGCTTTCATCTGGATCTGTACTTGGCCAGGTTTTGGCAATGGTACCTCAAGCGGAACGATCTGGAGGTTGCTGGCCGTGCTCAACACGATGCCACTGTTGCTAGCTGGAATTTCATACCCAGGTTGGTGAACAGTCATGCCCATACTTTCAAAAAAACGTGTATTTGTGTGTGTGGAGAAGAGAAGAGAAGGGGGAAGAAAGTACCAAAAGAAAAGAAGGAAAAGGCTGATGATGGAACTTTTTGTTGCTTTGCTCCTGCACCTGTTGTCATTTTTTCCTCTTATCGATTAGGCTTATCAGAATTTAATCATGAAAATTTGCAGAAAACAGGCAATGCCCCTCTCATTCGTTGGTCGCATGACCATTTACGTCGTACACGTAAGTAGAGTAAACCCCACCATCGCGTACCATACGAACATAACATCGGCTCAAAATTGTCACTATAGCGTAATAGTTGAAGTATGCAAAAACAATGCGTTCAGAAAATCTCCCACACTATTAGTGCTCCAAAATTTCAAATGGACACTGGCAGCTCTTTACCTAACTGTATCTTTCTTTATACACAAGTGTCAATGGATATACATTAGGTTCTCTTCGGACCGTGATCAAGATCGAGCGGGAGTTTTTACCCCACGCATTATCCCTTGTTCTAATAGACAATTGTGTTTACATGCGCTGTCTATTGCTCTCCAATAATGATACTTACAATCGACCCCTTTGATTCCAAACCCGTTAACTCTCAATTCTCACTATTTTCAATATTGCAGGGGTTAATCAAACAAACGCGAATAGCAGGGAGTACTAGTACAAGTTGTTCTCTCTAACTTTCAACCCTCACTAATTTCATACAGAATTTAGGGATTCGCGTTATGAAATTAACGAGGGTCTACTGTAGGTGATAATAACAATAACAAATATATAGGTGCGAACCATTAAACGAAAAATACAACTTAATGTGTTGATTTTTTCAAAGCTAAAAAACACAGACTAATAAACTGCTGCTTGTGCAACTTAATTATTGTTTAGATTGCTGGCGTATCGAAGAGCGAGAACAATAACAACAAGTTGACAGTCAGGTCGCTTGGATTTATTGTTGCAAAACGAATCCTGTAGCAGTGGGTCCAAGTACATGACCATTTTGGATAGGTAAATTTGGGGGTGATAAACTCGCTATGTAAAGCTCGTTACGATGCGTACAGTATATACTCTTACCCAAGCCAGCCTGCCATTCAAAAAAGAGGAAATTATCTAGATCTGTTAATGCAGGATGATTCCTTTAAATTAGCTTTCCTGGCTGTAAAGAACCTCTTTGTCATCACACGGTTTGCTAAATCTTGACGAGACGGGGAGGCCTAATTTGTCGCTGGGGCATCTCTTGACTCGGCGACTTAAGCGGGTGCGTTTTTTTAAAGATTGCATCGTGCCGCGTCGCACGAAAAATCATGCGCACCTGATCCATTGATCGGTAGCTAGAAGCATAACAGCTATTATGATTCCGCTCAAAAAGAATATACCCCAGCACGTTGGGATAGTTGGTACATATGACTAAACAGAAACTTATTAGCCAGCGAGATTATCTGTTTCAAAAGGGACATAACACCCTTAGCATACAACCACATAGAATCACTTCACAAAGAGATACAGTATGTGGTCATAGAAATCCGAGAATTGGCGAGGATATGTAGGTATGCTTCATTATACGCATCACATTATTATATTCGCGGATCCTTTGCACTTTCTCGTAGCTATTGCCTTACGCGCCGCCCTTGCATTACGTAAAAGTAGTATTAAGTAATCGGTAGAAGAAGTAGAAAAATAATCAGTAAACAGTAGTGGTATTAACGAGGAAGCATCTACTAATTGCAAGGAAGGACTAGGATAGATCTTACATCCCAACGTAGACACATGCCAGTTGATGATTGAACCTCAAGGGTTTATCATACTTTTTAAAGTTGCATTTTCGTAAAATTCTTCTAGCAAACACAACGTCCTGAGCGGATATATATGCTTCAAACAGATTGAAGGATCATGTTTTTCTGAAAAGATCGTGGGTTGACACAGGAAAAAGATTCTTTATTCTGCGTTCGTTCATCAGGCCATGAACATGTCATAGTAGTATTATGAAGCATCTAAAGAACAATAATATTTGCTTCCACTTGGTATTGGAGCTATGGAGCTTATCAAATGTATATATACGCAGCTCCAGGCCGCAAAAGATCCTTATTATTAGTTGACAGCACAACCAGTAAAAATGTTTATATCTCGTGTGTAATACTCCTATGTAACTTCGCTTCACAGCTTCTTTGACTTTCCCGTAGCTGCCGCATATATATATTTTACATAGCGTTGATTTGGAGTAGTATAGATACAACATTTCAGGCACGGAACATAAACCTTACTTATCTATTTTTGTCGCTGATTCTGCACCGGCAAATCAGGTACTATACCTGCCACAAAAGTGAGCGGAGCTGCCTTGCAGTTGTGAAACATTTATGCACTGTTGTGGAAACGGCACCAAAGACAATGACAGGCAACTTCTTTAAATTCGAAAAACCTTCTTCCTCTATGCTCTTTTGATTAAAGGTGCACAGTAGTAATATCATAAGATATTAGATGACGTCACAGCGGGGCCGAATTTCTGTGACGAGCTTTTTTAGCGCGTATTTTCCAGTGTTTGCTCTGCACCAAACCAACATCTCACAAAGTATACAGGACAGCAATCAACAATGTAGCCCGCGAAACGACAACAAGTATGTATAAAGAGATCTCGCAGTTTTAACACTTGTTAGTATTTGGGAAATAAAAACAAACGTTAATTGTTGATGCATTTACTTTCGTTTTCAAGCATTTACAACTGGCTTTCTTGCAAAAGAAGCCCGGTTTGCTCGAAACAATGCCACTGAGCTTTGCTTCACACAAGAGCCTTCCGAAAGTCTGGGGTACGACTCAAACTGCCCCTGATCAACTGTATAAAACGTTAGGTAAGAGACGCAGAGCTTCAATCTTAATTTCTGGAAAACTTTCGATAACATGTTCTTAATTATTATTTTTCTTTCTTTTTCATAATTGCAGGCACGCGATGCTGCTTGGGATCACTTCTTCTCTCCCTTTTACTTTTTCTTTTAGACATCTTATGTCAGCAGACTGCCCAAAGTGCGCAGCGAGTGTGTGGGTTTGAGGGTTAACCGCCTGTGGATCCGCTGTGTATGGCGGGCTGATATGAGCATGCCTAGTGGTCCAAACCGTAACCGGCTCCAAGTATATGCCCTCTACGAGTATTCAGAGTAAGAGAGGACGAATCCCTACTTGACCGGCGACCAGTGGCTGCGAATTCTATTTTTTATGAGCTCCAAGCGTGGCTAGTCCTGCATCTCTGACCGTGGCTGGCTGCTCCTGGGGCATTCTTACACCATCAAGGGATACCTTCTTCTGCTTGAGACACTCGCGTAGTCGTGTACTCCCAAGTGGGTTTGTGGACGCTGGGGAAGGGCTCGCCTCTCAGTTAGGAACTCTCTCTGCGATCTTTATTTATAACATTCACCTTTTTTTAACCCTCTTCTTCTTGAACGATGACGCGGTCCCGAGCAGCGGCGCGTCTTCAACTGCGAGGGCTGTTGTCTGGTGGACTTATCATCGAATAGAGCAAGTATCACGGAAAACGGGGAGGGTGGAAGGAGTGGGATGATATGCTAGTTAGACAAAAATAACGCTTGCATGGTTTTCTCTTCTTCTTGTAGTAGCAGGAACCGCACCTTTCGACAAGTGTTACGTTTGGCTGGACAGCGAAAAGTTGATGTGTACTGGGCTGCCATGCTGGCGAACGCGGGGCTAACTAATTCGGTGTCGTTAAAGTAAGCGTGTGTGCCGAGTAGTGGATGGGGTGCGGGGTAGTGTGGGATAACATGTTCCTTATTGTGAAATCAGAAGTGATTGACTATTCATTGATAATGTATGATAGGCGCTTGATACTTAATGCTTCCACGTCGTCAGAAATTAGATGTTCTTTACTTGATACTCTTTGAAATCTTCAAAAGCTATGGAAAAGCCTACAAAGTCTTCTGAAGGCTTTTATAAATAATAAATTACCATCTTGGATTTTCATACGCGTGCTTGATGTTTTATTGGGTCTACAGTTAGTTCCATTCCTCAACAATCACATACGTGCCAGAGATTGATCATCATAATTCTGACAGTACTACAATGCGGATTAAGATTAGTTTTACACCTACGAACATTGGACATATGCATTACGCTTAGATAGCAAAACAAACAAGTCATTAGATGCTTTTGCCGAAAGAACTTTTCTTGTAACGTGCTTTGTATGAGGAAGTAGATGTTGGTCCTGTACGTCTGCGTCATTATGCTTTGCGAGTTCGATTATAGTGCCTTCAAAGGCCATATTACCAAAAATATAAAGAAAGCAATTGGTGGAGAGAACAAGGAAAGCATGAAGAACCATAAGCGACGCGTATTCTGACAACATAACCTTGTCGCTGTTTCTTTTTCTGACGGATTTATAAGTTTAAAAAACGTCATCCATTCACGAATACATATAATTCAGGTTATTCCTTGTTTTCTAGCGGGATTGCTAATACTATTATACTGTGTACGTAGACGATTTCCCTTCTTTATTTCAGTCGAGCTAGCACTATGTATGTACAACTATTTACATTTCCATTTTCATACAAGTTTTAGATTTATAGTATACGGAAAACGTAAATAGGCATTAATGCTATCATATCATATCTGGAGAGGCAGATCCCTTGCAAGATGAAACTGATGAGTATGCACACTAATTGTTTTTTGTTGGTGTTCTTACTACTGCTGTTCGTGTAGTGGGCGTTGTTAGTAAGTTTAACTGGAAGACATAAGGATAGGTTGCTGTAGTTGCTCTCAATATGGTGCATACTAGTTAGTTACTGTAATGACTTGATTATCTTGTAGCTCATGGTTTCCTTGATATAAATCTAAAGACACACCGAGCTATAAACAATTGTTATTATCAGTTCTACTTAGTGATAGCTTATACCTTGATAGATTTGAGTAACATCTAACATGCCATTGTCCAAATAAAAGATACAGCTTTCAATCAGGACCAGTTTTTTGAGTTCCGGTCAAAGTTTCTTGGACGTTTTCGAGACCTTTCGAAGCCGCTTTGAATGCTTAAAAAGTAACAGAATCTTCACTCGATTCATTCAAAACCGTATCTGGCAAAATGCAATAAGTTTTACGTTTGCCGATTTGGAAGAAGGAATAATATGGTATGTACACTTGATTACTCACGGCGCACCAATACAAGTTAGAGTAAAGTCACTCATTTAACTGCCGAATGTCTATGAGGGTCACGATGACCTTCATACATGCTGGTGGTAGTTGATGCTATACAAAATTCAGTAGCGAAAATTTTGCTGAGGTACATTGGAGCGTTAGATATGGGACTTTTATGCATTTTATTCCGACGTATCTCATGACAAGTACACAAGCGCTTTAACATAAAGAGCACTAATTGCTACATAAATTATGTACTATCTAGTACTCTACAAGCTATTTCATGCAGATATAATACAATTAACCTACTATCATATCAATTACAAGATCTTGACCAAGCTTCTATATTTATTAAGTGTATAAATGTATCAACTACATCCAAATGTATCCATCAAAATTTTGACCACAATGATCGTGTCAGCCGATACTTTAGATATAAGCATATCAAAGCACCGCATACGTAAACCGCTCCAGTAAACATCTGAACACCCAAATATCCATTGTTCGGCGTTGCTTGTTGAATAGCTGCAGAGATCGGTGTTCCCATGGCAGATATCGCACTAAAGATAAATACAATCGATAATCCAGATGGAAGCCTTTTCAAACCTACTACGCTCGCAGTGATTGGAGATGCCTAAAAAGTTTATACAACAAGTTGATTAATAACAATTTACTATTCCGCTCTTGATGTGCATGTAGTCAGAATACAGAGTAAGAAAAAAAATGGAGTTATTAGGAACGTAACATACCAGTGGATAATACATTCCACATGTCCCTCCCCATAAAATACAAAAAGCCAATAAAACGCCGTATGAAGTAGCGAAGGTCCAAATAACGAAAGAAAATAGGCCGGAGAGTGCGGAGCAAATGATAAACATATTGAGTCGGCCGATTCTGTCAGCAACAAATCCCAGCGTAAGGCGAGTAACTGCTGTCATTGCCAATAGGACAGACAGTAGATTTGAAGCATCTGTTTCACTAAGGCCTATACTGACAGCATATTCTAATATAAATTGATAAACAATACAAAAACAAGAAACGATATGATAAGTAAAACAGCGCGTATCGTGGGTTAAATGCTAATTTAGAATTTATGATAGAAACCTGTTTTTACTCATATCGGCTTTTTCTCGCTTTTATTAACTTTTTACAAGTTCACAAAGCTTATTACAGCTCAGCAAGCTAGCAAAAGGCTGATAAAGGTGATAAACAGCTAATACGAGTGAAAAAAGGCATTCTAATTCAGGATGTACTTCTATACACATATTGCTACTTTTACGCTTTGATTATAATGCTTTTAAACCTACTTGGCAGATAAAAAATTGGCCCGAGATATCCTGTTAAACCAATGACTGACCCAACGAGCCATATGTCAAAATTAACATCTTTGAACATTGATAATTGGATCGGCGATTCTATAGGTCGCTTCTTAAGGTATGAGCGAGGCAGGCGATCCTTGATCAATATCGCTCCCACGGCGCATACTCCTAATGTGTAGAAGCCGATAATGCGATATGCCCATGGTATACCATATTTTGCGATTAGATAATTAGCCTGGAAAATGAATAGTAGGGTGATGAGGGGTATATAAATAACAGATCATACAACAAGTGAAAATAAGAGACCGACTTCTTACCATTGGGCTCACTGCAAGACCTCCCAAGCCTGCACCGGATGTGCTGAATCCCATTGCTGTTGCACGTCGTGTTGTGAACCTAACATTTGTCATAGATTGTTGTTAGCTATCATAAATTACACTGTGGTAGTATATTTGTGTATACAATAGTTGCTTCGACTGTAAAATTTCTTCTTAAGCTACTATATTACCATTGGGGAATCACTGACATCACGGACTTCACGTCATTATAAATAATATTTAATAAAGGACATAAAATTAATATTATGTGTATAGCCAGTTCAACTTGAAATGACTTTTTTTTTACCATATAGAGAAATGAACCTCCAAACCCAAACAATAATCCTTGTGTGAGATAAAGGTGCCACAATTCCGTGCTAAAACTTGCTATGATCGCACCAAGACACATCAAGACACTTCCTACTGCATAATTGAGTCGAACACCGTATCGTACAAGCAGAACACTGACTGGAGTAAACACATTGATGCTGACGTTGAGAAGAGACCCAATCGTCATTAATTGTAGCGTGGTTGCTTTGCCTTCCAGGATGGACGTCGAATAGGCTTGTGAAAAGATACCCCACACATTTGCAATTCCAAAAAGGGTAAAGGTTGCAAAAAAACAGGCTACGACGACGACCCTGAGAATTAATTTTTTGCGCAGGAACGGCACTTTCTTTGATGAGTAACTTTCTTACTGCCGCGTTTGATTCAAATGGGTATAACTTTTACCAGCCGTAACCCCCATTCGGAATATCATCGAGAAAAGGATCCCTGGTTGGTGGTTCTTCGACTGCGCTTTTCGTATCGTCCACCATATCTAGTTAAGTTTTACCCCACGCTCCTCGTCGTTAGGCAAAAGTAACCCAATTGCAGTATAGAAGAGTAGAGTACATCTCTTAGTGTATATGATAGCAGGAGATCTGCTTACCGTAACAGGCTCTTTCCGCAGCAGCATTCGATGAGGTACTTTTGCTGGATGGATCAAGGCATGGCGACGACGGTTTTCCGTTAACGGTAGAAAAAGTCGCTTTTTCGTGATCGAGCTGATGATTAGTCTCCTGAACAACAGTGACGATCAGATCGTTGTCGCCTTCAGACCGATTTATCGTTGAAAGCATTGTTGTAATGAAAAATGTTGGGAAGAGTTCCAGTGAAACTCTGTACGGCGTTCTATCCCCAGATACTCGTTTTGTGTGACCGGTCATAATCAACCCCGCCTCATTCGCCATTCCCGTGTGCTGTTCCTTATGCAACCTCGTCACTCACCAGAACTTGACAAAAGCACGATAAACAGATGGGCATGGAAAGAATTCTGGGTGGCTTGCTGACATTGTGACGTTCTGCGATAAAGAGAGAGTGAGAAAAGGTTTCGTGTGGCATTTATATACACACTCTGTTGTGCTTACAGCTTTATTCTACGTCGGACGGTAAGTAGTGAAGCCACATTTGATCGTTTGATAGTTGGAAGACAATACTGTAATGGTCACACGGTTGCCATGGCAACGAAAAGCGTTACCGACAGACGGACAAACCACTTTTATAAAGGCCTTTCATACTCCGTATAGAACGCTCTTTGAGCGATAATGTGGTAAACCAAGATCCGGTACAGACAGATGTCTTGATAGAAAGTTACTCTTTACCGCACCGGGATCCAATAAGGGACACGGTTGCGCACATGCACCTAGCTGGATTGACTTCATATAACTCAGTAAAGGAATCATGTATGAAACAACCGTCCATGATCACATCTCACACCATCATTAAAGTTTTTTCGTTCTTACAGCAAAGCACCAATAGGGTCCTTGCTGACAAAGAAGTTGACCCATAACCACGATACAAAGCTCAGGCTAGTGTTTGATACATTTTAAATGCTCACTTGAGGAGAGTAGCATAATTGATGACTTGCCGGGGTAAAACTTAGTTTTTCCAAACCGGGCAACTTTTTTTCTTCGCCTTTATCGGCGGGTCTCCTCCGTGCCCCCTTTTGTATAGCAGCTCCTAGCGAACCTTCACACGAAGGTTTATATTATAAATCATCTTGGCATGGATAAGCATATGAGATTACGCAATAAAGATATTGCCTCGCTGTGGCTTTGCAGAAGGTTTATGGAACCATTTGCCGTGCATCGTACCCCTACTTTATTTTCTTGGCTTGCAGACATGGACGCTTTATGGGTAACGTTAATTGTTGCCATGACAATCGTTGTCATATCAGCCAAGGCACACTTTTGATTTGAGCGGAGAAATTTGCTTCCTGACACAGTTGGTTAATCTGTTGGGCCTTGGCGCAGCGTGGTACAAGTAGTGGTTCTTGATATCGGCGAGACACGAAAAGCTAGTATTGTCGCGTGGAATAGCGTATAATCTATCTACTTGCACACGCCCTTGTTAATGCCGTCGGATTTTCTTTAATTTATTCGGTATCACGCATACTAAAGGAGCATGCAGATGATATCACCCAATTCAAAAGGCATTAGATATTATCATAATTTGGGAGCTTCATACAGTATAGAGTGGGAGAGAGATAGACGCGCGCTGTGTGCATATCCAGGTTTATATAGAATGAAATTTAAATAGCATCGATATTTTATTATCTTCAATTAAATATAGAAAAGAGTATTCAATTATTAGTAATAGTATACTGGACTTGATCGAGGTATGGGAATCAAATCGTCGTAGGTAACAACACTATTCCTGCTTGAAGGGCGGGAGGGTCTTTTGCTGCTGCTACTACGCCTTCGTCTTGACGGAAGTGGATCGTCATCGGATTCAATTTCTTCCTCTGGTGCTACCATCCACAGTGGAGGAGGAGGACGAGGAGCAGTTCCTCGACTTGTTGCCCGCAAGTGATTTAATCGACTCCCTCCAAAAAATGCTGGATGATCGTAACGAGCAGCTCTGAGCATTCGCGGCGATGGTTTGCGCTCAAGCCGCTCATGCTCTAGATATCCATCGTCGATATAACCTTCTTCTCCAGCAACAAGATCGTCGTCGTCGTCGTCACCATACAGATCTTGACGATCCTCGTCATAAAATGATCCACGCCGAGGACGACGGCGTTCCATGAAATAAATCGGCTCCTCTACTTGTGAAAACGACCGGCGCTTTACATGACCTCGTCGATTATATTGCTGTCGCTGGTGTCGTTGCTGGTGTGGAGACGGTGCTGCCAAAAACTTGGGTTTACCAATGGCTCCGTAATCATCATAGAACTCTTCACCATCGTTATAATCGCCATCGTAATCTCCTTCGTCGTCTGTGTATCGGCTGCGTCGAGGTTGAAGGGATGTCGAAGAGCGTGTCTTTTTTAATATAGGTACCGGTTGGATATCGCTTTTAGTACTCGTTATGCTGATTCGGCTCGATCGTGAAGGTCGGGGCTCACTGGGAGAAAGAGACGTCATGGATCGTGGACGTGGTAGTACTGGTTTAAACGTCTCTTCATCTTCCTCCTCGTGTTCGTATCCGTGGGAATGCTGTCGCTGCGTTTCTCCTCCTCGTAAACTCATCTTACCATAGCTATTGTAATAGCTTGTGTCATCTTCTATAGCGCTGACGGGTGTACTAATTGACATATCATTCGAGGAAGGTGATGCAGAAGTTTCAGAGTTGTTGGTGTGTGTCGGTGGTGGTGGTGGTAGCAACGATGACGAACTGTTTGGCCATGCTGAATGTTGCGGCTGCTGTGGTTGTTGAATGTTGCTGGATGCGTACAAGCTCGTTGATTCTGCTGGTGATGCACTTGTTGGAGACGATATCAGATGTGCTGGTGATACGGAAGGCTGCCATGGGAGTTGATTTGAAGATGAGGATGCCCCTACTGCTCCTGATCCATCCTTGTTGCCAGTGTTACACAGTTTGAAGATGTTAAAGAGCTTTTTTGGCGTTTTCTTTGGTTTTGGGTTATATTCTAACACGCAAATGTCGATTAATATTACAACTCAAAGTATCGATCCTTTATATTATACTGTATACCTACCAAACATTGCATCAGGTGGTCCTTTGCTGTATTGCTTTGTAAGCCAGGGAATCAAATCTGACTTGGCCATAATACAGTGGTAATATGCATTATCTAGAGTTATCATAAGGTCAGTTTATCTCCGTCATTCTCATAGTAATTGTACTTTAGCAAAAGAAAAACGCCAGACTTACTATATGCATTCATACGCTCCTGTCTAGTAGGCAAAGCCCGTGATTCTTGCATTCGCATGGTAATATGTTCTTCACCAACCCGAGTAGATGGGGTCAAGAAAGGTAGCTCTGTCAGTCCAGGTAAAGGCGATTGTGTTTCTGTTATGGGAGAAGCCTCTTGCGTTGACTCGGGTGAAAACTGTTGTTGCTGTTGCTGTTCAGAAAAGTACTGCTGGAGTGGTTGTTGGTGCTGTTGATATTGCTGTTGCGACGGTGGAAGTTGATCTGACGGTACCGAACCAACGCTATTATAAGAGTCATACACATGTTGTTGTTGCTGTTGCTGATGCTCTTCTCGGTGCATGTAATAAGTACCCGCCTTTGGTCTGTGTTCTTTTCTGGACGTTTCATACTTTTCGGGAATCCCATCGTATATCGACTTTTCTTCCACTTTGTAACAGCCTGCACTATCGTCAACGTCAGCATAATCACTGGTTTGCACGGATGTTTTGCTTTTGTTCTTTTTCGAGTTCCAGGAGCGTCGGCGATGTTCTTTGCTATGGTATTCATTGTCGTCATCATATTCATCATATGGACTGTCGTCGTCATAGTGTTGATGTTTTTGGACATACGCAGACAATGCTGGCAAACTTTTCGGTCTAGGAATCCAGCGTTTAGGACCACTGCTGTTTCGAGAGGACGATCGTTTGTCTTGCTGATGTTGTGGTAAACGTTGTTGCTCATAGCCAGAGTAATTGTCGTATTGTTTCTGTTGCTGCGGTTGTTGGTAAGCCGCTGCCGATTTACTGTTTGCAAATGTTTGTTTGACTTTATCTGCAATACCACCAAAGCCAAATCCGCTCGAGGCAGCAGATGTCCATGATCGTTTAGGATGACGAGGATGTGATAACTTCTTCGACAACGCCAAGTGGGTTTCCTCGGGGTTTCTTTTATTGCAATTATAGCACATACACACAGACGGTGTTTCTTCGCTAACAGGACATAACAGTAAGCATTGTTGTTGTTGTTGTTGTTGTTGCGGAGTGATACTTCTTCGTTCCTGAGTGGATGGTGCCACAAAGCTGTATAGTTAAAATGCTTGGGTTTAGCCCATTATTAAGGTAGCTTCCGTACGAGTATATGTGCGTTTTGTAATACAGACCTTTGTGAGTGATATTGCATTTCTTCATCTTCCTCACTTTCATCTGACTCCACTAGGATTGGTTGTGGAGAAGCATCCTGCTGTAGAGATTTATTATTTGTAATTGATGTAGCGGCAGGAATAGGAACATTCGCTGGTTCGATGGCAGTTTTACTGCTCGGTCGGCACGGTGGTGTTAGTGGAGAAGTAGTTCCAGGTACAGGAGTTGTACGGTCTAATATAATATATACGTTAGCTATCTTAATCTCTGGTAATATAGTAATCCATACCTCCGAGGTAGTCGTTGATTTCTTCAAACAGCTCCTGCAACATTTCTGGTTAAAAGTTATACAATGATGTTAGCCGGAAATATGAATGTAGGGATGTATGGAGAAATCGGGACAATAGAACACCTTGGCTGCGATATTTCGAGGATGTAGCACGCATGGTTAGACAAGAGTATGTGTGCGAGAGCGAGAGATTAAGCGGGAGAGAGAGAGAGAGAGAGAGAGAGAAAGAAAGAAGAAAAATAACAACGGCTAAATGTGTATATGTGGTGGTTTAAGCCAATAATGCAACAAGTCTCCAATTTGAAGAAATAGGAAAACATCTTCCCTATTTAGAAAAACCGGAATGCATCCGGCAAACCCGAACTCAGGTCTCATATTAGTTTCTGTTGTTGTTTTTGTTGCTCAAAACCCACGCTAGCTCGACAGACTGACGTTTTTATTTTTTGTGTTGCACATTACAACTCCTATCGAGTTTTGCTCTCTTCTTGATATACTACTGTATACAGTCATTGTTATTCTGTGGTGCGGGCTGTACAATCATAAACCGTGTCCCCCCCCCCATTCCACTCCGCCGAGTGAGTGGAAAAAATCAAGGCTTTTTCTCCAAAACTCCATTTCATACATAATGAACCCGGATCAGTCCACACCCAATTCAAGCTACTCATTCCGTGGCATTCGTGGTGGCCGTGGCGGTGGCGGACAGTTCCGTGGCTATGCACGAGGACGTGGTAACCGTGGCGGAGGACGAGGCTATGGACGAGGTCGAGGAGGACGTGGTGGTGGTGGTGGCCGCGGCGGTTTTCACCAACAGCAGGTATTAATATCAATTACAGGAAAAACAAAAGTGCGTATTTGGTAGTGATGATATTGACGATAAAGATAAACGCACAACAATAGCCAAACTTTGAGCAAGAACTCCAGATGGATCAACCAGCCGACTTTTCTTCTGCAGCTTTGGAAAGAAACTATGCACAATTCTATTCGCCCTTATTTACAAAAAATCCATGGGGTAGTGGTGGTAGTGGTAGTAGTGGTAGCAGTAGTAAAAAAGAATAATCCAATAAACGCTGCTGCTATCCGTATATGGGGAACCTATCGTCGTCGTCCAGGTCTTCTGCTTCTACTTTGACCAGGTGTTTGCCGGGTATCATGACGAGTCCTACAAGTCGATTCTCATCTATTATCCCATTGTAAAGCTGCAAGTCAGCAATCGCTTTCTTGCACTGTCAGTTTTTTCCCAGAAATGACAATACCTCCTCGGAATTCCTTGGAATGTGCTATAATGATGTTCTTTTGCTTATCTATGCACACAAATGTGCCAACGAACACTCGGCCATCAGTAATTGTTATCCGTGTCCTAAAGTTAAGGTAGCTTCGCAGCTTTTTGATATTAGGGGTGTCGACGGGCGGTGTTGTTGTTGTTGTTGTGCTCATTGCTGAAACCAGAAAGGGCATGGAGAGCGCAAAGAGCTTCGCAGCTACACGAATAACGGACCCTCAAAATTAGCCTGACTACAGTGTGTGTAATAATCACTATGTGGCATGGAATGAATAGTTAGTACTGTACTGTACGCACAGATCACACAGTGCCGCGTGATGGAACCAAAAAGGAAGAAAGGAAGTTTATAATAAAGAGTAAGATATTATGTACAGTAGATACAGTGGCAGTCGCTAATACGCCGTGAGAACGTTTCTTTTTTTCTTTCTCACTGCTTTTCGTTACATACTAGCGCTATCGTCTAATAGAATCTGGAAGCGTATCCGTTGTGACCCATCATTGGCATCATGCCACCACCACCACCACCGCCGCCGTAGCCTCCGCCGTAGCTCGACATGGAGTGAAGACCACCCGCCCCATATCCACCGCCAGCAGCTCCTTGTAAAAACGGTGGCTGTTGATCCATCATATCGTAGGGCATCATCATGGGCGACGACTGGTGATGATAACCCCGCATTCCTCCACCGGAACCGTACATGCCGTTCATGGGCATATGCATCTGGTAAGGACTGGCACCGTACGAATTAAATTGAGAAGGCATCATTTGATCCATCAGGGCGCCATACTGCTGGTGGTACAGCGATGGAGGCTGCTGATAATGCATAGAATCAAGTCCCGGCTCGTTGTTGTACATCATACCACCACAACCGTAGGCTCCACCATAACCGCTGCTGCCGCCGGAAAAGCCGCCCATCATGCCCGCGCCCATCATTGGTTGCTGTTGCTGCATCATCATCATCGACGACGACGGGTTCATAAACGGCTGCTGCATCATCATTCCGGACGTCGAGGACGGCATCATTCCTCCGCCACACATACCGCCCATCATCATCATGCCATCGGCTCCTCCTCCTCCTCCGCCGCCGCCGCCTCTGGCCATTCCTCCACCGCCGGATAGATTGCGCTTGTGCGAGCCGCTGTGTGATCGATGATTATGGCTCTGCTGACCATAGAAAGAATCGTTCCGGGAATTGGCGCCAAATGGCATCATCGAAGATTGCTGCATCATGTTATTATTGTTCCGGCCTTGATGTCCGCCTCCGCCGTTACCGTTCCCGTAGTGATGGTTACCGCTACCACCACCACCGCCTCCTCCGCCGCCGCCGCCTGCTCCTCCTCCTCCTCCGCTGCCGGATTTGCCGTATGAAGAATCCATCGAGTTGAAGCCGGCGTGGTCTCGAAGTTTCTGCCGTAATCCGTCCATTGAATTTCTGCTCATCATGCCGCCTCCGCCGTTTCCGTTCCGGCCGTGTTGGTTGCCGCCGTAATGATGGTCGTTCATACCACCGCCGCCGCCGCCGCCGCCACCACCACCCATCATGGAATACATAGGATCGCCACCACCGCCAGATATGGGTGCTGTGCGTGCTCGTTGCGGGGGCGTCTGTTGCGAAAACATCGAATGGCGGTTCATGTGTGGAAAGGGGAAGAAGAAGAAGAAAAGAAAAAGAAGAAGAAAAGCGAAGAAAGCCAAAAGTAAACAGAAGAGGGAACCGTGCCAAGAAGGAAATAGTAGCCCATCACTACTACGGGACGTATCTATGCTGCTTGTACGAGTCAGGTCCACCCTCTCTCCTTTTTGTTACCACTGGAATCCCGATCACTGATACTCTCTCTCACCTCGCCGTAATCACAAGCTGGAATAAGAAACAGCCCCAGATGCTGGGTTTTTTTTTTCGAAAAAAAAAACGTGATGACTATGCTGAGAAACACACAGCATTATTATAGCTTATTCTTCTTCTTCAACCCGTGTTGTCACACTCCCTCCCCTATCCTCTCTTTTTCTCTGTAATAATATTTCCGAGCAACCACAATGCCATTCGGTATTGGTCATGAAATCGTCTGCTTAATCTCGAGAAGTGCTCTCTGGTCGTTCTTTGCCGATATCAAACTCCAAGATGAACACAATGTACCAAACGAAGGACCCTTGATTGTGTAAGCAAGCAACCTACCTACCTACTTGAGGAGCAACCACCACCACCACCACCACCACCACTACCACCCACACCAATAACACCAACCAGAGATAACAACAACAGCAAACACCTTTGATAGTTTTCTGTACACTTACATGATAAATATCACCATTTAGTGCTGCAACCCATCACAACATGATTGTGGATCCTGCCATTCTCTCGGTCACCTTTCCAGAACAACGACGGCTCCATTACTGGGCCAAGGACTCCATGTTTAAAAACTCATATGCAGCAAAGTTCTTTGATAACTGTGGCGTCGTACCGGTTGACAGAAAGACGAAAAACAATGCACAACTCTATGCAGCAACGTACAGGGTGATGCGGTTAGGCGAGTCCATTGCCGTGTTTCCAGAAGGAACAAGCCATACTCTGCCGCGGTTGGGCACTTTTAAGGATGGCACCAGCTTTGTAAGGATTTTGGAAAGGAAGGGAGGGAGAATTGTAACGAGATTGTATTCAAACTTTTGGCCATGTTAGGCCGCATTGGAGTACGCAAAGTTATTGGAGGAAGACCCACGTCCTAATCCAGATGGTTCCTTGCCTCGAAGGGCAAATATTGTACCCGTCGGCATTGTCTATCCCGAGAAATCAAAGTATCGCAGCGTCGCCATCGTAAAGTGAGTTCTTCTTTCTGGGAAAAGTGATCGTTAACGTCGAAGATAAAAAAGGAGCCTTGTCAATGACTCACAGTATTATTTATGCTTTTGGGATCGGCTGCTGGTAGATACGGAACACCAATTGATGTGGAGCCTTACATGGCAACGTACCGCGAAGAGCCGAAAAAGGCAGCCAAACAGCTGACGGCCGATATAACGAGTGCAATAGAGGCTCTTACCGTCAATGCCCCCGACTGGGAAAGCCGTGATGCTGCGGAAATGGCACGTTGGGTCCTGTTTCCTGGCGAAAACGGTTCCATGCGTGATTATATCAGCGTTACTCAAAGGTACAGTATCCACAATGCGTCTGTTTACCAATTCTAGTGAAAGGTGTATAGTGAGAGAAGCGATTAATCAACCATTTACCTGCCTTTTTAATTGCAGTTTGATTAACGCGGTGAATGACTTATCCCAAACCGACCAAGATATCTCATTACTAAAACAAAGCCTTCGATCGTACAAACTCGAATTGGATGCCCTGGCACTCAAGGATGTGCATATTGCCAAATACAACGAAAAGGACATTACCGCAGCCTCAACAACCATAGAACTCTTGCGACGCACACTGGCATCTCTAATCGACCTGCCGCTGTTCTTGCCTGGCTTGGTTGGCCATCTGCCACTGTATATTGCGGGCTACTATGCAGGCAAATTCGAAATCTATGAAGAAGTCCGGGCCCAGAACAAAATCGTACTCAGTCTGTTTTTGGTACCTTTCATTTACGTATTGGCGTTCATCTGGGGCTGGCTTACCTTGTTTGGTGGAACCTTCTTTGGATTCTTTGTCGCGTTGGCTACGCTAGGCGTGTTTGTTTGGTACCACGTCACATCGATTGACGAGCGCTATGAGAGCTTTAAGGATCTGGTCGGACGATGGCGACTCTTTGACGCAGTTGTACTAGGTCGTGGGATGTGGCGCAGGAAGGAACGTATTCTTCAGTTGAAAAAACTCCGCGATGTGAACGTGGCTGGTGTTCGACGCATGATCAAGACTTACAAGAGCAAAAACGATGATGTTCATGCCGTTTGGTTGGCTATTCGGTCTCGTGTTAGACAGTTTGGAGATCCAGCCAAATTGCATGGTCGTAAGAAGAAGCTTGCAAAACAATTTGAATGGGCGTTTGAAGGTTGATATCTTACATATATAAAGAGCTTATTAATACGTACTAAAATGCTCAATGACAATGTTGGATGGGAGATAATACAATGTTTCACATATACGGGTGGATACTCATGTTACAATAGTGAGTGGTTAATCCATATACGAATTCCCTTTGGCATTAGCAGAAAGATATCAATTACAGTCTGCACAATAGCAAGCCATCTGATATGCATGCAGCTTTCAGTGTTACCAATCTAAGCTTTTATCAAGAGCCACTAGCCTTAAGCATGATAGCCACCATCATGAGGAGCTATCTGTGGCGTCGATACATAGCAGAACTTTCTGGAGTGAAATACTGAGAAAACAACACCTTGGTTATATAATGCTGCAAGTCTATTTAGATACATAGTAAATAAGCTCGCACGGTGCATCTGGAAAACACCGCCAGCAATTTACATTGGTAAGCATGGTTCCCCCCACCTATTAATTATTATGCTCCCTAAAAATTCTTCTGTTTTACCAATCTATTTTTCCCTGTGTGTGCACATCCTCTTTGTCGGAAATGTCTTCCTGGTGCAACAAACCTACCGGTCGATCATGCGGTTTCAATACAAAGTGCTACCAGCCTGAACCATCGCATGTAGTGATGTAAAACAAAACCTTGTTCGTAAGTACAGTATATGATGCACTAGGACTGATCTAGAAAAATGGATGACAAGGTGACACAACCTTGTTTTACTGCGCACTGTAGTAGCTTTCTGTGCCTTAGAAATAGTCACGAGATATATGCGTGTTTATTTTATAGTACAACATCACCATCGCCATCGCATACATACGGGGTTAAAAATAGAAGCAATAAATAGTCAATAAAGTGTTTCGCGCGTAAAGGGTAGTGAATGATATAGTGAGTATAGTAAGTGAATCAGAATAACAATGATACATGGGAAAGGGAAGGAGGGATGCATCATGAGAATAAATGTGTTGAAATAATAAGGTTGTTTACCATAGTTAGAGGAGGAAATATCTACAATTTGTAAAGAAGGATGAGACAAAATGGGTGGGTTTTTTAAGGATGCAAAAAAGAAAATACAAGGAGAGGTGGATTGTCTTGAAAAGTGTGCGTTATTTTTGAGTCAACGATAATCGCACAGTTACCCTTCTTCACTTGCGTCGTGGCTGTCTCTGACGATGGCCACTGCTAGCACAGCTTGAGATAGGATATGATTCCGCAACTGCCGCTGCTGCTTTGCTATCCGGACGCTGGTGTCGATTTAACGCGTCTTGACGAGCAAACGCCTTGTTGCACAGATGGCAGATATAAGGCTTGATACCAAAGTGCAGCTTTGTGTGTCGATTCCGATCATGCTGACGTGCAAATCGCTTGGAGCACACATTGCACTCAAAGGGCCGTTCAGCAGTATGGGTGCGTCGATGAGACTTGAGGTTGTACGGTCGCGTGAATGTTTTTTCGCAACCAGGAAAATCGCACCGGAACGGAGTTGGAGATCTTTGTGTGCTGCTTGTGTTATTGTGAGTAATCCGGGTATTCCGCTTCGATGGGGCAAGATTAAGGTTGAGCATATTGAGTGCGTAGGGCAGGTCCTGGGCTGTTCTTCGCTTTCTGCCCTTGGCCTTTTGTGTCTTTTTCAATGATGTTGTCGAGGTGGACGGCTTTTCTCCTGCTGATACGGGTAATTGTAGTGTTGATGACTGTCGTTGTTGTTGTTGTTGTGGTGGTGACGGCAAGGGCAACAACGGCGCTGTCAAGTCGTCCGTTACTGTGACAACAGGAGGAGGCGTAGTAGCCATGGCATCAGTTGTACAAAAAGGAAGCGCCGCTGGTGAAGCTGCTGTGTGTTGCTCTGGTGACGCCATAGTGATGGATGCGTTGCTACTCTTGGGGGAGAATGACATGGCTGTGAATGGAGAGAGTGGCTGTTCCAGCACGTTAAAGTCATTGTTGCTGATGCAGAATTGTTCTTTCTGCGCATTCTGCAGTTGGTGTTGGTAGGGCTCGAATGGGTCGACTGGCACCGACATGCCTTCTAAGAGCACTGAATCAAAGGACGTTTGATGTAGTTCGGAAAAGGACGTAAAGTCAAGCTCGTGGTCGAAAAAAAGCTGGAAAGGGTCCTCCATGGTAGGGTATCGTTTGTCTGATTGTAGTGGTTGTTGTTATTGTAGAGAGGAAGAAGAGGAAGAAGAAGCAGATCAGAAACCTTTTTTATCCTTGTAGATCAAAAGAATTGAGCAAAAAATTATAAAACCGGTTGTGGCAAAGCATTCGTTATAAATACTGGGATTTCAACCTTTGTGACACTCAACACACACACACACATCCACCAGTTATCATACTACTATACGCACACACTCTTTGCCTGTGCCTTTAGAGACGCACACATGACGCGAAGCTGGTTATGATCGTGTAGGTGCAGTAGTAACACAAGCTTTCGGTCTGTGGCCAACGAGAGAGCACTCGGAAATGAATGATGACTCCGCGCAACCCCTTTCCGGGGGGGATCGGTCTTGCTAGTTACTCTATTTGGCCTCAACTTTTTCGAGGGAACTTTTATGGCAAAAATCACAAAGTGCCTTGTTTTAGTTATCGCACACCTGTTACGAGAGGGTATTGATCGACATGCGCATACAGTACGTTCTCGTCTCTTCTTGACAAACCTATATTCTACCCTTCATCCTCCCTACTAATTACCTGATGGTGGCTCAGCAAATAACCAATGAGCAAAATTATCCATTTCATCACATATTTTTGAGCGTAGCGCTCTTGAAAAGAGTGTGTGTGCGTAAAGCGCTGCGCATTTATTATTTGATTTGATCTGATGTGTTTCAAAAACACGCTATGTTGAATATGCGCTAAAGCCTGCTGTCCTCGCGCGAGTTTAAGCCGACAAGAGCTGCTTGAGCTTACCGCTCGATTCGGCGGCGAACAAATCATCGCATCCTCCAATATGCTCTTCATTAATGAAGACATTGGGCACGGTGCGCTGACCGGTTTTCTTTTGAAGATAGTCTTGGATAGCAGCTCCGTTTGCTAGACACACAACATGGCACAATGTCCTCTTTAGTGATCTTGGTGTCGTTGCACACAGCCGAGGATGGGGTTCAGCACACACCTACAAGCACGTACACCACTTTACTATCGCTTACCATCCTTATCCAATTCCATGGCAAAGAAGTCTTGACCGAGCTTTTGGAGCAACTTTTTGGCGCGTTCGCAGAAGGCTATAGGGTATCATCGATATTATTAGCAATTTCAGTGATTCACGTTGTATCCCTAATTAGCCACGCGTTTCTTTTATTTCATTCGGGAATCAAACGTAGCCCTTTTACAGTCAAAACTTACGGCAGTAGCTCTTGGAAAACATAACAACCTTGTTGTTCTTGATTAGATCTTCGACAAACTGTTCAACGGTGGCCATTTCTTCTGGAGTCAAAGGCTTTGAAAAAAGTGAAGTGATGAAGCTGAACATTTGGATATTTTTTATTCTTTGCTTTGTTGCGTTTGCTGAGTTTCTACAAGCGATTTGTTTTTTACGCGTGATGCTGACGGGCATTTTAATTATATCATCCTTTGCTCATTCTGCTTTACTGTATCATACTAACATTCAATATTTTACCATCGTTATTCAAGAAGCAGGATGTGTGTAGACGGTGTAGGCTGCCCATAGCAATTACCGACTCGAAAGGTATCAGCTGTTGCTGTTATTGAGAAGTATTAGTACTACCCCCCCACCCTCTGGGTCCTGTTTTTTGTGTCGGGTCCTTTTTGAGGACACCATGTACTACACTACATACGACTTGGGGAATGAATTGCATCGTCTTTCTTAAACTGACTGTATGTACCACCGAACGCTCGCTATTAAAAGCTTCACTCTCTTGCCCTCAGCGTCCGAAAAATGCGAGTGCCACAGGCGATGGTTCAATGGGAAAAAAATAAGCTGTCAAGAATGTGTGACAACTTTGCTATGTACTTAATGTCAGCAACAGTCTCGCTTAATATGTCTCAGTGAGTGTTTTGCTTTTGGTGCTTGTGTTGAAACATTTCTCAAATGATTGGCTCATCCAGGTCAAGAGGTATGTACATATGCAAAAAATATAAATATGGATGATATATCGTAAGAGATTTCGCATTTGATTGTACTACAATGAGGGTCGGAATCCGATGTTCTGGGATTTACGCTATGTGAAGGTTTGGTGGGGCAAAAGTCTATACTTTAGTAGAGGATGTGACGACGGGTGTGGCGCATGCAATTCCTAGCGTAATCTGTGTTCATAAACCACCAAGAATCTTCCATTGACGAATGGCGCAGTTACTGCGCATCATTTCGTCCGAGATTCGTATTCTGTCCTACAGAGCTCAATAGGATCGGATAAAGTTGGGACCTTCGTTTCTCAAATATGTAACGTGCTGTTGTAGCGGTGGTGGTTGAGGTGGCGGCGGGTAATGTTTATGTTTTAGATTAAAGAGTGAAGATTTTTCTTTCAAACCGAGCTCCGTACAGATAGACGTGTACTACGTCTGCCCTAATGAATACACATTAGTTTTGATCACGAACTTTCTTTTTTGTTGCTGCCTGCATATCACTACGCAACACGTGTTAATGATACGAGGAAGAGTACACGATTGAAATAAGAACCAGAGTTAGAGATGAAAGGTCTCGATCCTTTATACATCAACGTGCAATTATCCTATGGCAAATTTGTCTAGATCGATTTCATACATGCATATCATACCGGCTCCAGTTAACAAGTCGACAATATCGAATGTGCATAATTTTAGTTTTCAAGATTTGCGGCGAGCAAAAAAATGTTTATTTAGTCTACTAAGAATGCTCGGTAAAAAAAAAATTGACTCAATTGATGCACCACGGACTTCGTGAATCTGGCTAGTATGTTTTTGTAAAATAAATAACGTAAACTTGGTTTTATATCTTACAAATCGTGGTTGGTTTTTGCCGAAGTCTATTTACAGTATAAGCCTTGTGCAAAAAAATAGACGACAACGCAATAGATATGATGAGCTTTTATATACAGTATCACATTTATTACGTTGCTGTTGCTGATGCCATCGAAGAGTAAACTCAGTTTTGCTTATATGAAGTAAAGCATAGTGCAAAAACTGTCGACAAGTAACAGCAATGTTTAACAGTTTAAACATTTTTTTTTAATTTCTAGTACTGAATAGCCTTGCGCTTATAGGCATATTGGTTGACTAGTTACGGTTCGTTGATTGATTGAGACATGAGGAAGCATACTGGACAAGATAAATATACAACTGTTGTTGACTACTAAGCTAGAACTTTTGCTGGTTGTATTTCGTCGAATTAAACGCTCTTGTGGCATCCTGAGGAGTAGTTACGGAGAGAGGAAAAACTAGACAGGGGATCTAGTGGACTCGGCGGCGAAACAGGACCGCAGCAACAATGGATAATTTTCAGGTGGCAGCGGCATCAAAACTCTTGATCGTGTTGTTGGTGGGGCCGAAACTCGGACCATCGCAGTCGGAGGCAGACGCGATAGCCCGCAATGTTTAATAGATATGCTGGCCTCAGTACGTGGGAGGATTTTCGCGGAGATACACGTCCGTGATCTGCATACACTTTGTTAAGTCGTAAACTGGTTGCATTTGAGGAGAAGTTGTGCTACGGATTGCCATCGCTGTCACACTATCTTGATAAGTACACTACTTAAATAATGCACATGTAAATAGTAATCTTGACGGCGAGGTTGATCAAATTAAGTGGTTAAGGGAAAGATCGACTGGAACGAATACAGAAGCATCGAACTAATTTAAGATGATGCAACAACTGTAATTATTGATGCATGTCCTTTTATCAAGTGATTGTTTCATGTATACACGTATTGTTTGATTGGAGCTCGCGATTATCATGTCTTCATAATGCATGGCGCAGCATTTACTATTGTTGAGTGAATATTCTCAATGTACGCCAAAAATATCTGAAGTTATACTATGTTTCTTGCTAAGGTAAAGACCTAAAAGATGGTATGTAACTATCTGGCAGCAGCAAGCTTTATCGATGATGAGAAGAAGGAGATTACTTCATTGTTACTAAAAACAGACGGTCCGCTGATAATGTTAATTACTTACAATGCTATGAGGATATGATAGTACGAAAATGTACGATAGTCAAGCCTTCTTTTAAGTAAGAACTACAGTGGCCTGGAATGGCATGTACAGCTTTCTTTTTTTCGAATTACAAAGGAGTAATAATAATGAAATGTAAGTTGAGTAATAGATGACAGCGTGGTTGTTAATCCTCTTTCCTTCCAAGTGTAGTCTTTACTGGGCCGATCTTGTCTTCAATGCTAATCGATGGCTGTGATACACAATCAAGCTTGGTAAATGCGCACGTGAACCTTTCTCACAAATTGTAGGAGCCATTCATAATATGGGGCAGTTGCATTTCCTTTTTCCTTCCACAAACTGTTTAAAGTAGCCATCATTCTCCTCTTGCAGTTTTCTGTACTGTACACCGTTTACACCGCTAACACCGGTTACACCGTATGCACCGTTTACTGTATATCTCTGCTCCGTATGATGCTCATAGTGATAATGTTTATTTAATAGTAGCTCAATACTGACTTGAGTATCAATTTTAACCTACAGACCTACATTATAAACTTAGTATTATTGTTGTCGCCTTGGTGAGTGGCAATATGCGATAAGCAATGCCCTAAATGTGCTGCCATAAACTTCAAATGTGTACCGGCCTTTAAAAGTATGTGATGCAAATGCTGGAGTATTTTACAGAACTACAATGATATCGTTTTGTCGATAGAAAGTAAACTGTTTGCTCATACAAATACTCGAAAAAAATCTACAGCAGAGAGAAGGTATGAGAACTTGTGAGCACTTTGATACATAGGCGAAACCCATTTTCATTGGTATGTACCGCTTACAGAGAAAATCAGAAAAAAGAGGGGCGTGCTTTGATGCGGTTTTGCATAGCCAAGGTGCCCCCCAAAAAGATGTGGACTCCAAGATTGATATCTTCACTGACTTACGCTTACCATCTAATACTGGCTTAAGTTGTTTTCATAGAGTACAGCAACACACACAGTCACTTATGATAGTAAAAGCACCCACCAGTAATATCATATATTGCTGCTATAGTAGCATTATTTATAAGTGCGAAATCATCTAAAAACTTGCGCTGTAACGCTCAGGAAGCCGAAAGAAATCAAGTTAACCTCGTTAGTCGCACAATATCCCCATTTGCTTTATCATCACTATGATACACACTGCACACAAATATGCTACTTTGTAACATACTGTCTAATATAATAGCAATGGTCTCATCAAAAAGGCCCAGAAAATATCAAACATAAGAAAAACTTCTTCACACCTTATCAACACTATGTTCGTTGACAGCTATTTTCACTGATTTTTATGTGTGGAGGGAGTTAACCTTAACCATAATAACTAGCCCAAAGTGGCAATGTGTGTACATATCTTCGTGACAGGTCATCCTTTGTTAAGCTTTCCCACAAAGAACAAAACAGAAGAGGTCGTTCATATTTTAGTGACACATAAACACCATCACGCGGCGCATACAGTATGTACACAAAAGGTACGCAATGTTGCGCGAATTTATAGACGTATGCCTTTTCTCATGTTCTCGACTGTGACAGCTGTGTTGTAGGAACAGCAGCGATACTGTACCATCATCAGAGTCAGAAGCACCAGCACCAGCAGCTGCCAGCTTTGTGTTTATTTCTTTATATAAGTATAGAATTTAGGATATGTGTAGTACCTTGTCCTTGACTCGTGGATTTACTGGGAATGCTTACAAATCTCTTCTTATCGAACGCTGTTACATAGAGAATTACTAGCTAAAATGTATCTTTAGAAACCATATGGATATAATTACAGGTTTTGTTGTACAGCAAAACCAAACAGCCAGATAGAACACACCATTTATTCGTTTTTAGCATTCAAGCTATAGATTATTAATGTCTTTGCAAACTCTTCTTCTTGCATGTGGTATACTGTCATTTCCTTTCGTAGGTTTTAGCCTGACTTGTTATCGGAAATAAGAGACTTGATCATCATCGACTCGGGGCGGTCCCATGGCATTGCAGAGGAGGGTGATTGGTCGGCGCCATGGTTTACAGGAGAAACTGCGTTGTTGCCGTCCATCCGTGGTGGTGAATCGAACACAACCGTTTCTACGAACGGTTGTTATGTGAATATGAGTTCGGATTGGGAAGCAAACGGCTCAGCACACCAGACGCCAGCATCAAATACTTACGTCGTTTAGCGAGAGAACTGCTCTCCAGAGAGGGCTCCCGCTCTCGCTTTTGAGGTAACACATCGTGTGCCGGGGACCGTGTGTTTGTTTCTGTTATTACTAGCCTTTTTTGCTCTTTGAGCGGCGCATATTTCTTGACTGACGAAGCATGTGTGGGGCGATTGTTCTGTTTGTCAATTTTTGCCTTGTATTGACTGTTCTGTCGACTCATCTCAATCGTGGTCATCCAACCCGGTGGAAAGTATGGGAGCAGCTAAAAATAGATCAAGGTTAGGAACATCTAGAGGCGAATGACGGTTATATGAGAAACAGTAACTGTTCCCTGTCCATATGACGCTTTATCCTTTACCTTCAAGTAGATCTGTTTTCTTGCCCTTGCCTCGGTTACCATCTCATCTTCTTTTTGTTGATATTTTCTATACAAAACATGCTTCAGGTTAGGAATCATCTTTTAAGAGAAAGAGACAAAGTGTTTGCCACGCACAGTATTTCATTGGACAACAAGTTGGAAGCTTGATCATTGTTGAGGATCTTGTGTAGCAGCTTCCTTCCATCATCGTTAAACTTGTACTTTTTCTGCGCCACCACATCTTCTACACAGCCACCCGCGTGAGGAGTGTCCTCCGCCTCTTGTCGTGGTGCTACTGTGATGTAAACGTTTGTGTTCGGTTACAACTTTGTGTGCATATAAACCCTAATCCTCTCCATGTCTGTGCGTGTAACAGATGACTCACGTAAATTGGCAGCAGCATCAGCAGCAGTGGCTGCAGCGAGCTTCTCATTATATTGTTGCAGTTGTTCAGGGAATTGTGAATCTACCATGGCTTTGAGCTCGGCTATAAGCAATTCGTTTTCTTCATTCAGCTCTTTAATCCTCTCAGGTCCTGACTTTGTAGTCAAGAATTTCTGTAGTATACAATAAGTATATGTGGTTTTGTTATCGTAAGAGTTGTGATTTTGCGTGTGCGACATTGATCTTTCCGTCAATTCCTCCTTTCCCTCTGTTCCAGTACTTGGACAAAAAAAAATACTTACATTGAGCGTAAACCGGTTATACGGCAGGATCTTCATCAAGTGACCAACGACGTTGCTGTCCAGTTCGTTTTCTTCCCGAAACATGATTCGACCAATATCAAGCGTTATTGGCCGTAAGGCTGGTGGGAATTTAGCTTTGTTCTCGAAACTCTCTGTAATACCCGAGACGCATATTCCACAGTTAGCGCCACAATATCCGCACATGTTATGTCTGTATCCAGAGCCTTACCGCTCACAGCAAGTTTCCTCAATCGATCCACCTTGGTTTGGATTTCAGGGCTCAAAGGAAGCTTTTAATAAGAGATTAATAATTCATGTTGAATAAGTGCGCGTGAATCTTAGTTAAGCAGATTATCACATGTTTTACCAATTCATTTGACGACGTGCTCGCTTTGGTTTTTTTGTCGGTTTCTGTTGTTCTGCTGGGTGTAGCAGACTTCTTTAGCACTACAGCAGCGCCACCCGGGGTAGTAGAAATGTCTTCTCGTGATGATACAGGCACTGGAGCGGCGGATTCAGTTATTATCGAAGCTGGATCATTGCTGACGGTTGGGGTAGGCGATGGTTTTCGTTCTTTGGATGCGGTTGCGGTTGTTGTTGTTGTCGTTGACAGTTCTTTCGATGATGATGATGCGGTTCCTGTAGATATGCTAGGTACTATGGCGTCGGATGGCTTTGATGAGGTCAATTGGGATGGTTGCTGTTGTGTTGACGTTGTTGTTGACGATTGTTTTTTGGGAGTTGGTTTATCTTTTTTCGAGCTTGTCGATTTTTCTTTTGGTTTAGCTTGTGTGGTCTTCTTTTTTGTGACAGCCGCCTTTGCCTGCTGCTGTTGTTTTTTTGCTCCAGGGCTAAGCAATGTATCGTTAAAGAAGATAACAGCGTTAATTTAAATCACCTTCATACTGTTACCGCATTATTACATAATCCGAACTGCCTACTTACAGATCGTTCCCATCCAATTGACCATGATAGACAAAAAAACCGTCGTATTCAGGCAGCGGGTTTGCTTGTGCTGGCTCGTCAACAAGCATTTCACTATCGTCAATAAACGGATCGTCGTAATCGTAATCTTCATACACGCGTTTGGTTTTATCGGCCTGAAGTTTAAGAGCAAAAAGAGAGAGAGAGAGAGAGAGAGAGAGAGAGAGAAAGCGTAAAAGTCTGGGTGAGAGATCGCTTTAGCAGTAGGCAAATCACAAATGACTAAAAGACTTACTCCAGCGCTTTCGTCCTCTGTGTCATTATCTTCTATGTCGTCGCCTTCATTGGTGTCATACTGCGCTGCACGGGCTAAAAGACTTTGAAAGTATTCATCCTCTTCGTTGGTTGAGCCAATTGGGACACCTCTTGCTTGCTCCCTATTCCGGCGTTTGAGCAGCTCTCGGTACGAAAAAATAATAGGAAAGGATTGATTCTTGAGATCGACGTATAGCCGTGGAGATTCTGCTATCACTGGATCTGCCATTCTTTACGTTACCAGCAGAAGGGAAAAAACAGAGAGTATGTATTAAAGGAAAATCCAATAACTATGAGCGGAGAGTTTTGTTTAAGAAATGAAACAAGGCAGGTGGTACGATTATTCTTTCTTCCATTCTTTTTACCAAGACTTGAAAGGTACTATAAAAATTCCTTAGCAGTATATCGCCATGAACTAAGTTGATACTATGTTGACGATATTCACAAAGATAGTATAGGAAAGAACAAAGAGCAAAAATAATGACCGAGAGATACTCCTCTTCAAGACCTTCAAGCAGGCTTGTGAGGAGGAATTCTGCACCTACGGTGGACCTGCCTGCAACAACCACGGCAACAGCAGCAACAACAGCAACAATGGAACCTGATTTTAACCCGTCATTGTCTCGCTCAGCTGTCATGTATCCTAGTACCGTACCGACCGTGTCGAATTCTTCCAACATTCTAGCCGCTCGTACTCATCAGCACCGAATGAATGCAGCTCAGGAGCAACGTACATATCAAGACAGTTGCAACCGTCTGCTTACTCATATTTCGTCTGTGATGGGAATCTGCGACGATTTAAAGACGACCAACAAACGCAGCTTTACTGTGCGCTACCCTGGCCTGGGTATCAACAACAACATCAACAAAAACAACAACAACGGTTGGCACACTACTAATACTACTGCGACTAATGCCAGTAGTAACACTACCAATAAGCCGTTCAGTATCCTAGACCTTGACGTCAAGATGGGTCACGCTTCACAAGACCTCAGAAAGCTCGAGACCCAGTCCATTGCCAATCTACTAGACGACAAATTATCCCAGTGTCTGCACCACCTTGACAATTTGCGCATCCGCGTCGGTGACACTTCTTCCAAAGTCTTGGTTACCGGCGATCTTAACTCTGGCAAGAGTGCCTTCGTTAATGCACTTTTGAAACGGGAGCTGATGCCTGTCGACCAACAGCCATGCACCAATATGTTCTGCGAAGTGCTGGATGCGACTCTGAACGACGGTACTGAAGAAGCACATGCGATCCCAGACGTTGAAAAGTACAATCGTTTGGACCGGGCAACGTACCATGTCATAGAAATGCGGCACCTGTACAAGGTGATCACTGAGGTGTCTGAGTACAAAATGCTCAAAGTATATGCAAGTGACGCCCGCTCTGCCCAAGAAAGCATGTTGCACAACGGTGTTGTTGATATTGCATTGATCGATTCTCCGGGCCTTAACACAGACTCGGTTAAGACAACGGCTGTATTTGCTCGACAAGAGGAAATTGATGTAGTCGTCTTTGTTGTGAGCGCAGAGAATCATTTCACGCTCTCGGTAAGTTCATGCTTATTATGGAAGAAACAGAATCCATAGCAACAAATCACTAAAACTATTGTTGCTATTACACCCAAAAATCAAAGGGCAAAGAATTCTTGTTGAATGCTGCAAACGAGAAGACGCATATTTTCATCGTCGTCAATCGCTTCGACTCGATTCGTGATAAGGACCGCTGCAAACGTCTCGTATTGGAGCAAATCCGACAGCTTTCGCCGGCAACTTATGCTGACGCAGACGATCTTGTGCATTTTGTGAGCGCCGGCAGCGTTGATCTTGAGCCTGGATCGCGCAAACTCGATGCACCCGAGTTCGCCAGATTGGAACAGCGTCTTCGTGCCTTTGTTCTCGAGAACCGTTCCAAATCGAAGCTTTTGCCTGCCAAAAACTACATGGTGAAACTATTGAAGGATATCGGTGTTTTGTCGGAAGCCAATCGATCTACAGCAGCGAATGAGTGTGCCATGGCCACACAGGAGCTCCAAAAAGGTTTGGTCGCTTATCAAAACTTGTTGAACCTTCGTGATCGTCTTTTGGGTCGTATCGAAAAAGTGGCGGAGTCCTCTGCAACCAGAATTCAGAAGCATAGCATTGTACGCTTGAACACGGCTGTCAGCGACATTGGCAAAACTGTCGAAACAATTGAATACCCAGGTATTCTGCTGATTTGGCAATATGCGCAAGATCTAGCAGATTCGATGTCTCGACAGCTGCTCAAGGACGTCCGTCAAGCTGAAATCCAGGCTCGTATCGAAGCATCCGAATGTCTTGCTGAATTGCACCAAATGGGCACCGAGCATTTGCCCAATTATCCTTGCGTTGCGGATGTCAAGAACATGTGTCTCAAGGGCCGCGATAGAACCGTTGAAATCAGCGTAGAAGCGACTGATTTCTTCGACGTTTTCGTGGATGACAAGCTGACTGGATGTGCCTTGTCTTTGGGAGCAGCTGTCGCCCTCGGTGGCCGCATGATGGGAGTCAAGGATGCTGTTTCAGGCCTTTGGAACGTATCGAGCATGATTGGTGCACAAAACATGCGTCGTCTAGTCGTGCCAGCCCTTGGTGTTGCTAGCGCCGGTTTTTTGCTCTACGTGGTGTCGGATATACGTTCAGCTGTTAACCGTAAGCTCGTAAAGAAGTTCAAGGCAGCCGTCCGTGAAACATCCTATGTGGATGCTCAAGGCCGAAGAATGGCTAGAGAATCGCGTAAGATGTTCCGTGTTGAAGCGATGGAAATCCAAGCGAGAATTCAAAAGTCAGTTGAAGAAAAGGAACGCAAGCGCGAGGAGATGACCGCCATTGTCCATACGTCCCAAGAATCGCTCGAATACTTTAGTACAATGTTGGAGAAGTCCGGCATATTACTGGATAAGGTGTCGTGCATTCCAACAGATACCGCAACAAGTCTTCATGGCAACAGAATAGAGATCTCCTAAGTATATGTTGTTGATATTCACATATCTCCTTACCCCTTCCCATAAATATCTACAATGTATCCCCTTCGTTCCATTGTGATATCCATTCATATATACAGTAACATTTTCTGTGATATATTATTATTTTTACAATGAATAGTTTACAAGTTTCTATTTGTGAGAACAAATTTATGCTAGATGTCAAAGGAGGTGGGGAGGTTTACTGCCAGAAGAACATGGCCAACGCAGTGACCAGTCCTCCAGCGATAGCGCTTTCTATGGAATAGAGTACAAGTGTTTTCTTACTCAAAACAATGTCAGATTCACCTTGTTGTAGCACAGCTGGTTGAGGCGGATTAATAGGTATATCTTCTTCCAGGGGAGTGGGAGTAGTAGTAGCAATAGGTGATAGTTGTAGGGATGATGCTTCCTCTTCGACGCGCTGTTTTTCTGCATCAAATCGTGACTCGATGGCTTGCTGACCATTCATGACACTGGCTGCTAATTCACCCACGGCGGTCAAAATGGCCGTTTGTTGGACATTAATTGCATTTTCACGCTCGTCCATCAGTTCTTTAAACTTGAGTTCCTCCTCGGCAACTTTGGCGACCAGTAGATCCTCAAATCGGTCAGTCAACCGTCTTCGCTTCATCGGTTCAAAAACAGTTTGCACTGCAAAGAACAATAGCAAGTTGACAACCATTAACGCCCATGTACCGTATGTGCTGACGCTTCGTATCTTGTCGCTCCATAGTTGCTCTTCGTGGTATCTTTCCATAATTGACTGTGCTAGCGCCATGTATTCTCGATCCATCTGCTTTTCTGAGTGTTGGTATCGCTCCTTTGCGGTTAATTCTGCTCGCGAATGATCGTGTTCTAAGCGATACAATTCGGTAAACCGAGTAACGTCTTCGCCCGTCCATAAATGCTTTCGCTGCAACAATTCGTTGATTTCGCGTTGTGTGCTAGATCGCGTGTCGATCGCTTCTTCATACTCCTTTTTTGCACTTTGTACTTCGTCTCGTGAGTGTTCAAATGCCTCGGCTATAGGTCGTATACCATAGGATATTCACTTCTTAGTACACTCGAGAGACTATCATTTTTCATTTTGTATATCTAGCGTATTCAGCGAAACAGGATGAAGTGTTCGGTACCTTGATCAGTGACTTTGCGTTTTACTTGTTCAATTTGATCATATCCAGTCAGCTGGTTCAGGGCCACCCCGGCCCTTTTAATCGCTTCTTTGGGATCATTTGCTTCTTGTCGAATGTTCCTCAACGTTTCTCGGGCAGTGCGCATTTTAGTTAATACAGGCGTCAGCCGTGGTCGAATTGTTGCCTGGAGTTTGTTTAGGTATTCGGTTGCTGCTGCAGTGAGTTCTTCGTTACGTGATGGTGGTGGTGGTAGCAATGGCGGCAGTGACAGCTTGTCGCTATTATTGTTATTGCTGTTACTGGTACTGCCACTGTTAATGCTATTGTTCGTTTGTGCTGTATACTGTCGCGTAGCAACAGCATACAATCTCATGCTATCATTAGATGAAGTCAATGTCCTCGGCCGCTGACATAGCAAGGAGTCACGAAGCAACGCAGCTGATTTTAGGCGAGATGCCATTTTCTCAGAATAGTTACAGCGGCGAGAAAGAAAAGATAAATAGTGCACCTTAACTATAACACAGCTTATTCTATTCCAGCTCCTCTAGCTCCTCTCTCTCATTCTTCTACACCAAACATGCAAGAAAAAAAATAAACGACAGACAGAGTCACGTTACATTTTGGCTCGAGAATCATTTTTTGCTTTAATGTAAAAAAAGAGAACACGAGAAACACAAAAAATAAGCCTATTGCTGTTTCACAACATTAAACATCCATTACAACCAACTTAGTTGATCTTTCTGCGGAAGGAAGAACCTATAAGGAATAAAAAAGAAGACAGTTAGTTGATTTATCCGAATAACAGGCACAGATTGGTCTTCTATGACCAAAACTGTCAAAGTTTGCTATCTGTAATATAACATACCTTCGGTCAAACGTGCGCGACCACCGGTGGGCTGGCACAAGACAGTGCCGCACGAAGAGCACAAGACAACAGTCTGTGCGTGGCTGAAGACAGTGCTGATGTTCAAGCAACCTGTAATAAGTGTCCCACGATTAATAAATTAACTGGACTTCCTTTTGCACTTAACACAAGAGCTACAAAAGTAAAATTGACTATTTACCAGGGCACTTGACATCCATGAAGTAGGAGTTGGGAGAGGCAACAAGTCTCTTCTTCTTGTGGCAGCGCTTCTCGTGCTCAACAGAGGGATTCAAAAGGTCGACAGCCAACTACATGTGTATATAGGAAACACATTAGTAACGCAATCCAAGCAATGCACAATTCAAGCAAAGCAAAGCTAGGGCGACTCCTTTTCGAAGCAAAAAGACAAGGTACAGTGAATAAGCTCTCAATCGTTTTGCTTTTCTTCGTTCTCTCCTTGCTCTTGGGTGATCACTCGGAAACTGAGAAGGCTGAACTGTGTTGGAGGGCTGCTGCGAGATTCAATTTTCTCAATGGAGAGGAGATTTTTGTTGGATATAAATCGTCGAGTAAGAAATCGTTTGGGTTTGTCGACCACGTTGATTCATCCGTCGTAATCCATCCATCCATCCATCCATCCATCCATCGACGCAGTTCATCCATCTATACTCGTCTTTTTGCTTCTTTTGAAGTGCTCGAACCTTGTACATCCTCCAAACTTACAGTCATTCTGCAACTAGCAAAGGCGCGAGAAAGGGAGGGGCATCATTTCGCCGGTTCGCCATACCTATTTGATACTGACCGATCGAGGCTACAAGATTTGAATCTCAGTTTCCCAATACGGAACAAATGCTTGGTTCACAATGTTAACCGGTCATAAATATAGTAACCATCTATTAAGATTAACCTTCGTAGTAGCCTTAAAAACAACATAATAGCAAACATGTAAACATACCATGGTCTCTATTATGTGGTACTGTTTCTCTGCAGCGATATTGTAGAATAAAAACGTAAAGAGTAACAAAAGCCACTAGTAAAGGATTTAAACCAGAAAAGAAACAATTTGATAATATGTACGCATGCTGCATGTAAGTGTGACAACATTTGTTCCTACATAGAAGCAATCCCAAATGCTATGTATGCAGTTATCAATAAGATTACCACACAAATGCACATGTCAACTACAGCAACAACAAATTCACCGCGCTAAGGAAAAAAAAGGTACAACGATAATATCAACAGACAGGTCGACATCATTTAGCCTTCTATTGCTAAACGTAATAAACAAACGACCTAGTATAACAGCCTCGCATGTCTCAGGGTATCTAACAAATAGAGTGTGTTTTCTAAAAAGCTTTTCCCCTGTTTTTTTTTTTATCTTAAGGAGAGCACAGCAGCATGCTGACGGGGGTTAAGATAGCAAATAAAAGAAATTTTAATATGACCTTAGCATCAACAAAGGAATAATAAACTTTAGATATGGTGACCTTTTTAACCGAGGGCAATCTCCAGTAGTTGACTGATCCCTTTCTTCTCTTGATTTCAGCTTCCTGTCACTCCTCCCTCTCTTTCCAGCCTGCGCCTTTTCTTTTTCCTGTTAATGCAGCTTTCGCGCTCCCAACAACAGTTGTAGTGGTATCACATGGAAATAATTTACGAAGCGCGACGCCCCCTTTCCGTGGATGTTCTGACGGCGGTTCGGCAGTATGATGGAAAACAACAGCAGTTACCGGTTAGCCGCGATGCCAATTACGACAGCAAAGATCAAACAACTGCACCTGACGCCAAATTACAGAAAGCAGTTGCTGGAACCGGACTAGCGCTACCGAATCACGAAAAGCTTGTCAGCTTTAACAAACCGTTTCCACCCGTTATCAGCCAGAGCTTGTCATTAAGATCCAGCAACAAACGAGCATCGTGCCCTCGAATTAATTTTCAAGGCTATGATTCATCCGACTTAATGCCACAACTGCACGACTTGAACAGCAATAACGATGAAAGCGATCAAGTGACATCACCACAATCACCATCGAAAGATATGAAGGGTCTCGAGAACAATGCCAGGAGCAGCATCTGTGAAGACAGCGACGTTGTGACGATAATGGAGCAATTGGACTCTCCCACCACTGCTCCTGCGGTTCTTTATAAACACAATGGTAGTACTTCAACAAGCAGAATGCATAGTCCTGCTCCCACCACTACCAACGTTACTGTTGAAGATATCTCGTCTGTGAGTGTTTCTGATCAAGCATTGGCCGTTTTCCGAGCCACACGAACGCGCCCACAACTCACCATGTATGAACGACTGGTTCGACTTTACCAAGACGCCATCAAAACCAAGGACTTCATTTTGCAAGTACAATGCACCACCTATATTTTAAACAAGCTATCTACGATGCATACAGAGTCAAACGAGCTTGCCACAACGACAGTGAAGTTGTTGAAGAAGCTAGCGGGACCTCAGGGAATGACGAGACCAGGACACCCAGACGCACAATTTATGCTCGGGAATTGCTACGGCACTGGTGCGCATGGCGTTAAAGTAAACCATAGCAAGGCATTCAACTGCTATTGGCTGGCATCCAAGCAGTATCATCCAGAATGCGCGTATCGAGTTGCCGTGTGCTATGAAATGGGAGTTGGCACAAAGCAAAACTTTCGACGGGCCCTGGAATATTTTCGCAAGTCGGCCAAAATGGGATTCCCGCCAGCCATGTACAAGCTCGGACTGATTTTGATCGATGATTCTCAGTCTCCAGACAATCGCCGCGAAGGTACTTCTTGGCTCAAGCGCGCTGTTCAACGGACGACTGCTGCTCCAGATCCTGTGGCATTGCACGCACTAGGTAATGCTTTCGAACCTACAGGGTTCGCATTGGTCCCGGATGTGGAATATGCCCGGGAAGTGTTCATCCAGGCTGCAGAACTTGGATATGCACCCTCTCAGTACCGATTGGCAGTTGCATACGAAACAGGCGATCTTGATCTCCCAAAAAACGAACGATTGGCGGTTATATGGGCTCAAAAGGCGGCTTTCCAAGGGATAGCGGATGCACAGTTTCTTATATCGTGCTGGCACTTGAATGGAACAATGCAGAACGTTCAACAAAACTCGAATTTGGCGTATCGATGGGCAAGGCAAGCGGCAGAAAATGGTCATACGCGCGCTATGTTTGCTTTGGCGTGCTTTTACGAATTTGGAATAGGAATAGAGATGGACTTGGAGACAGCAGAGAAATGGTTACATACCGCGGCAGCCAACAATGACAAGCTCGCCATCCAACGCGTGCGTGAGCTCAAAGCCCCCAATGTCGCCTCTACAACGACACCAAAAAGGAAGGGAAAATCCTGCATTTTAATGTAGTAACTTTGTACATGTAAACACCCTCTTTATTAACTGTTCTCCGTTATCATTTTTACTTCTTTGTTCTTCATGGTATAATTTACTGCATGAAAGATCTTGATTTGGCTTGTTAGGCATAAACAGAAAAATTAATCATTCCAAACAAACACAAATCAAAGCATCCTCTCGGATTTGCCAAATTTAGGTGGTGTTGGAACAGAAAGCAAACAAAGAATAGACGCGAGGAATAATTGTTGCTACAACACAAGAATTTTCCAGCCAGCAACTAGTTTCTTCCTTCTTCATCTTATCTATTCTTATGGAAAGAGACTCTCGTGAAGCACGCTATCCAGTCCGTACTGTCCTCTGTGTGTTGATATCATGCATTGGATCATTCAGTATGGGATGGACTATTGGTTCACCCAACTTACCCGCAGAAGCAACACACAGCTGTGCCAACGGTGATGCACATAAAAGCAACCCAAATTTTCCAGATTGCTTACCAATGAATTCATCCATGTGGTATGTAGCATGTGATGATCGCTATGCGATCAATACTGTATTCATTGGTATAACCTACGAACATGTTAGTACTAATGACGCTTTTATTGTGGTCAATAGGGGAATTGTCGTTTCTATTTTCTGTATCGGTGCTTTGATTGCAAGCTTTCTTGCAGAGCCCGCAATGACACGGTTAGGACGCAAGGCCACAATCGCCATATCCAATGCCGGCTGGATTGTCGGAGCGATTGTGATGGGTCTGGCCACGTCGCCTGTTGTATTTGGGTTCGGACGGTTTTGCGTTGGATTATCCTGTGGAATGGGATCCGTCGCTACTCCAACATACAACGGCGAGGTCTCGACAATATTATTTCGTGGTGCAATGGGTGTATGCAATCAGTAAGTCACTGTGGCAACTATTGCACATATCTTAGGCCTTTCCTCACAGAATTTGAATTTTTTATGATCAACTCACCACAGCAATTTTTTGATAATAGGCTCATGATTGTCTGTGGCATCCTTGCATCAAATGCCGTAGGAATTTTCCTATCAAATGTGCCCCTCTGGCGCGTGAACTACAGTCTTGTGGCCGTTCCAGCTCTTCTTCAAATTTTACTCGTGCCGCTCCTTGTCGAATCACCACGATACCTTGTATCTATAAACAAAGATGAAGAAGCTAGACGAGCACTACAGAAACTACGTGGATCACAGTACAATGTCGAGTTTGAACTCGAGGACATCATTCAAGGCCAGCGTCAAGCAACAGCAGTTGATACCACTACCATTAGCTCCAGCACCACAAACCATGAAAAAGGAGACGTCGTACACGTAGCCACGACTACTGCAAATGCTGCTGTCGTGAAAGAGTCCCAAAAGAGCGACGAATGTAGCTTTAGTGATCTTTTGCGCGATCCACACCTGCGTTATGTCACATTGACCATCATGATCCTGCATATGGCGCAGCAGTTCTCTGGTGTGAACGGTGTCATGTACTACTCGACCATCATTTTCCGCCAATCGTTCGGGGCAGACCAAGCACGGCAGTTGGCGTTCGCTGGTTCAGCTGTCAATTTGGTTATTACACTGTTATCAGTCTTTCTGGTTGAACGTTGTGGCCGTCGATTCTTGCTCCTGCTTGCTCAAAGTGTCGGTGCTCTAAGCGCTGCTTTGTTAGTGATAAGCGGTCACTACAATATACCAGCTTTGACGAGCACTGCGGTCATGGTGTTTATCTCGGCCTTTGCTATTGGATTGGGACCCATTCCCTGGCTACTGACATCCGAACTAACGCCGACCCGCGCAACATCCAGGGTAACGGCCATAGCAACTGCTGCAAATTGGTTATCGAACTTTGGCGTTGCTCTCATGTTTCCGACAATGCTAAATAGGATTCAGTCATATGCATTCCTGATCTTTGCGGCATCACTTACCTTGTCGACTATCTTTACGTTCCGTTATGTGCCAGAGACCAAGGGGCGTCCAATTGAAGAGATTACTAACGATATCACCGCGCGTGTTCTACGTAACAGAAAGGTCATTAATGAAACTGAATTCCATCATGACGGTCGATAGCGATAATTTATTTGTAAATAGAATAAAATACCATATTTTCAAATTGCAATCAAAATGAGGCAAATATGCTTTTCTTTGAGGTAGATATTTACAACAAACGAAGTAGTGCATTTTTTTTTATTTTAATCTTCATAATTGCAAAAGTTAGAATGGATAATATAGCTTGCTCACTCTAACTAGATCGGATGAGGGAATTAATTTACTGGTCTTCTTGTTTCTACAATGTAGACAGATGCATGGTTAGTCAGTGAAAGTGTGTTTTATGCAACGACGAGATACACACGTGACGATTATTATGTACATATATTTACCTTCCATGCACGTGCCAACTCAAGCAGTTTGTTAACGCGACTTTGCTCTTGGTCATCGGGGAAAATGTAGTCAAAGTATTCTTCCCAAATGATATTGTCATCCGTAGAGTCAGCCGCCTTTCTTCTCTTACGAACAACCTTGGGCATCTTGTCCTGTACGACCTTTTGTGTCTCTTCTGTTCCGTTGTTCTCTTCAAAGTCTTTCCATGCTTCAAGTAATAACACCCGCTGTATCACAAAAAAACAAGTAATAGTTGGTTAGTAAATATAATCATCATCCATCATCTATACAACATGCGAGCTCATTGAATTTATTGGAACAATACATACCTCGTCTTTAAGTTCCTTCTTCTTTAAGCCATCATAGGCATCCATGAAAATCTTGCGCGCACGCTCCACACCTTCGTTGCTGCCCTCTTCATAAGGTATAGAGAGTTCGAACTGCGCAAAGCTGATAAAGACTTTGACATGCTCGGTTCGTTCCAGAAGGCGTAGATATAAATCGCGAGTCTTTTCATATTCTTCTTCGCTAATTTCAAAGTCTATGTTTTAGAAAAAATATATTATCAGCATCATTCCATTTCCATAAACAATGCAAGCGTGATTTGTCCTCACCAATATATGCTTTCCATAAGAGTTCGGGCATATCAAGCACAGGTTGACCAATTCCGAGTTCGAAAATGGAGCGACAACGGTCAACTTCACCAAGAAGTTTTTCAAGTTCTGCGAACTTGATCCATGCCGAGCAGCTCGTGGGATCATATTCCAGATATTTTGAGTATAAAATTCGGCAGCGGTCAAAATCTCGTAGCTAGATACGACAGTGGAAATTAAATGTGAGTCTATCAATTTCTAATTTAATGGCTACTATTGATTCATACCTGCATCTCGAGGTCAATATAGCCCTTGAACAACTTGTTCTTTGGACACATGCCAATGGACCGACCCAATAATTTTCTAGCACCTTGTACATTTCGTTGGCGAATCTCAAATTGTGCAGCCAAAAGCCATATTTTTGCAAATGTAAAGTTTTTGTGTGGAATAAGGTTCAAACATTGAGTGTAAACTTCTCTTGCACGATCCATATCCTTTATAATATCAGATAATAATATTTGAATTAGAATTTTGCATATTTGGCATCGCGTATATCCCCCGGACTATTACTTCCGCTTAAAATTACCTCGGCTTCCAGCTCTTCGTATAGCGCATAATTGATCCACAAGTAAATATAGCGTCTCCAATAGCGCTTTTCGTTTGCTGGTGGCGCCTGGCCAATGGCACGCTCATATACTTCACGAGTCCTTGAAGGATCACCAGCAGATTCTTCCAATCTTGCATAATCGAACCATACATCGTAGTTCTTTGGATTGGCTTCAATATCGTTTTCATACTGGACTCGACGCTTGCCCAGAACCACGTCTTCAATACCGTCCCTGTCGCCATATTGCTTTTCAAAGTTTGTGTATTGGTTGTACAGAGATTGCGATTGAGATTTTGGCAGACGCTCTAAGCCGTATTTGAAAATAACACGAGCACGTTCAAACTTTTATACATATAACAAAACATGTAGCTTAGTATTCACTCTGTTTCCGTATTCATATCTTTTTTAAAGAATACATAATATTAATTGGCTCACCTCTTTCATCTTAATTTCAAACTTTGCAAACGCCACCAAAATCTTTTGGTCAAGTTTTTCTTCACCCAAAAACTCGAGCGCCTCAGCATATATTTCACGGCATTTATCTGTAGAAACATGCATGAATAAGCGATCATCTTTTGTAAACGGCACAATAAGCCAGATATAGTTACCCATATTGTTGTGTTCCTCTTCAAATTTAGCCCACTTGACCCAGTTCTTTGAATCGGGATGGATACTGACAAAACGTTCGTACAAAGCATGCGCCCGCTCCTCTTCATGATATCTCAGCTCCATCTTGATATATGCCTGCCAGGCGCCCTCATCAGGCTCCCACTTCATCCAGCGTTCAAACACATTGCGCGCTTTTGGTACATCGCCGAGAGTCTCCTCCATATACGTATACTTGTACCAAAACTGATCCATGCGCGGTAATAGTGTCGTGGCACGATCAAGTAAATTACGCGCGTGATTTACATTACGGTTCTTCATTTCCATTTCCACGCATCGTAACCAGATTGCCGGGTTGCGCGATTCAACATCGAGTGCACGTTCATAGACTGATCGCGCCCTCTGCAATTCCATCTGTGATTCTTCCCACGACGCATATTTAAGCCAGTTGCTGACATTCAGGCGGTTTTTACGGATATTGTCTTCAAACTCTTTTCGTTTGCGTTGTCGAAACTCGGACAGCTCCTCCAAATCGCTGATCTTTTGTCGAGGAATCTGATGTGTTGGTTCCAAACGGCGATCATGGGCTTCTCGTAAGATCTGTTCGGCTGTGATTTGGATTTCCGCGGGAGCCTTATTCTTGACCTGGATGCATCACATTATAAACATTCAACGAGTCAATAAACAGCTCTACGTGTAGTTTAAATAAAAAGACGTGTAGGTGTATAGAGTTTTACCTTTGGAGGTCTAGGATTTTTGCCAGTGGCACCTTTTCCTGAACCTCGATCCATGGCAGTCAAAGAAGATGTAAAAAGCAGATAGAAGAAAAGAGGGCTGCTTAGTTCAAAATCCGCTGGGTTTGGTTTTGTTTTGTTTTGCTCTACTCAAATAAAAAGCACGCACTTCACCCTTAACAAAAACAACAATGAGAAGTCGTGTATTGCGTGACATCAACGCACGTCAAGTCCTTGCCGACAGTGAATTGACTCGTCAAGCATACCGTTACATTACCCGCAATGAAACGCTTCCCGCCCGCGTCCGTCATCAAGCACAACTCGCACTTAACAACATGCCAAAACAATCATCTCAAGCACACATTCACAATCGATGCGTTGCCACCGGCCATGGCCAAGGTATTCTCAGAGAATTCAAGTTGTGTCGATTCCAATTCCGTTTGAGAGCTTTGAACGGTGAACTGCCTGGCGTCAAGAAGGCATCGTGGTAGATCTCGTCTTGTATAGTAATACACAGGCACATACACATACGCAACAACATACACAGCACGTACACACATAAACATACTATCCTCTCTCGTTTCCTTCCTATTCCTCCCCAGAGAATAGCGTAAAAAGTTTTCTCATATATTTTTCTATGTACAGTAATCAACACCATTTTTATCTTCTTTTCAAAGAAGCAATAAAAACTTTAGAGATTAAACTAGCAGCATTGCTTCTCGATTACGCAAAGTGGACATTTGGTAAGCGGAGTAATAGGCTCCTCGAGATGGCTACCGTCGTCGCCGTCGTCGTCGCCGTCGTTATGGATTGATGCAGGGGCATGGGGTAGTGATGGGGAATAATGCGGGATATCAAATGATGGCGATACACTATGCTTCTGATTATCTTGTTCTTGTATAATCCGTCGTTCGTCTATAATTTCCATATCCACATCCACTTGTTGCGCATGTTTTCCATCAATCAATATCAATATTGTTTCGAAATTATAGTCGAGGACATCTTTAAAACGACGTCTGCTTGCCACTGCGCTTCTTCGTAATCGTACGATGACATCCACATGCCCGCCAGCAGGCAGTACGCCTTGTCTTTGGAAAAACTTCAACTTCCCTCTGGCGGAGAAGAGTGAATAGGTCTTGACTCGATGTGTGGAGTTACTCGATATCCGTAACTGCGAACTGCCAAGTTGTACATTATCCACAAGGAGCTTGCATTGCAAAACGAGGCGGTCGGGCTCAAACGTACATCCGCCGGATGCGGCAACGCTTGTATCTTGACGTTGAGATAATGAGTATTGATTAGATTCTTCCTCAATGTCAGTATCGGATCGGTCCACTGCACGAATACGACGTAATCGAACAGTACCAGAAACGACGCCAGTGTTGGTGGTATGGTCACTTTTGTGGTCTTGTCGAATTACAGGAATTGATACGTATTCGTTGTTGCCGTTGGGGTTATTAGATGATGACACATTTTTGGATTTAGTGCTTTGTCGAATGATTGACTCATCAGGTGATTGGCGCTGGTGTAGCTGTTTTCGTGCTGCTGCAGTAGTAGTGATGGTAGATGTGCACTTTTGTTGTGATGATGGATAGGGATCATTATTTACAGGATGAACTTTGTAATTGTGTGATAATGAATGTGGAAGCAGTTTCTATATATAAAAACACAAAAACACAGTTTTCGATCAGTAACTTGCAGGCATTACTAGTAGTCTGTGTAAAAGGCAACTTACAAAGCTTTGCAGAAGCAAGTCATCATTATCGTATGTTTTACTATTTTTTCGGCTACTTTTTATCGACAAGGCTACTGTTGAGCGCACCTAAAATATCAACAGTTGTAATGTGTGAGCTAGTGATTAGTCAATTAGTGTGAAGCAGGCAGTTTATCGTACCTTTTTCTTATTGTTACTATCGTTTTTAGTACTAGTTTTATGATCAATTTCAAGATTGGTGTTGTCCCATATTTCGTCGAATGAATCCAGTGGGAGGGATCGTGCAGCAAAATACTGGCCAGGTGACATGGTGCGTGGAGGTGGTGATGACGATGTTCCCAAGCGTTGTTCTCTCTGACGACGCCGATTTGAAGTGATGGCTGGATTGATCAAAGGAGTAACGCTGTATTTTTCGTCGACGAGATCTTGATTCGGAATCCAGGCAGGCTTTTTGCCATTGCTACCATCACTACTGCCGCCACCGTTTCCGTATCTGCTGCTGCTATTGCCGCCGGACATTCCATGCTGGGATCTTGTCAATATGTCACCCAGTATATCTTTATCCGGATGAATAGATGCATCAGATAACCCTCCTTGTGCACTACTCGGACGGGATCCAAATGGTGGAAGTATGTCGCCAACAAAGGGCACTTGCTCCAGTCCACGGAGAATCGACCCTGTTCCTTCGCTACCGTTGTACTCATCGTCCTCACGATAAAGGCCATCGTCGTCAAAGCCGTGCTTCATGTTCCTGGATCTTTCCTCCTCTTCGTTGACGTTATAGTATTGATCCTTTCCGTTGGTCAAGGAATCGTGGTTGAGCGAAGCCGCACGTGCATCAGCAAGGTGCTTTTCAAAGTCTGCATCGAGTGATTGTTCGAGCCGATCTAAATCCTTGTACAAGTTCAATTTAATCTTGGATGAGCGCGTTAACGACGATTTCCCCTTGGATCCCTTTTGCTGTAAATATCCCAGAGTCGAACGACTAGGATAGGGTTCTTCGTCGTCGTCAACGCCCATTTGGTCCAGAACTTGGGAATGTGGGGGCAGCAGGAAGAATTGGAAAAAAATAGCATACAGCAGCGCGTAAAAAAAAAAATCAACAGCCGCCGTATGCAGGAACGTAGCTTGCATCCTGTGTGCCATTGTCTAAAACAATGCCCCCTGGCACCTTGTTGTGTTGTTGTTATTGTAACTGCCTTGTTTGTACAATCGATCATGTACAGTAGCAGAGCTAATCAAATCATCGTCATGTGTTAGAGCTACCGTTACTTAAGCCGTAAAAAAAAAGATGCATAGTGGACAGACAGTACGCAATTACACTTTTTAAACATGAAGCTTATCGGTGCTCTTGCATTATGTGGAACACACTAGACAGCAAAAAATGATGCTTATTTTAAATTTAACCTCAAGCTTGTTTACATTGATGATCTTTCCTTTATTTATGTTAATTGTGTGTATAGAATCAAGAAAAGAAACGCTTAAAGGGGGCGTTCAGGGAGAAAATGAGGAGGAATATGATGTGATGTGTTTCTATGATGAGTCTCTATCTGTTTTCGGAATATGAAATAGCGGGACACAGTAATGTAGATCTTTGTTAACTTAAAACTAACGGGTAAGATATACTATCCGCTTGACTGGCAATTGTAATAGTTTGGTTTGAAATGAGAGGCCTTTTGAGGTCGGTATCCCGATGGTCATTTAAACAGACGTGGCCGCTGTTGATTGCGTAGCATACAGTGAATGATATGTTTTTGATTGTCTGCTGCGTTGGAGTCAAGATGCATATAGAGAACGTGATCCTGGTCATTTGGCTAGGGGCGCTTGGCAGACAAAAGGCAGACAAAAGGCATGCAAAATTGTTAAAGAGTTATTTTGTACCTGCAAGTCTGATTGTCAGAGATGGTAGCATCACTGTTGGTCAGTTCCAAGTCCAACAGCTGATCCGCTAAGCCTTGGTCTGGATCAATGTTATAGAGTTGCGCGAGAATCCGTCTGAAGGAGATCTTTCGTAAATTCTCGGCATAATCGTTGCCGATCGTAGCTGTCAACAGGTCAAACCGCACTTGGATCTGTAACCAGATCAAGAACGGCGGTAAATAACCATCGTCATAACGGAAAGGATAGCGGCGCTTCATGGTACAATACAGTGGATCATGTTACGTTCGCCAATTGAAGATTAAATTGTAAGCACCCTTCCCTATTTAATAGAAGATAACAGTATCAACATTAAATTCTAAATCAGCCAATAAAGCGTTCTTTTGGTCACTGCGGTTCCTACAGTATCGGTAACTGATCACTTCTTCTTGGTCATCTCACAACTTACCATTTGATCTTGATGATGCGGTACAGGTTCTTGGTAAACGATAAATGCTAGTTCAGTGACAAACAAATGCCAACACTCGATATGGTAATAGTAAAAGATCTCATAATAGTGTATTAATCGGGCCGTGATAGGCGAAAAGGTCACCATCCGGTGATACAAGTGCTCCTGAGATTTCGCATAAGCGTATAGTTCTTTAAAAGGCTTCGAACGCTGCAGTATGGTTTACTATACTTGTCCATCGGCGTAGCGTTGATAGACACGCCTCTCGTAGTCAATAACGACGTTGCTGCTCTTTGTTGTGGTTCTATTGTTAGATGTGCGGATTGAATGGATACACCAATTGGATGATATGCCAATTTGCATCTTAGGAGTATCCGTAACTGTCATTTTATTTCAAACCGATACAAGCCGGACACTGAATGGCAGATAAGTTGAACAACGTAGTAAGTGCAGTAAATTCGTTGCAATGGATATCTTCCTGATTACTTCACTGCAAGGGAGCGGCAAAATGAGATCAGGGTACATTCATTAATATCCTAGATGTAAAATCGATTCTACTAAAGTTTTGTTTTCGTGGTATGATGGGCTGATTGTTGCATACAATCACCCTTTTATATTCACGTATATGATAATAATTTTTACTGTTGCGTTAAACTCATCAGAACTTTTGGTTTGCTGTCTATTAACAGATAAGCTCTTACTGTTTTAGTAGTATCTATAGTATCTATTTTTGCTTTCTTCTGAGTAAACCTTTCAAGTTTGTATAATTTCCTACCGTATTTGGAACTGGAGTTGGATTTATTATTTACAAAGCTTCAACTGTTGCTCGGAAGAACGAGCTCAATGATATGGTATTTTTCATTCAATTTTATGCACCAAAACTACTGCTGCCATGCTACATTTCTCTGTGACATAGTGATGAAACACCGATCAAAGATAATGATGTGTATGATGTGGTTGCGAAGAAGAAACAGAACAAAATGACAAAACTAATCAATGCTGCGGTAACCCAGGCGTCTACGTGTCCAGACTTTGTAAATAATGAAGCCACAGCCACCCACGATGCTTGCTGAAATAAGCGAAATAACTGTAACGAGGAAAATAGACCACCCCCAAGGCAAGCCAAAGAATCCGCGACGAATAGGTATCAAGACGCCATCCATCATCAATACGCCACCGTCTACCTTGCCTCCGACGGTACGCCCCATACCAATGACATGAGCGGGTGTCTTATCGGATCGATCTTTCACCAACACCATCAAACCGCCGTTGTCTTCTTCACGGAAGATAACCTTATCATACTCTGATAATGACGTCGGATATTCATTGTCATGTTTGCTTGTGATCCAGGTGTCTTGCCAGCCGATAGGGATAAGGTGCATTTTTGCCAGACGCTCAAGCTCATAAGGATCTTTTAATAGCTGATCCAGATCCATATGAGCAAATGCACGATCTGATGGTGTCAGCACAATGTAGTTGGTACTATTCAACTCGTCAAGCAATCCCGCTCTCTCGAGCACCTCGAGCATTGAATTGGCTTCAATGCCCACTAGGATATCACGCGTGGTTATCTCCACATAGCCCGGTATCTGCACACCATCGATCTTGTGCACTACACCATTGCCAACGAGGATATCTGTGTGGCCGACAACAGCTTGTTTAGAGCCGGTTTCGGGCGCGCTCACGACGAGTTTGCTACTGTCTCCTTCGCTAGGGCCGATACGGATCGTGGCATTAGCTAATGTCGTCATCTCATGGGCATCTTGTACCATATCTTCACGGTATAAAAGTCCTTGCGCAACATGATTACGTAGTACGCTTTGGAGATGCGATTTTCCAGCTGGATGCATCAGGTATTGTGCCACCAATCCCAGATCGTGGAAGGCTTCGTTGGTGGGCACAAACATTGTAATGCCATCAGCGCCTTTGATATCATCAGCAACTTCCGATACATAAATCGTAGCAATAAACGTGGATAGGTTCAGATCAATCACAAGTTTTGACAGGATGTCGCCAGGAAGTTGTAATGGTTCGGAAACTTGATAAATGTAATTGTCTTTGACCACAGCTACATTGTAGATGAATTCACGTCAGCGATAAAGTATTCGATTATGATGTTAGAGAAACTTATAGGTCACTCCAATTTTACCTGGATCTGCAAGCACTCGAGAATGTTCGAATCGGATGGATTTACCAGCAGATTTGACAGGTGCTTCGTTTTCAACAAAAACTGGGATGCGCTGTGGGGCACCTCCAAGGCGAGATGACATGAATTGAGATTTTAAAAGAGAACCATCAATCAAAAGATCGGGAGTAAGTGAGCCACCGATGACATGATAGCTTAGCCAATCCTTTTTTATGCTATCGGGTATAGAGTCTTCCTTGATATCATCGTTGCCTGGAGCTAGGATGGTATATTTCTCCACATCGTCTTCGAGGTAATGTTTAAGACCGTAGTCGTCCATAAGGGAAACCAGCTTTGTTGAGTTAAGACCATACAAATACTTGCGAGTGTTGAAGACGACATTGTCGGGTATAGGCATATCATCAAGTATGTGGACAACCCCTAGATTGTTAGGAGGTTTAGCTACAATTATTGCTCAAATTTCCTTTTTTGGCACTAGGGTTCCCCTTTCAATCTTGGCCACTTTATCTCCCCAGGATCTTACCATTTGCTGCCAAGACATCAGTTTCCGTCACTGGAACGTCATTGACAGTGATTACATTGTCCTTGTTAACGCCTACCACAAGCGATTCACCCGAAAGTGTCTTATCTAAACGATGTTTGTTCCACCACGTTAATATTGAGTACAAGAAAAAGTGAGTATTTGTAGTATCGTTGGACAGTCTATGCGCACTTTATAAAGTAACTTACAGACTGTTTTGCCACTGGGGAATTCAGCAGAATAAACGACGTCGCCGACCACCATGTACTTTAAAAGTCGATCCAGATCGTCGATGCCGTACTGGGATACGATGTAATCCTTTTCGACTGGGTTTAATCGATTAAGCACGCTCTGCCGTGAAAGAAAAACTGTAAATGGTCGAGGCTGCTTCAGCTTATCGTCAAGGCCAACTTTCTGTAAAAAGCCATATAGCTCCACGTTGCTTTGTATCGAATCACCTAGAACCAATAGGCAAAGGAAGGGCAGTGAGTCTCAGACAGGAATGTATGCATTAAGGCTGTTGTGACCCATATGCTGACGATCTTTTCAGAAAAGCAGAAAAAGGAGATCGGCATTTAATAACTTACTAAGGGTGGGTGGAGGTACAAGCACTTGATTGATGACTTGAACATACGTCTGATTATTGACAACGATATCCTTGTCGATAATCTCGGCACCATTGATATATGGTTTCCCTCGACCCTTGCCGGGCTTGCCATCCTTTGTGATCTTTATGCGCTGGCCAGCATCATCGGAGCCAAGAAAACCGGGCCGTATATAGAGCGACTCTAGCAACTGCCCGTGAAAGAAATCTTCGCCAATCATGCCCACCGGTAGCAAATGGTATAGTAACATTCCTTGTGTAATCTCGTCGCCTTTGAACCTTTCAAAGGCATCGTTGTCGGGTGCGAATAGAGTGCCTGCCTCTAGACTGTTGACATGGGGAACAAGCCGAGTTCGTTGTAAATGCTCGATTAGTTTTTCAAAGCGAGAATCTTCCGACAACACGTCGATTATCGTCTTATATGCGAGCACATGATTGTTAATTAAAAAAAGTGTAGTGGTAAGTAATAGTAGCAGTGAAGTTCCAAGTTGCATGGTTGTAAGTAAAAGAGAGAAGAGCTGAGTAGTAAAGGGGAGTCGTTATGCAACAAAGAACTACATACCCGCCGCGATTCAAAGTGGGTGAATTTAAATTAAACGTGATCAAAGTTTTGATGGGGTACTGCCCACTGGACCACTGCGCACCACCCCCGCCCGGCGTCCCCGTCTTTCACAATCCTCCCTAATCAAGGTAGTTACTGCGATCGTAGTCCAAATCAGCCTTATGTATTGTATACGCACTTATGATAACTCGATCCGCATATACAGTAAATACTGCTTTACATGCTTATCACGCAAGTTATCTCTATGATACATGACATGAATACCACCAATTTACGCCACTCAGGGAGGAGAAAAAGGTGTGTTTCCAGCATTCTGGGCGACCTTGGTACCTTAACTAGCTTAGTACGTAGTTGATGTAAAAAAGTTTATTCTTACGCTTGTCGTTATGTAGAGAACATGCACTGCAATGCTAATGCATTGCCCAAGCGACGAGCCACTTCCATCTCTTGTCATTGCCCCTACAGAACGTCATCCATTTTCAAAAGTTCTTTTTCCTGTGTAAGTGAACAATAGAAACAACCCTTTATATAGCACATAGTGGGGTCATATTCAGTGTAGAATTTCCTGGCGAATAGCATCTTTCTCGACGACTTTGGTATTGATCCTAGCTCTTGTATGTATGCGAAAAAATAAAACCTGTGAAGCAGCTTTTCTTCACACTTTTACATCTGTGTTTTTGACGATCTATCTCCTACAGACACCTATGCCACTTAACTTATCCTTTGCCACTGCGCAGGAAAATTATTCTAAAGAAGGATTAGGCTCATGAGAGTATGTAGGAAGATGCACACATTCGTAATCTTGATAGTACATATTAATTTTCAACGTATGTAGTCGTGCGTGTAAATGCACTTGGCACATTGTCTATGACAATATAACAATCTTTCATGTGCGAATCCTTGTCCATTTGATCAGAAGTCATTTTTAAGAGAGACTAATAATGCAGCAGCCTGTTACGGTTTTCGAGCTTATGTACTGTATCCATCAACCTTTCTCTTCTTGGTAGGTGGTGGTTTTGCCGCAGATATACAGCATAGACAGTCGGGTGGCAAATCAAAAGAGCACCCTTTTTTTGTGGACCAAGCCCTTGGCGTTTCGTACTAATATTTCGAATGCAGAAGACCATATAAATCGTTGCTGAATATTTCATCAAGATTAACAATCCAGAAGTAAGTATAGTAATACTGACAAATACCAGATATATTCTATTGCGATACTTTTTGGGCGCATGCATACACATCAGAATTTGTCTGTCTACTGTCACACAGCATCGGTGCTTGCGCGCTTACATGCAGACAACTACCGCCGCAGCACGGTTCCCTTATCTGGCTTTTGGCATTCCACTCACACGTAATTCGTCGTTTGATCGCGTTCCTTCTTTTTCACAAATCGTCCTCGCACACACGCCTCGTCACCACAACGAAGATGTCTGCATTTTTCATGGTCTCCTCAAATTCAGACAATCACAGTGAAAACAACGACCGCCTATCAACAGCAGCAGCACGAATGCGGAGTCCAACCAGCGCAAACTTCAAAATGGGCGATTTCGAACTGGCTATATACAACGAATTACGACGATATCCGCCAAAACGGACACGATAGCCTTCAACTACCAACAGAAAGCCTGCAAGCCATTGATTGCCGAAAAACAAACGATACTCATACATACGATACTATCGTCGCGGACGTGCTCACTCTAGCGTATCTGCTGTCATCACCAATGAAAAGAATACGGAGACGTACACCAAACTGAATTTTCTAGGCGAGATAAAATAGAAGCGTTTTCTTTACCGAATATAAGAGCAAACACCTACGTCCATTGTCTTCATCTGGATGTATTACTGTATTACGAGCAACTAATATTGTATATAAACAACGCACGGATCGTTCCTCTTCTAACTATATCATAAGAGGGTTTGCCAGATGCTACAAAGTGCAAAGTCCTCAGGGGCAGATCAAATCAGGAAAGATACCTATACTCACCAAAAATTCAAACGGATTGTAGACACTTTGAGATGCTCAGAAGTCGTGACCGGTTGACCGAACCAGAAGTACGATTCTTTCTCGTTCAAATCCTGGACGTTTGTCAATACCTGCATGACAATTGCCTGATCCATGGTTATTATCAAGCCCAGCAACACATTTGTGGATAAAAACATGCATGTGAAAATCGGTGACTTTGGCTTTGCTTCTGTTTTACTAGATCCAAAGGCCCGTAAACGGTGAGCGAGAGAAGATTTTAGTGTGGGGCCGGTAGATACTTCGTACACAACATATGTATCGGGAAACTAACTGACAAATATAAAGACACACTGGTATGCCAAGCTATATGGAACCAGAGATCTTATTTAGAAACAATGGCTATATCCACAAAGTTGATGCGTGGTCCATTAGTAATATGATGTAAGTTACCATGACACTAAGAACGAAAAAGGAAGGATTGCTCCATCCGACTGATCTCGTCGTTCTGGTTCTCCTCACTGATAACTTCACTCTACTTGTCGGTACGCCTCCCTTCCAAGAAGATAAAGTAAAACAGATTTACAAGTAAGCGCCAGCACTGAGTGTTATCCCTGTAAAATTGCCTACACACTCACTAATGATACCTGCTTTTTTCTGTTATTAAATTAGGTGGATCAGAGCGAATTGGAAAAAGCCTTTTTATGAACTACCAAGTCACCTTATTGATGATGCTAAGGATTTGGTCACAAAAGTTCTCATCAACAACCCTCGTAAGTATAAACTCTTTTTCCGTCATCGTTTATACTTTCAATCGCCGGCTCCTATCACTATCGAAATCTGGTCTATGGCTCGACATATTAAATCGACCACTAGCAGTGCCACAAATCCTCCGCCATGACTTTGATGAAGAAAAAATTATCATCCACAATTCCAGTGGCTGCATTACACCGCATACCAACCAATGACGAATTATATCCGACAGAAGGTATACGTCGATCACCGACTGATCAGCATTTTCAAGTACATGTCAGTTTTATCAACATAGCAAATATCGATACTTTCTCCAATGGCAAATAAACTTTTACATGTAGGGAAAGGCGTGCAACTCGCTGTCTCTCTTTCTCTTCTTTGGAACATATGGCTGTTATTCAAAATCCATAGTAGACCAATCGCAGTAGAAGATCGACCACGCAAGCGCAGAAATGTGGGGCCGATGAGAACTGAAACATACCACTGATACCGTATACATCACCAGTGGCAACAAAAGCTCGCGAAAAATCCAAAGTGTCTATTCTCGAAACATTGGTACGTGCTTCACGGGAGCTTCTGGAAGAAGCCAAGAACAATGATGCGACTACTTGTCAAGGAATCCTTGATATGGAATGGTCTCATTCGAACGTATTCATGGGTAAGTGGGTTGATTCCACATCCAGGTAAATATTTGGTCAATTCAACTCAAGAGACATATGAAACAAGCACAGGCTGAGGTTAACGGTCTTTACTTTAGTTTATCTTCTTTAACCACATCAAACTCATCTTTACTGCATGTGCAACACGACTAATATACATACTGTATTAAAAGAGCGGCAACTAAAGGTGTACGCATTAAAAGATGCTGTGAGGACAGACGACGAGTTCCTGAAGAGCGCACTTGTATTTGCTCGCGCCGTACTGGATGAGCAAGTTATCGCGTATGGCTAAAAAGGTAGGTTGTTGTAATTAAAAAAACACATATCACATTTAAATATATATAGTATCTTTTTATAAAATGTACATTGCTTGGGAAGTTAGGTTAGATGGGTGAGGTGCGGTGAGGGTAAATATATGATGTGCTTTTCCAATCCAACAATGGTAACGATATCCAAAAAGTACGTCATTGCCATCCATTCCCCACTCCTGAGATCCACTAGTCTTCGCCTGCTGGAACCTCTTCTTCTAAATAGCGGATGAGCTTGACGCGTATTTCTGTCGCATCATCACCACGAAGCACATCGCTTACAAATGCTGTTTCCACCTGCATTTGTACCATTTCCAAAGCACCGCGTAATACACCACAGTAGATGTTAGAATACCATAATCCGCCTTCCAGGGCATCCTCTGGTAGTTCGACAAACTCGGTTAACGGATTCTCATCAAATATGAGCGAGAACTCCTTTGAATCTGAAGACCAGTTTGCAACGTTGGGTGCAATGTTGAGAAACATTCTGAATCCTATCTTGCTGATGGCTTCGGCTGTGTCCCTGAATTCAGTGCAGCGTCCGATGCCCGATCGTGCCAAAAAGTCTTCGATTAAGCGTTGACCAATATTGTAACCCCTGAGAGAACGAGATTGTCGATGGAGGTCAGAATATTTTTCGGAAGTGTCCAACAGCAATGGCCTTTTCAATCTCCTGCTTCTTACATTTGCTCGAGTTGCTTATTCACTTCACCATAATCTTCGTAATCTTTTACGAGTTGCACGACTAAAGAGCCGTAAGTTAAAGTGAAAAGTTCGGCGTTCTATAACAAGTTAATAACACGAACAATGTAAGCTTCTTTTACGGTGATATGTGGTGTTAGGTCCGGCAAGGGGAAACTTGCAATTTTCTCGACTTTGGATTTCCAGACTTCTTCGCCTAATGCTTTAAATTGTTTTGCTGATGGTGTAGTTGACATGATGGTGTGTGTATATAAAGTTAAAAAAGAAAAGAGAGAGTGCGCGATAATGTGATAGTTGCACACTAACTCTAATTTGAGATCCAGTTTCGCATTTCTAGATTTTCGCGTATACAGGCTTGTCATGCCAACTACAGCCAGACCAATCGAAGGATTAAATCGTTGCTATATTATAATCAAAAAAGCTGATCCGTTTCATGTTAGTTGTTCATGTTTGTAAGTAGCTCTTTTCGCAATACTTGACCCTGATGGAAAAAACTTCATAACACATGGGCAAGAGCTTAAAAAACGATGACATTCCACCGTCGTAAGAAGTAAATTGAGTCCCGCTCTTGATGATGTTAGTAAAAATAAATATATTCACACCATACTTCACGAAACTCCTAGCTATCTTCGAGGAAAACGCACAACATACTACGAGCATAATTACTGCTATCTTCTAACTTGCTAAGTGTGAGCTGAGAAGATTTGCTTCTAGTTCCGTTTTTTTATGTTTGTTGTTGGATGCAATCAAAATAAACGCATTTATTTTTGAGCACATACATTTCACTATAAAGCTGACAACTTTGAGTATTTCGCTTCTTCTACTCGAAAACAAGACTTGGAGGAATTCCCTCCTTTTTTGCCTTCTATTCCCTTTCCTTTTCAAAGACAGTTATCTTGACTATATTGGCTACTATAGCAGCATGTTCTTTTTGCCGACAACAGTTTATCTGTTGCTTTCATATGCCCTGATTGCTTGTCTCTGTCAAGCTGTATCTCTTAAAAGCAACAATGACATTGTTGTCACTAGTAGCACCGGGTCTTTGACGAGCAAAGGCGACTTTGCACCCAAGTCATTTTTATCGGTTACCCATCCATCTTTTCCACAATATCTGATTCGGCTGACAGAACCTGATGCAGAAATTTGTGATCCGAGTGTGAAGCAAGTAAGTGATATAATATATACTGCCTTTATTTGTCAAAATAAAGATATAATTACTGATCCTGATTATACTATCAACAGTACAGCGGATATCTAGACTCTGTAGAAGATGACAAGCATTTCTTCTTTTGGTTTTTTGAATCACGAAACGATCCAGCCACTGATCCAATTGTACTTTGGCTTAACGGTGGTCCAGGGTGCTCATCAATGACTGGTCTCTTTTTAGAGCTTGGGTAAATACAGGATATACATTTTAGAGTTTTCACCGCAAATGAAATATAGCGACTGAGCATATACATGTTTCTGTGAATACGATTTCAGACCTTGTCAGTTGAACGAATTTGGAAACGAGACGTATTACAATCCTTATTCCTGGAACAACAACGCAAGCCTTATATTCTTAGATCAGGTAAACAGAAAGGATATCGGCAAGAGAGAAACCCTTATTGACAGCACAACACTATACCTGATATAGCCGATCAATGTCGGGTACTCGTATGGATCTGGAAATGTCAGCGACTCGGTTACGGCTGCACAGGATGTTTATGCATTTTTGCAGCTTTTCTTTGAACGCTTCCCTGGTAATATATTAGCAGAGATCGGGTGACATTCTAATCTAGAATCTAACCATCGTATGTCGTTTGCTCCAATTGCAGAGTATAATGGCCTTGACTTTCATATAGCCGGCGAGTCATGTAAGTATAAAAACGCATCTATTATTTCTTTACTTACTTTCTTAAACACAACACAATAGATGCTGGCCACTATATTCCAGCCATCGCTACGGAGATTGTGGATGGCAACAACCTTGCTGCTGCTGAAACGACTCACGTAAACCTCAAGTCATTGCTCATCGGTAACGGTCTAACCGATCCATCAGTACAATACGGATATTACGGCGACATGGCTTGCAACAACACCTACTATCCAGTATTAGAACAATCAGCATGCGACAAGATGGAACAAGCCTACCCTGAATGCAAAAAGCTCATTGAAATGTGCTATGAAGATCCTGTACCGAGAACATGTATTCCCGCCTCGAGGATTTGCAACGAGGCACTCTTGGAACCATACTATGCATTAAGCGGCCGGAATCCGTACGACGTTCGCAAAACCTGTGCATCTGTGGACGACAATCTATGTGACGATAAACTAGGTCTACTACAGACTTACCTCAACCGTGCAGATATCAAGCACAAGGTGGGAAGCAGCGTCGATTCGTACTTTAACTGCAATCTCGAAGTGAATTACTTGTTCCAGCGCGCTGGCGATTGGATGCGACCTTATGTGAACAATATTCCGCGACTTTTGGACCAGGACAACGTCTCAATCTTGATTTACGCTGGTGATGCCGACTTTATCTGCAACTGGATTGGTAACAAGGCGTGGACCCTTGAGCTGGAGTGGAGCGATCGTGAGGCTTGGAGGCAGGCTGAGGATGTCGAGTGGAATCAAGTAGGCCAGATACGTAGCTCTCCAGACGGCCGATTTGCTTTCCTGCGCGTTTATGGAGCTGGACATATGGTGCCTGAAGATCAGCCCCAAAACTCTCTTGCATTTTTCAATGGATGGATTCACGGGGGTCTGTTGTGACGGTAGTCAGCAGTAATAGCAAAGACCCCTTCTTGATTCCAACTGCTTGCTTTCTCTTATCATATTATCAGATTCTTTATATAATATTACTGTTTATAATGTGCAATGCCTTTTGCGAAACTAAACTTAAGCCACAGCCCCATTCTGTTTGCAACATGGTATACTAAAAGTTTGGTAACTCTTTCCAAAGATAACACAAAATGTTGCTGAAGCGTAAACTCCTTTCTTCATATTTATTTTAAAAAACGTTTACTGTATCATATAAGGATTAACCCTGGATTGTCTTGCAAAACTTGAATTTTGTTCCCAAAAAGAGCGGAACTGAATTTCACTTAGAGTATTTCACCTGTGTGAGCATATGCAGCAGCCAAGCTTATACTTGTCCTTCTCGAGATTCAGCGATCTTCTTTGTTAAAACACCAATCCGCAACGACAGACAATTAGAGTTTGCTTGCATTAGAGAAGGAAGATCTTGTGGAAAATAAAAGACACCAATGCGCTGCTGGTTGATCTGAGCACATTGTCACCAAGTAGCCGTGCATCGTGGTTGACCTAGCACTGCATTGACGCGTAGCAAATATCTGTTGTTGCGGATTGGTGTTGACAAGAAGATCGCTGAATCTCGAGAAGGACAAGTATAAGCTTGGCTGCTGCATATGCTCACACAGGTGAAAAACTCCAAGTGAAATTCAGTTCCCGCTCTTTTAGGGAACAAAATTCAAGTTTTGCGGATTGTCTTGGTCTGTTATCCTTGAGACGCAACCACTGTGTACTTGACATCAAGAGGGGCATCCGCAGCATGATAATCATTGGGCTTGGTTGGATCTTCAGCAATTTTACGGCTAATCTTGAGCTTGTTGCCAGTACCCATGACAGTACGACAGTCAAGCGATTCGCAAGCATTATGCATGGTCTCATAAGGATAAATGACGCTGAAAAGAATGCGGTCAGCCCCCACTTTCGAAGTGCAATTGGGGGTTCCAGTGGAAAAGTGGACCGAAGTGGTTAACCAAATGTTCTTGTCAAGATTGGCCTTCATGCCGAGGGCCTTTTATATCTTCAAAACAATGATGAAATTGCCAAAATAGAATGGGACTTTTGACCCAGCAGATGGCCGATGCTGATGTCCAAGTTAGGGAAACAATCAAAGGCACTCATAGGAAAAAAAAGAGTTTTCCATGTATTCAAGAACTGAACTAGCATAGCTTAGGATGTAGCCTATAATCAGTGCATTCGTCTCTCTGGTCGTGTGCAGGGCAAATCCATAATACAATGTCAGTTTTGATGCCATACCTTCCTAAAAGCGTTTAATATATTCATGGTTCGACAGACTTGAGAGTCATTGTCTTTGCTAGTTCGCCCAAGCGTATCACATATTCGGAACTCTTTGCTTTATACGATAAGTGCTACAAAAACAGCTCAGGATACGCTTAGTTGAACATAAATGGCCAGAGTCATAGCGAAATACAAAACATTCAAGCAACGCAAATTACTTTGGTTTATTTAGGGGTGGCTACATATTTGATGTGTTGTGAGCATGCACACATCGCCGTTTCGAGAGGATACAAACGCATTCATCATCCTGACACAAAATCAGATCATTCTCAAGATAAATTCCGAACGGTTGGAACGATTTTGCTCATATTGGGTGTAGCATTGTTTCGGTGCATCGCAGATCCTGCAAGTTAAAAACTCTTTGAAAGGACTAAAAGGCACATACACATATGTTTCTGTTTATTGGCACGTTAAACAAACTGTCATAGAAGGTTATCAAGGTATTTGGTGAGCAATCCATCATATCAGAAAGCAGCAGCAACTATGATACGAGCAACACCAAACAGATGACCAGCATGGGCGACTACGGCTATCCACTACCATTGGTGAGCACACAGGGTTGTATTACTTTCTATGTTCCTTATCACCAAAATAGTTTTTGAGTAAAAGCTATGCACGCACCGCATTCACCAGACTCTCATCGTTCTGTTGCTTATGAGTGAGCGAGTACGACGAAACTTTTGAGACTCTGGGCCTGCAGTTCGCTCCGTCATCGTAGAAATCCGTTCTGACCGACTCGAATGCTGACACGCTATATTTGGTATGGTCATCACAGGACCTTCATAGCACATCAATGAGCCTTTTGCATTTACGTTAGGCCTGTTCCATCATGTCGCATGCTGATTGTTCTGATACTAGATAGTAGGTGTTGTTACAAGCCGTGTCGCCGTTATACTCGTATTGTACTGATGGATCGGTTAGACCGTTACCGATGAGCAATGACTTGAGGTTTACGTGAGTCATTTCGGAAAGTCGTTTATTTACACCTCACGGATGTGATATGGTGCCTGATACGAGACACATGCAGTGCCCGCTCGCTATAACGATACATCCCGTGGGACCAAAAACCTATCGTTATATCGAATATCGTTATACTGTAGCATGCGGGCACTGTATGCAAATTTAAGTGACCAAGTCTTTTACCGTATCTATTAATTATTTGATATGTTTATACAAAGCACTCCTACGCCAGGGTAAAAAGTACAAACATTATTTTTACTATTATTATTCAGTTTGAACAATTCGGATTCTTCGTTTTGCATATTATACTGGTTCCCTGTGCGTCCCCAGACTCGGGTCATCAGCCGCAAGCGGCCTTTGAATAGCTTATATGCATTCCCAAATTGGTTCATAAACCCGCGCCAGCGCGGAAGCTCTTAATAGATTATTCTCACTGAAGGCATACACTTTTACAAAAAATACAATATTCTTGAATGCATGGATTGAGTATTTGATTGGAAAATAATAACAAGATGCAGGAGCTTCGCCTCATTGTCACCAAGCTTGCATACTATTAAAAGATGAGCGAATTTTGCAAGGGGTGCGATGACATGAAGTTCCCTGAACCTATCCGCTATCAAGTTAATGGTGATAAGTTGCATTTGTTCCTTGAACAAGTTGTAAGTATACTTGATTATTAGCAACTATAGAAAATTATGTGATCTGCTTAGACAATATTCTATGGACTTCTTGCTTATACTTTATTGCATCATGTATAGATCATTAGCAGAATCCGTCGTCCCACAATTAAGAAACAATCAGAAGCCAATGCCGAGAGACAGACGAACGACCTTAATGATCTCGAAGTGGAACATGAAGAACACGAGTTTTACACGATCGGTTTTAGTACGATTGAGCAGTATGTCAGTGCAATCATCCAGCTTTTCCATGACCATTGCGGCCTTCGATTATAACCTACGAATTCCGGATGTGAAGTCGTTGCTAAAAAACGAAAGGAAAAACGATATCAAGAGACGCCGTACAAACTTCAAAGATCGCGCTGCCGGATCTATTTTGGATGGATACTCAACGATTGAAGAACTGGCCAAAATCATCGATTACTTCCTGACGCGCGACAGATCCGAACACTATCGAAACGCAGTCATGATGTTGGTATCACACTTTGCGTTCATGCGTGGCGAGAATGTTCGACGAATCGAGTTGGCAGATATACATGACATCCCATTGCAAGGAGAAGGACCTACACCTGACAAGGAATGCCCTTGTTTGATTTTGCTCTTGGACCATGGCAAGACAAACCAGTTCGGTAAAGCAGAGCATGGATCGGCCATCCGGTGTGCGCATGTCGAAACCTGTCTATGGATGGCTTAAGGATTATACTTTTTCCATCGTTGGCACATTCAAGGCGAACCATTCTCGGATATGACACGGCCTCAAACATGGTACAACATTAAACTCTGCAAGAGCTACCCTGCTGATTTAACCAAGAATGTCGAGCAACCGGCGCATTACAAGGCACTTAAAAAGGCATTCGACGGATGCAAGATCGTATCAACAGCCGTTACGCATGCAGGAAGGAAGTCGGGAGCAAAAATGGCGTATATGGGCGAGGCTGGCGATTCGGCTATCCGACGCGCAGGTCGATGGACAAGCGACGCGATGGAAGGATCCTATTTGACGAACTTACCTCGCCGACAGTTGCGCGCAATGGCAACGTTTGATGCCAATGGAAAAACTTTCTGGTTACCTCGCGATGGCGTCCAACCATCGGAAACGTTACAAAAGAAGGTTTTCCCATGGGTCGACCAATGGCAAGAGAAGATCGATCAAGGCGAAGGCGATAAAAGTGTTGCTGCCGACGGATTCCTCAGAATGCTACGCGTTCTACGCAAGACGTTCTTACAAGACTCCGTGCCAATGATGAAGCGCCACCCTCAATTATCTATCTGGAATGCTCCTATCTTCAGTGATCCGGAATATACTGCATTTAAGAAGTGAGTAATCAAAATGTGTATCGTATAAGTTAGACTGTTACATGATGTAGTTACTTACGATAATTTATATTACTCCAGTGATCTAGTGACCTCCATCGAAACGGCTCCCCCGCCAGAGGACCTCACCTTATTAAGAGCGATGCTACAACTGCATGGTTTCTTACGGCAGATGTATACCGATCTTAATCAAAAGGTCGATCGCAACACACAATTGGTTGAAGAGCATAACCGCACATTCAACCAGTTTATGGGTTGACCTTGCGAACGGACGCCTCACGATATCGGTTCAATGGACTCCACAATCTCAATCAACGAATGTTCCGGTCAATACTACACCATCGGCTGCCAACTCTGCAGCTGCTACTGTCGCTCCATCCTTTGCCGCTCTAACTGACACCGCACCATCCATTGCCGACACTATCACCCCACAAATTCCGTCTAATAACACGCCCATGCCTGCCACAACCTCTTCGTCGCTTTTCAGCACTGCTCAACTTCCACACTACAGATTAAACGATGGTGTAGCAACAGTGACCGACCTTTGGCGCGAATGGCACGAAGGAATATCCAGTGGGCCAGCTATCAAAGACCTAGAGTTACAATGGAAAACAAAGTGGCGCAGGGACCAAGCCAAAAAGTTCAATCGTAGGAACGCGGTCATCAAAGGCGTCGAAAAGTTTATCGAATATCATAGTTTACAGCAGCAAAATG